ACGTGGAGGTAGGTATCACGTGGAGGTAGGTATCACGTGGAGGTAGGTATCACGTGGAGCTACGTATCACATGGAGGTACGTATGTCTCAGGCTCCCAGCTCCTCATGCGACATGGCCCCTGCGCAGCTTCCACTCGGAACGATCTGGTGCTACTCTAACGTGAATCTCGTTCCCAATTCCGTTCCTATCTGGTCCTAGCTGGCTTACAAGGTATGGTAGCCATACATATATTCTCCTCACCACCAAGATCTACTCGTAGCTCGAACCAAGCTCTCCGGTCTCTTGAATGCCGCCGAATGTGACGGTGTCAGCCTGAGATCATGAACCGTAATAATTCTGAGTACTCGCTGCCTCGCACTCAGTGCCTACCGCAAAAGGGGCATACCTGTCGTGCCCTTTCGACCACACTATCTTGCCGGTAACGGACCCATACGAGGTTGAGGTGAAGCGCTGTCGACTATGCTGTCTGAGTGGCTCGTCCGCGTGTCCAGCATTTCACATGTTGACCAGAGCGTTCCGCGTCACGCGAGCCTCCAACGAGGATGAGGCGACGAGACAATTGATGGGAACAGTCACCACGATTGGTATCAATACTCTTAACTTGGTGTACTGCAGGTCAAGACTCCATGTCAAGTGGAGGACTAGCACCACGGACGTCTGTGTTGTGCATCAGACTATGAAACCTCCATATATCAACGACACGGCCCCACACCACAGTGACAGTTACGAGTACTAGAACCTAGCATACCGTTGCACCATCGCCTACGTGCGGCAGGGTCAAACTCGATATGCACTAGGTTACCTAGTATTCACGAGTTCAACCAATGAGTGACAGATGATCCTTTCAGCTACCAGAGTGAGAGACGGTCTGCTTCCAAATCAGGCAGGTAGATAAGCATTGCTCCACTGGACGAGAACCATATGTCCAACCAGCATTTTGATTTCCGATTACGCTTATGCGGTGATATGAGCATAGGGGTGGACATCTGAGGAGAAAACCTCGTTTCTCTACCGAGTCCGCATCTTACTCGTAACTCCCGCGCGATAAATACTCTAGGCTGGTGTCCCTGCTCCTGATCCGGATTCCCTTTCTAGACCGTCGGTCGCTCCGAGTTACGGTTGGGTCAGCCGAGTGGAGTGTTGCCTTGCCGCTCCTAAAAGATGCGAACCCTTTTTACACGAGCGTGGAGAACGATGATGACTCCTCGAGCCTTCAGTGTGCCAATCATGACCTATCCATCACTATTCTTCATTTGCTGCTATTCAAGTTGCACATAACACTCATTCAGGCGGAACAGCCGCAAGTTTGAATCTACGAGTTCATCTCTATCTAGTCCCGCACACCTCACAACTCGGAATCTTCACAACTCCACCAAAAGTGCCATGGCGGCGTCACCCTCAAGCTCAAAACCCAAGGCCACGGAGGGGACCGTCGCCTTCAAACACCCATCTCTCCCCAAACCGTGTGAAACTTGGTACAAAGTAGTCGGCGACCTGAAATCGTCGGCTAGCGGACGCCCTCTGGTAACTCTCCATGGCGGACCAGGCATGGCGCATAACTACCTACTCAACCTTTCAGGCCTTCATACTAAATACAACGTCCCCGTCGTCTTCTACGACCAGGTGGGATCTGGCCTGTCGACACATATCCGCGAAAAGCGCCTCGACACTTCTTTCTGGACCCCGGCCTTGTTCATCGCCGAACTCGACAATCTCCTCGAGCACCTCGGGGTATCCAATGACTTCGACCTCCTCGGCCAGTCATGGGGCGGCATGCTGGGCTCCATGTTCGCCATCCGCGGACACCCCGGGCTTAATCGCCTGGTCATCTCGAACTCGCCCGCGAGTATGCCAATGTGGATCGAGAGCTGCAACGCGTGGCGGCGCGAACTGCCGCGCGACATCGACGACGCGCTGCAACGCCACGAGGACGACAAGTCCTACCAGGACCCCGAGTACATCGCCGCGGTCGAGTACTTCTACAAGCGCCACCTGTGCCGTGTCGTCCCGTTCCCAAAGGACCTCACCGACACCATCGCCTGGGTCGAGCAGGACGATACCGTGTACTTGACCATGAATGGGCCGAGTGAGTTCACCGTCGTCGGCAGTCTCAAGACCTGGAGTGTGGTCGATGAGCTGCACAAGATCACCGTGCCCACTTTGGTGTTGAATGCCGAGTTTGATGAAGCCAGAGACAGGTACGTGCATTCCTTCAAAGTTTCCCCCATTCTGCAGATCTCCCTCCGGCCAGGCTGTGGATGTTCAACAACTGATGCTACGGGCCAAAGCTGTGTGTATCCTTACTTCTCCAATATCCCAAAAGTCAAATGGTTCACCTTCCCAGGTGCAAGCCATTGCACCAACCTGGAGATTCCCGACAGGTATCTCGAGGTGGTCTCGCAGTTCCTCCTTTCGAAAACCACATGAAGAGGGACGTGATGGAAACGGCCTGGAAGCACATAAAACAAAAGACACGCTCAAGCTCAAGTGTGAAGTGAAGATTTATATTGTTCATCCCTGTCCCACACGGTGCATTGGGCCTCTTCAAAAATTAATAGCCGATGTAAAACCATTAGAATCATACTTCAAAACAATATTCCAACACGGATACACTTTTATCTCGTAGAATCGCCAGACGCCACGCCCGTTAGGAAGATAGCAACGGGGCATACTCAAATCACTTGCCCTCTCTGCAGCCTCGTTATCCCAGGAAAACAAGAAACCCCACTCTGGTGCTCAACGCTTTCTTGAGTCCGAGGACCTCTATAGCTCTCTGAAATCATGCCATTTATCAACGGGAATCCGGGTAGATTCATTCTTCATCCGCAGTGAGCGAGGCCGTCCATTGGCAGATGTGCCATGCTCCGGCCTGCGCCTACCCTTCTGTGGGCATCTCTCCAGTGATCTTCTTCACCAACCATAATTTACACAATGGTGCCGAAAAAGGGAATCAACGTCTGCGCCAACCAGAAACTGAAAACCAGCTTGGGACCGGTCATCAACATCTTCGGCGTCAATCCTTTGAAGAAGCTGGTGACGCCTTCATTCTTCAGCATACTGGACACGATCCTAAAACCAGATTCCGGGTTCTCGAAGTTGCGGTTCTGAATCCTGGTTTTGATGACGTCGAGAGGGGCAGAGACAATCAAGCTGGCAGATGCACCGGCGACGGAAGCGACGAAGTTCTGGCCCCAGGTAGCCTTGTTATAATCTTCAAGTTTGAACAGTTTCTCCTTGGCCCATGCCGATCCACCAAAGAGCGCGAAAGAACCGGGCGCATTTCTCGCGGCCGTCCACCCGGCCCCACGATACAGGCCGAACCCCTCATCGGCAACGATGCGAAGGAAACCTCGAGATCGGAAGGCCTCAGGGTTTGTTTGCCGCTTGATCTTCAGCACGTCGAGGGGCAGGAGCACGATTTCACCGATTCCGATCAGCGAGCCAGCTGTTGCGTTCAGGATGGCTTTGCCAGTGCCTTTACCGAATGCCGCGTCGAACTCTTGGGCGTGGTGTTGGGTGAGATAGTCGCGGACGAAAGGTTGGCCACCATATTTGTAGATTCTTTGTAGGACTTTATAACCAGCCGCATAGCCTAGACCGGGGAAGAGGGAGGTGAACTTGGTCGTGATGGGCGCCGAGGCATGTTCTTTGAAGATGACTGTTTTCAAGGCGGATGAATTTGTGACCTATTGAAAGTGTCAATTTGAGGCACGACCGGAATCGAGCAGTACTGGATACAGGGGAGGGCGTACTTTATTTGTGTTGCTCATGAGACGCTTCGCGATTGTGTCGACGGGGTGGAAAACTAAAAGCTCGGCAATACCAGCGGAGCCTTTGGAGATGAATTAGTGGACTGTCTCTGCGCGACTGCTCGAAGATCAGGTACCTGAGCCTAGTAGCCTTGCAGTGCCAGATTCGCGCTTAAATTCTTTGCCAGCCGATCCCAGGGCTGGCGCAAGAGCGGGAGGAGACATGGCGGTCTATAGTATGGGAATGAATCTGGTTGCGAGCGCAACAAATACTTCTCACCGCAGGTCGGCTGCTATTAATCCAGGGCAGGAAGTGAAGCAGACAAAACTCGGCAGAGAACAAAGGAGAGACTTGAGTCACAGCATGAAAAGTGAATGACGAGCAGCCTGCGAGAATCTTGATGAGGGTGCGGACCAGAAAAAAAGAGATCTTCTGGCGAGAAGCGCATGCAATTCCATCTGTGCTTGCATTGAACGTTCAGGGAAGAAAGTTACCCGGGCCCACTAGTACTAATTAGAAGCACTAGCACAGACTAGAGCGTAGCCGCTCAACCACGGATGTTAGGCAATCTTGACTTGACTCCGAGACTTGTCCTACGCTCCCAAGTATACTATATTGTACATACTAGAAGCAGTAGATAGATCCCTAGGTAGGTAATGTCGATAGATTCTGTATGGGCAAGACTGCTTAGGTACCTAGATCTTCTCCTCGCTATGCAAATCATTTTTTGTTCCACTCAAAGACGCAGTACATCTCGTTTTTCGCATGGCCGTGCTGCACACTATGTCGAGGAGGTCGATTCAACCTTGACTCTAGATTTGGCCGAGTTCATGTCCTCCTATTTTCCAGTCAGTCAAATTTATCCACAGGTCTCAGGGGGATCACCGCAGACTTGCCTCTGCCTTCCGCTTTCCTAGCACAGAGTCTGGTGTGGCAGTCCGCCCAATTCCCCCCGCTGCCGGTGTTGAAGCTCCGTCCTTTTCTCGCCCTCTGGTGATTTCCGCATAGCAGCTTGCATGATAATACCGCCCGCCGACATGAATAGCATCTTTCCAAATAAAGTCCTGTACCTCCTCACTCCATTCACTCTTGAAGGGTTCTTGGTCGATTGGACATGGTAGTGATCGTAACATCGGATCGGTTGGTGCTCGAACAAAGTCAACCTTTTTCTTCGCAGTGGCCGGCGCCCCGTTCACTGGCGCCCCGTTTGCATCCGCCGGTCCGGTATCGTCTTCATACTCTTTGCTGGCAATCCAGTCTCTTTCGTCAACATACCAACTCCGGTTCTGGCCTCTTTTCTCCGCCTCCAACATCCGCTCCTTGGTTTTGAAATGCCAATCAAGATGTGCTGCTTTCTTTGCTCGGCCAATTTCATCAGAAGTAAATCTTCGGCCACACGTACTGCACTGGTTGGGTCGCGCATTCAGAAAGGTTTGGATCAGATAAGGTCGCGGGATCTTGAGTGCAGCTGAAGAGAGACTCACTTCAATGCGAGCATCAGTTGCCAAGGTATTTAGCGACGACAACGGCGGCGTGAGACCTTGAGGTGGCGTTGGGGCCATAGACAACAAACCTGATGCTCGCAGTTGTGCTAAAAGTGGATTTTCCGTGACTGGTGCAGGCGCAACAGGAGGAGCAGCCCCGGACAGCAAAGGAGTGGCGACACCCGAATGAGGTTGCGAGTAGAGCGTAGACTGAGGTGCCGCGCGGTGCTGCTCCTGTTGATTGGCAGTGAGTCGCAGTAGCTCGGCGAGATTGGTGGTGTTAAAAATAGATGGCGCTGGTGGTGCCGGCGTGGGTAGGGGCTGAGGTGGTGAGATTACATACTGTTGCTGAATGTGGGTGGGAGCTGCAGCTGTTGCTGGTGTTGAAGAACTTCGACCGGCTGCCAATTTGTCGGCCATCTGCTTCATGATGGTGTTCCTGATATTGATCAAGTCTTCCTCAGATGTGCTGCCACTCTCCAAAATCTCCTTGAGTGTTTGTAGGGTGGTCAGATGACGTTGCGCTGCTTGGTCCATCGGATGGGTTGCACATTCAATTTTTGCATCGGTGGTCAGGTCATCAATGTCGACGTGCAGCTTTTGTATGTCCACTGGTCCGGAAGAAGGAGCATGTCCTGCAGAAGGGATTGGATATTGGGGTATTAGGGCGGCTCCGTATTGAGTTGTCGTTGCTGCTTGGACTGGCTGGGGTGGATGATAATAAGGTGCTGATTGTGAAGAATATTGCTGGACGTATGAAGCTAATGGTGCTTGACTATACGACTGTCCTGGGATTGTCGGCGTCACTGAATGTGGTTGCGGGCTTCGGATATGGGTTGGTAAGGCCGGAGGATATTGAATAGATGTCTGAGGGGGTGTCGCGGTTTGCCGATAGGGTTGTTGGGTCGACGCGACTCTCGCAGGAGCACCTTGGATTGGCGTTGTTTGAAAGCGGGAATTGGCCGCCGTCGCAGCTCGGAATTTGTTGAGATTGTCGACAATACTCTGTGTGCTGGATATAGGAAAGACCGGAGTAGTAGACAGTGCGCCCGGCACTGGTTCTCGCCAGGTCTTCAGCATCTCCTCAAGCTTCCGGCGAACATTGGTGTCCACTTGAGAGTAGGCATGCATGAATGTCTGATGGAGATTGCGACCGAAGTAGATCGTGTATGGCGACCCGACGTTCTTCGCTATCGAATCCAAGACGTACAAAGCGGGAAGTTTTCGTGCCGGAGGTGCCTGTGGACGAGTCAGCCATGGCCTGGAATATACGATTCCTTCAACTTCAAAAACCAATGACATACTCGATTGATATGATTCTGCAGCACACGGGAGATGGCCTCAGCATGCTCGGTATTCTCCTTGGCGATCAAAGTCAGATTGGAAATCTGATATCTGTCATTGGTCATAAGATCCTCCAGCGACCCCTTATAATCTTCAGCGACCTCATCAGATGGGAGACCAGACATGATGAGAAGAGAGAAGATAGCTCTGACCAAAGACGATTGCAGAGGAAGAATGAGAAAACAGGAAATTGAGTCAAGAGTTGGATGTGGACTCGCAGAGTCAGATGGGCAGCCGAGTCGAGGTAGACGGCGAGAGAAACCTCGCTCATGCAAAGACTTGGACACAGAACGGAAGGGCGCAAGGCGGGGGGTGCTTTTGGAGTCTCGCGACTCGGGACAGATGAGGGTGGCTGTGATAGACAACGAAAGGAAGAATGTCGTGGTATCTTTTGCTATCTAACTCCCAACTCCCAGGATCTTGTGTTCAGTTGGTTTTCCAAGTTCTGCAAAAACGCCCAAGCAGTCCCTCTCCTCCCCGCCTCTCAACTGTTCAAGCCATGAATAGTAGCCAAAAGGATTCACCAAAGCGCTGATGAGTGAAGAGTGACAGCAATCGGGCTGTCGGTGAATGACGGGAGAATATGAGGAGGGGTCGGTCCCAAGGCTTTCGATTCAAAACGCCAAACTTGCACAATCCGTTGACACCAGGGCGAGACCAAGGAGAGGTCAATAGGGGGCGATGGGTCAATGGCACGAGTAAAGCGGTAATGGGCTGAGGTGAGCTGGGAAATTGACAACGAGTCTGGATTCTGGAATGTGAGAAGGAATTCGATGGCGGAACGAACAGAGACATGAACCGCAGTTGCCGGTGCGGCGGTTAACGACGCTGTGCCCCACCGTGCTGAGCGCCGTCGCAGGTCAGTTTTTATGCTCAACCGTAGCACATCACGTGAGTATACAAGACTTTTCCTTCTCGTCTCTCTCGAGTCTTGACATTTCGTTGCCACATTGAAGGACTGAAGCACATCTATAATTCCCTACCAAACCACTTTCGTCCTCTCTCGATTAGTCGAATTTGATTGGTAGTCGTGATTTCCAGAGTCTTTGAGCATTGGGGGTCAAGTACAGGAGGCGCTGGCCATGAGAGGCTAAACTACAAAAGGAAAGTTGGGGGCTCGACTTTCAACCTTCCAGTCCTTCAAAGGTTCGCTCCTCAATCGCCCACAGCCATTTTCATCTCCGTGCCATTCTCAGTCAACTAGTCAAATATGGAACGCCGAGTACGATTTACAAGAGCGCCAAGGGCGGGCACAGCTGATATGCTTCCTGTTGGCATCTCGTTTCCCCCATGTTTCTGGGGTTGTAATGCGGACCCTTGGTCACTCTCATATGGAAGTGAACCCGCAGTGCAATTTATCCGGACAGCACCCATGAACCATGCGCCGTGCACCGAGAAGGTTGATCTCTGAAATATGATTGCCGATCGCGCAACCTTGCAACTTGCAACCACTGCCCACTGCATTCTCACCCCACAAGTGCACTGCGACCCAACCTCTTCAATGGACCGACAGCAATCGCTCGCCTAGCTCTCTGATTTTCTAGAAGCTATGATGGCTTTGCCGGGCATACACCGACTGTAGTGGTGACTGACTTCATGCATGTAGCTCACTTGTGCTTCCGACGCAATATTACCACTGTTCGTGGCCTAGCAATGATCTTTGGCAGCTCCTGGAAAGAGCTTCTACCTTCAGTGCAGCAGTCATGCAACGCGAAAACTCCAGGCATCTTCAAGGTCTAGTTCACACCTTCGCTGCAAATCCCACCGTCGACAGCCACTCCAACGCCAACAAGGACGCCGAAAAGCGACCCAAAAAGCGCCACAGAGGTGGTAACGGAAAACGGTTTCGTTGTGGGCATGAAGACTGTGGCAAAACCTACTCTCGCGCCGAACACCTCCAAAGGCATCAGCTAAATCGTGAGTCAAACCCAATATTACACTCTCCAGCGAAATATCTACTGAGCTAGATTGCAGATGACCCCAAGGAAATATTCTACTGTGGCACCCTTGGCTGCAGCCTCTCTTTTGTGCGTAAGGACTTGTGCGATCGACATAGGAAGCGCCACAGCCAGCAATTCTTGGATCAGCAACCGGCTGGTCCAGACGATGATCCGACTTCGTCTCACAGGATTGATCAAGGCTTTGATGATGAGGATGATGATGATGACAGCGACTCTGGCAGCAATTCAGATGAGAATAGCACCCCTACAAGTCAGTCAGATTGCAACCAACCAGTCACGGCAGGAGACGAGAACAAGAAAAGATCGTTGATAGATGAGCACGATGCCTCGCGTTATCAATCGATCCGAGACCGTTTCTCTGGCTTTCCTGAACACAAAGATTCGCCCGTCCCAAACCGCGACCTGCTTCCACCAGGGAGGCCAGAGAGCGCTTTTCATTCAGAATTATCCACCAACAATGAGGAATTACAGAGAGCCGTAGCAGATGCAAATGAATACCTGGCCCAGCCCGATTCAACACAGAACTTTCCACAATTGACACGGTATCAAAGTAATGTTTCGGCTGATATGCTACTATCCCATTCGGACCAAAACGCCTCTGATCCCACCAAGATCTCGCCATATAACAACTTGGGCGATTTTCCAGCCGCATTTCAAAGACATCATTCAGTCTCTACCCACGCCGATGGGTTTGACATTGGCTCACCTACCCTAGTTCGTCAGGTTCCCGGGATTGCTGCGTTTGGAGGTTCTGTCAACAGCTTCGAGGTACCATTCTCGGCGTCAAGGCTAGAAGATCAGACCTTTGGCATTTCTCCGTCTGCGGGCACGGATGAATTTACCTCTTGGTTGTTCGACCAGAATGGAGGCGTTTACAATGGTCAATCCAATGGCGAGGTTGCATTCTCCAACATCTACCAACCTAATGTGTTTGGTCAGGTCTATTCCAATTACTTCTCCACGCCTGAGATCGAAATCCCGTTCACAAATACATTGACCCAATCACTAGGCCCTAACAAACCACATGAGTCGATTGCTTCGATAGAAACGCCTTTTATCGCAAGCTGGAAGAGGCAAACTATCCTGGAGATCATGCAGCAGCGTTTCTCTGGAAGTGGAAGCTCTGGTTTTTATGATCGGTCTATTAAACAGCAGATCTTCGAGGGCAATGTGGATGATGATGACCACGTTTTAAGCCTCTCTTCCCTTCATCGTTACATCGATAACTACTGGAAGAACTTCCATGACCAATTTCCAATACTTCATCAGCCATCCTTTCTGCCAAACTTTGTCCATGATTACCTTCTCCTTGCTGTGGTTGTAATGGGCGCATCTCTACTAAATCGATATGAGTATGGCACGGAATTTGCTGACAGAGCCGCACAACTAGCAAATTTCATCGCTTGGAACCTCCGTTGGCAAGTTTTCACAGATCCTGACTCTTGTCCTCCGGCCAAGCTCTGGGTATTGCAGACTCTTGCTATCTTAGAGGTCTACGAGAAGACTAATTCAACTAGGGCACTTCACGAACGTGCTCATGTTCACTTTGCTGCGACCTTGACACTGATGCGAAGAGGTAGTGCTCTCGTAGGTGAGTCCACTCCACCAGCCTTACGAATGGGTATTCCTGGTGAAGGCACCCAAGTACTTCGACAAGGCCAGGAATTGCCGCCCTTGGCCGAGAAATGGTGGACTCAATGGATTGCTCAAGAAGCCACACGCCGAGCAGCGTTTGGCGCATTCCTACTAGACTCTATGCATGCTGTGATGTTTGGACACGCAGCTACTATGGTCATTCATGAAATACAACTTCCACTACCCTGCGATGACACCTTGTGGTCTGCTCCAACCTCGTCTGAAGTTGGTCGTATCGAGTTCAGCCTTTACACAAACGGGATCAAGCCGCTGACATTTCTCAACGGCCTGAAACGAACATTGAGTTGCCGGCGAGTGCGGACCAACCCATTTGGGCGCATCGTACTCATGGCTGGGCTGTTATCTGTGTCATGGCATATGCACCAGAGAGATCTATATGGGAAGAGCCTTGACAAGGACAACATGGGAGTCCCAGAAGGATGGAAAGCGCAGATTGTGAAAGCACTGGAATGGTGGAAGAAGGATTTTGACGAAAGCCTTGCATATATGAGGAGATCTGGCATCGACGTCCACAAAACGGGCTTCACGCAAGCACATCTGCATACATCTGACTCTCTAGCCACGGTTTTATACCACCTCGGCCACATTGGCGTACAAGTTGATATGCCCGATTTATGCATATTAGCCGGAGCCAAGATCTTACTTGGTCGAGTGATTACGATGTCTGACCGCGAACGTGTGCACATCAAGATGAAAACTTGGGCCACTTCTGCTGCGGCAAGGCATGCAGTTCATTATAGCATCCGATTCATTTGCTCCATACTGCTACAAGACGTGAAGCGCAAAAAGTCTGAGCATAAAATTCATGAGGGGCCCTGTGCAGAGAGCATGGAGGGTCACTCAATATATTCCTATAGCGCCTCCGCCGATTTCTTGTTGCCTAGGCCCTGGGTTCTCTACTTTTCCACGCTTGTGGTATGGGCTTATGGATTCCTTTTGGATGGACAGCTCCAGCCGTTTCCTGACAATTTGGAATATCCCGCGATTGCTACAAGACACGCAGTGCGCCTTGAAAACCCGAAGTCACCCCAGGTGGAGCCGCTGAAGGAAAGAGAGCAGGATGCAAAAGCATACCTGAAAGTAATGACAAGATTTGATTCTCCTGCTGGGTTGGACAAGATAACGATGGGCCGGAACAGAATCATTGGCCTCATCAGCGTTGTATCAAAAGTCCTGGAGGGCTCGAAGTGGGAATTGTTGAATGAGGCCCGCGATAGGCTTCATGGAGCTGCAGAGGCGTTGAGACCTGTTCCCCCAGTTTGATGAAATGTTTTGAATAGCTCATTGGCTTCATGAGCTACAAAGATACTCGGCAAATTCAAGTCACGGCTTTCCTCAAGAGAAGTGTGTGATCAAGGTAGTGAAAGGGGCGTCAATTCATCCCAGTCTTCATACAATGAGGATTTGTGCTGAGGTATGCACGATTGCAGTCACATTCAGGGTTTGGGCTTCATTCGGTGTTGTTTACAATGTGCAACGCCACACTTGAGTGGTTAATGCTTGTTGACTCGATGAGAGCGATCACCATCTCCCGTATCCATGAGGGATTATAAACGAGCTCTGAACACGCCTCACTTATTGGAGCAGACTTGTTTCAATCTTATCAGACATTGATTGCTCGCAGTCTTGATTACAGCAATCGGCAGTCTAGAAAGCCTACACTAGCCCTTGTTTCACGAGGCGGGGAATTTGTCTGGAAGGGTTGACTCTGCCTGCATCAGCTCCTGGATACCAGCAGTGATGGTCTTCTGTTCAGTTTCACCCACCCTTCTCAAAGGTTGACGGGCGAATCCCCCATAGCCAAAATAACTTTGAAGCGCAGCCTTGGTGCCTGGGACGGCAGTCTTAGTAAGCACCCAGTCCCCTGCGCTCACGACCTTTTGGAGGGCTGTGGATTCAGCCGGCTTCCCTTCCGCCCAGAGGTCCCAAACTTTGACGCACGTCCTAGGGAACACATTTGCACCTCCGGCAATCACGCCGCTCCCACCTGATAACAAAGTCTGTGCGGTGAAGTCAGCCATACCGCCAAAAGCCATGTATCCGCTACCCTCATAACCCGCAGTTTTGGCATCAGTAATTCGTGCTACACGGGTTAGTTTACCTGTATTGCCACAGGTAAACTTGGTTCCGACAATGTTTGGATGTTTAGCAAGGCGGATCAAAAAGTCCGAATCCATGTCAATGCCGGCAACCGCACCGGGATAATTGTACAGGATAATTGGTAAGGGACTTTGATCGGCGACGGAGTTGAAATATTGCTCAAGCCGCTCCTCGTCCATGGCGTATCGATAATAACTCGGGGCGACAAGCAGCACATAGTCTCCTCGAGCCTGGGCGGCCAATTTGATGTTCTCGATCGTTCCTTTAACGCTCTGATCGCTTGCGCCAACAATGATGGGCAGATCTGGAAAGCCGGCGGCATCGAGGGCTAGTCGTGTCTGCAAAGTGACGGTGAAGCGCTCATCGTTGGAAAGATGGACTGCTTCGCCGTTCGAACCCAGTGTCACAAGCCCGGCGAGCCCAGCGCGAGCGAGACGGACGGCATGGTCACGTACCCTGGGGACATCCAGCTCCTCGGTGTCGGGATCAAAAAAAGTCAAGGTTGGACAGTAAATCCCATCTTGCAGACTTCTCCGTGTCTTTTTCGGACTTCCGATCGAACCCATAATGTCCTCCGTTTTGAATAGGGCACTAGTATCAAGAGAAACCGCGCACAAACCTGTCTGGGCTGAACAGATGCCAAAGTGACATTGAGAAAGTAGACATTTGACGTACTTTATAAGATTCTCTCCGTACTCCAATGCCAAAAGGGCGGCTGAAGAGCATGCAGGCAATCCTCCCCCAAGCCTAGATCTGCCGACTTCATATATGTATCATTGCAAACTTAGAACCCTAACACAGCCGTGGCCTTGCGAACTGCGGAGGCATCTCCTGCTCGGTAATACTACATTGGGGACCACGCTTGGCGATCGCCAATGCCTGATTAGGGGGTGGGGGTCATGATTGGGGGTCAACCCTCAACAACAAACCATCCACGAGTTGGTCATGGGTTCATGGTCTATGCATGAGAGCAAATGGTTTCGAAGCCGCCGACATCTACGCTAAGCCCTAGCAAGCGCCCAGCTGTAGGCTGCTCTCGCCACGTCGCTATCTGATCAGCGGCGAGACATGCCCCACAGAGGCGTCCCGTTCTGAGGGATTGCTCTGAGCCGACCTCCGACTACTCGGTCACTAACTACTCGGTCACTACTCGGTACACATGCCCCGAGTTAGGAGAGACTTGTGGTGGAGTAGTAGGCGATACGGATCCGCGATTGGCTTCATCATGTGGATGGCATATGTAGAACAATTGGGCCTGGGTGACAGCCGTTACCTTTAGTCAACAGGAAGAAAAGGCCTTTTCATAGCCGAACATCATATGCATTTTCATTCAGGCTCTTGTCCTCTTATCATTCATACTGTACCCGCGACTCGAATCATTCTAGGCGACAACGAAGAAAGGTGATCTGAGAATCTCAGTCAACTCCTCACTCGACACTATGCCTTATCCTGAGGAAGCGGAAGGTTTCCAGATCGACAGCGCAGAGACATGGACCGAATTCCACAAGCGGCACTTCAAACTCAAGCCTTTTGGCGAATATGACGTGGACGTGAAAATCTCAGCTTGCGGCGTCTGTGGGAGCGATGTGCATACAATTACTGGTATGTACCTCAGGTACCTAGCATGAATCCATTGATCCCCGCTAAGCGGTACTGCTACGACAGGAGGTTGGGGCTCTCAGCATTTCCCGCTCGCGGTCGGACATGAAATTCTGGGGACAGCCATTCGCGTGGGGTCCAAGGTGACGTTGATCAAGGAAGGCGAGCGTGTAGGCGTGGGCGCCCAATCCTTCTCCTGCGGCGAATGTAAACAGTGTAAGAACGAGAACGAGACGTACTGCCCGAATATCATGATCGATACTTATGGAAGTAAATGGCCCGAGGAGTATGGCGGTGTTGTTTCTCAGGGTGGTTATTCCAGCCATGTCAGGACGAACGAGCGCTGGGTCTTCCCGATCCCCGAGAAGTTGGATACCAATATCGCCGCTCCTATGCTGTGTGCCGGTCTCACGGCATACAGTCCACTTGTGAGAAACGGAGCCGGACCGGGGAAGAAGGTCGGCATTATTGGGCTTGGAGGCATAGGGCATTTCGGGATCTTGTTTGCAAAGGTACGAGGGAGATTTTGATCTGTTGCGTCACTATGTCAACTGACCGTGTAGGCACTGGGAGCAGAAGTGTGGGCGATAAGCCGATCGCGGTCAAAGGAAGAAGATGCGAAGAAGCTGGGCGCGGATGGCTTCATTGCGACCAACGAGGACGACTGGGAAAAGCCACACAGATTTTCCTTCGACTTGATCGTCAACTGCGCGAATTCCTCCAAGGGATTCGATCTGGCCAAGTATCTAAGCCTAATGGACGTGCATGCTCCATTCGTCAGCGTTGGTCTGCCGGAGGAAGCTGGCCAGGAGATCAAGGCTCAGAACTTGCTTTCCAACGGTGTTCTGATCGGAGCCAGTCACCTGGGTAGTAGACGGGAGATGTTGGAGATGTTGCAGCTGGCGGCCGACAAGGGAATCAAGAGCTGGGTGGAGGAGATCGATATCGGCGAGGCTGGGCTCAAGGAGGCGGTTACGAGGCTGAAGAAGAATGACATCAAATACCGGTTCACACTAACTGGATATGACAAGGCTTTCGGGGCGTAAAGCAGAAGAATCACAGAGCAGAAGAATGGATCAGACATTTCTGTTCACTGCTGTGCGTGCAATGCCTATATGGAGAAGAATGGTGAAGCATGGGAGAAGATGTGGAAGATGGATCAAAGTGAAGCACAGTACAAATGCTGATCGAGTCGGTCTACATGTCTGCTCCTGACTGAGACGTCCCATTGATGCAACCTGCCCGCCTTCATATGGCCGCCTGAAATACTGCCACGGTTGTGTCTACCACATAAACTAGGTAGCAGCTGCTCCAGACTCTGAAGGCTCGGATCTCTCAGGGAATTTCTTGATAACATAATCGATCGCATACTCGTAGCCAGAGGCTCCACAACCAGCCTGAATACCAAGCTCTCAGTACGTGGCTCGAAATGTACGGAAGACTTACTATGATAGCTTTCGCCTTGTCAGAGAAGTAGGAGTGATGTCTCCACTCCTCACGCGCGTGGATGTTCGACACATGTAGTTCGATAAAGGGCACCGAGACTCCTAACAGTGAATCACGGATTGCAACAGAAGTATGCGTCCAGCCACCAGGGTTGATGACTATCCCATCAGTACCGTCGGTCCTTGCCTGTTGAATGCGGTCGATACAAGCACCTTCCCAGTTTCTGAGAGCCGAGGAGGTCGTGAGAAAGGCGATGGAAGACAGCAATCGGCTCGGGTCAGGGATATCCTTACGTCTGAAAGAATTCCACCACCGCGTCCAGTTTCTGGCCAAGCGTGACGCCCGTGTTCTCAACGTCCTTCAAGGTCTCGTGGCCGTAGATGTGTGGTTCTCTGAGGCCCAGCAGATTCAAGTTAGGACCGTTGATTACGAGGACGGTCTTCTTGCCTCCTCGCATTGTGGACAGTATGCTATGGCGGTGCTGATGCTAGCAGTTGGAACGTGTTCGCAAGAAGAAGCATAGCCTATTGGCACGAGACGACCGGGACCTCGTCTCTCTGCGAATGAAGCTGGACTTTTGCTAGATGCCGAAAAGGTGGGGGGAGGGAGGGCACTGAAGGATCCCCTCATGCACGAGGGATGCGCTACAAACACAATGCGGAGAAGGGCGATCGATCGTGAAGAGTCTTGAGCATGAGAACAGCGACTGCCTAGCAGATCCTCGCGAACTGACAATGCATGCTTGTATCGAATGTTTGGCCGAATGATCAGATCATGAGTATAATTTCGAGATGAACAACGGGCCAGACAAGGCTAGAATATGCTAGGATGTCTGCTAACAAGGAGCGGAAGATTGGCGTTATCATGAACGGCGTGACTGGTCGCATGGGCACAAATCAACATCTTGTCCGCTCGATTGTCGCCATACGGTCGCAAGGAGGCCTTAGGCTGAAGGACGGGACCGTCGTGATCCCAGAGCCAGTCTTGGTAGGTCGGAACTTGGATAAACTTCAACAGCTCGCAAAAGATCAAGGACTGCAGCACATTACTACCGACCTTGAAGCAGAACTCCAGCGCCCGGAGAATCTGATTTATTTTGACGCCCAGACGACTGGGAGACGGGCTGATGCGGTCAAGAAGGCGGTGGCTGCTGGCAAGAATATCTACTGTGAGAAACCAACTGCGGTGTCAGCAGAACAGGCATATGATTTATACAAAGTCGCCCGAGATGCAGGAATCAAGCACGGAGTGGTTCAGGACAAGCTTTTCCTGCCGGGGCTCTTGAAGTTGAAAGGGCTCATTGACAGTGGCTTCTTTGGGCGAATCCTCTCAGTCCGCGGAGAATTTGGATACTGGGTGTTTGATGGCCTGGGACCAGCAACGCCGCAGCGGCCAAGCTGGAACTTCCGCAAAGAGGATGACGGAGGAATTATCAGCGATATGCTTTGCCACTGGGAATACGTAATCGGGAACCTGTTTGGCGAGATTAAGTCGGTGTCGTGTTTGGGAGCAACTCACATAACAGAACGAGTCGACGAGCAAGGGAAGACATACAAGTGCACGGCTGATGACTCAGCATATGCTACTTTCGAATTGAAGAACGGAGTGATCGTGCACTTCAACTCGTCTTGGGCAGTCCGTGTGAGACGGGACGACTTGCTCACGATTCAAGTTGACGGAACACGAGGCTCTGCAGTGGCCGGTTTGAGGGATTGTCTTGTTCAACAGGACAGCGTTACACCGCGGCCTGTATGGAACCCAGACATCGGGAGCAACATCAAGTACTCGGATGGTTGGACAAAAGTGCCTGATTATCAGGTCTTTGAGAATGCCTTTAAGGCCCAATGGGAGCAGTTCTTGCGCCATGTATTGGAGGATGGCCCTTGGGATCACGACTTACTCAAAGGAGCGAGAGGCTGCTTATTGACATCGACGGCGATTGAAAGCGGGAATCAGCGGCGATGGCTCGACATACCAGAAATGCTTGAGTGAACGGTTTTCCAGAGTTCTTACTGCTGAGGCGGGGCAGGCAGCATCCAAAGGTGAATATAATGGAAATGACCTTAAAATGTACATTGGTGGAGAAAGATGATATTGTGATATTAACATCAAGGCCCTTCCAATCCCAATTGCGAAACGCCTCTCCTTTTTCGTTGGGGGGGGGGGATTCATTGCAGACCGGAAATTGGGCCGACGTTCAGGTATCAGTGATGCACCGTAGTCAAAGTTCAACGTTGGATGCGGCGGCATGGAAGATTATTACTCCGGGAGAAGAACGGCCCGTGACTACTGACCACAAATTTATTATACAAAGACCACCTGGTGACCTTCACAACGCTTCACCACACTCCACCTACATCACCCCATTAAAACAGGCATCCACCCATCATTAGATTTACATCGAGCGACATCCTCTTGCTCATATTCTTCCTTCGACGATTACCTAGTGTCCAGTTTGAACGCTGTACCAACATGCGTCTCTTCATCACCGTCCTCCTCGCCCTCATTACAGCGGGTCTTGCCAGGCCTGCGGCCCTCAAGACCGTGATTGTCTCATATCCCAACGACACTCCCTCCTCTGTTGTGGACAAGGCGATTGAGGAGGTCATTAATGCAGGTGGCATCGTCACCCACGAATACTGTAAGCGTGCGCGCCAATGAACTTGACTCATTGATCGCATGTACTGACCAACATCACAACAGCACTTATTAAAGGCTTCTCGGCCAAGGTGTCGGATAGCATGATTGATACCATCAACACCTTGACCGAGAACTACACGCCTTTGGTCGAACTTGACAATATCGTTACTATCAGCAACCCCTAGATCACCGACTGAAGTGGGAACGGCACATGAAGATTCAACGACGGAGACGAAGTGGTACCATCTGATCTGATAGGAAGTGCTCCGGGATGCAGATGTCTGTATCATCATGCTGTACAACACTCGGGGTGGCAACGTTATACAAAAAGGAACATGGCCCTAGCGATGGGTTGGGGTGCGGGATAGGCGTTGCTGGATCCAGTAATTCGATTAGTCTTCACATGATGCCCAGCAAATGACGTGCAGTTTCTTGTCCTGAACATGACTGTATATTCTATCTTGTTTGCCTATCTTTCTTTCTGGTCATCTCCTGAGTCCTGTCGGTATAAGTGGACTCCTGGTTGTGGTGGTCTTTGCGCGACGTCATAATTTCGGGCGAAACGCGCACCCGGAAATGGATGGGACAGTCGACCGTCGACAGACGTGCCTAAGGTACCACCGTACCGCCGTATCACCCAAGGGACCCAGCTAGGCAGTAGTAGTCTAGTCAACTAAACACAGCGCGTTATCCGTGGCACCGTGACATAGACTCGGACTCGGACATTTACTGCTCGTAGTATCGCCCGTACCTCAGTTGATCCATCATTCATCTGAAACTTGAAACCATGGGGCTGACTCGATGCAATGTCACCATGAGACAACAGATTTCCTGACTCAACAACTTGTGATAATGCCACATCATTCCCACAACTTTCTCTTCTATGGCGACCGAAGAAGCCATCGCCGCAGGCTTGATCGACTGGGTCAATAGCCTGGCAGTTGCAAACCCCGTGTACACCGTCGAGGATCTCAGCAACGGCCATGTCATATGGAAAGTCCTGCGTATGCGCTGCCCATTGGTCTCTTCTCTTCATCACACTCTCAACTGACCTCCTGTCCAGAGCAGATTGACCGATTTAGCTTCTCGGGCAAACTGCCCGAAGACCCTGATACTGACCAGTGGATCAATAAATGGACGAACCTCAAACATATTTACGATGCCCTGTCCATCTTCCTCCTCGAGGACTGCGGCCAACGCCTGCCGCTTCCAGGCGGCAGACCCGACCTCAAAGCCATCGCCCAATCTTCCTCCTTGACTGATATCGTTACCCTACTGAAGCTTCTTGTGGTCGCTGCCATCAACTGCGCCGAGCGCATCGAATTTCTCAAGCAGATGCAACAGTTGGCCGAGTCCACGCAAGAGGTGTTGATGCAAACTGTTCAAGAGGCAGGTGAAGGCGAGGCCGAGGCCGAAGGCGATTCCCAAGACGAAACCCAAGACTTGGATCAGCATGACCCCGTCGCGTCTGACCATGCCCCTACGTCGCCCCGACGCTCCGTGGAAGTTGATTCAGTCCTGGCATCCGAAGAGCGACTCGGCAAAGTCATTGCAGACAATCAGCGAATAGCCCATGAGAAGAGGGAGCTGCAGAAACACCTGGACGACTTCCATCTCCGCTATGAGAAGCTCCAGGAACGCTGTGATCTCGCCCAGGACGAACTCAAGGAAACTGGTGATCGTCTCTCTGCAGTGCTGGCAGGCCGCTCTGACATCTCTACTCGACCTCTGGATGCAAAACATGACACTCTGATTGCCACCCTGGAGAATCGAGTCGAAGAAGCCGAGTCTGAAGTGGATGAGCTGCGTAAGGCGAATGAGGTCCTGAAAATCAAATCCGAGAAAGCCCAAAAACTCCAGGATGACTACGATGAAATGAAGATTGAGCGAGACCGACTGGCCCGCAAAGCCAACACCGCCGAAAAATACAGACAGAAACTGGAAGCGAGCCAGGACCTGGAAAAGGATAACGCCACTTTGCGTATCAAGGTCAATGACCTGCAGAACCAGCTCAAGCAGTCCGACTCGGCCCAAGCAAGTTCGAGCGATTTGCAGCGGGAAGTTGACGAATATCGACGCCTGCTCCCTAGTATTGAGCAGGAACGATATGAGTTGAATGAGATGAAGAAAAGGTTAGAGTTTGACTATCACACACTCGAAGTGCGGTATCATGATACATCAGAGCAGTTATCCAGGCAGCACCAAGCTGTCGAGGACTTGCAAAGCAGGTTGGCCGACTACGAGGATGGAATTGCACCCGCTACTCGAGAAGAGCGCCTGCCTAGCCCAGTTGATAAAGACCTGGATCACGAAGAAGCCGACTTCCTCGAATCAGAAGCAAGACTTGCTGCCGCGCTCTTCAACGGGGACTCCAGCCCGGGTGACCAAGCCGAGATGACATCGCCGACAAGTTCGACGGCCACTCCGTCTACTTCAGCCCTGCTCCTCGACCTCGGAACAGGTGATAACGAATCCATCACCGAGGACGAACTCAAAGCCATCATGGCCGCAATGCGTGCACAAGCGCAAGCTGGCTCTGCCTCGGAGCGTGAATCCAGTTTGCGCGCACAGAAGAAACTTGTTGTCGCAATTGAGCGCCAGCGCACCAAGAACAAGTTACTCCTGGACCATATCCAGAAACAGGACGGCGTGATCCGTGATCTGCAGCAGACACAATCAGATCGTCCACAGGCCGAAACTGAAAAGAAACCGAATCAAGAGCCTGTGCCGCCTCCACCGCCACCCAAGGACACACCTCGTGATGTGGAACCCGCCGTTTACAACAGCGAAGAGGACATGCCCGAACTGGAGCGCCTGACCGATGAGAATAGAAATCTCCAACGCGAACTCAAACTCATGGCATCCGCATGGTATGAGCAGAATCAGCGGCTGGCCAGCCTTAGCTCGGCGGCGTCAGGTCGAAGCCGTGGCTATGGCGGGGGCGGGCCCGGGAATGGCGCCGAGTTCAGAGGATTCCTCGGCCGTCAGAGGCGGAGGGTTGATGTTGTGACTTTTGCACGGTGACAAGCACCCAGTGCGTGCGGGTGGATAACGAGAGGTATATTCCCGAGGGACATTTAAGGATGGACGTTGAAGACTGCATGGCCGGTTTGGATGTATTTTTCACTTACTGGAATGATTCGACTTTAGTCAGGATGCATCGCGTACCCATTGGGATCAACCACCACAGGTAGGTGTTGGGTACCATTGGAAAATTGATTATGGTTGCGGCGAGGCTGAGTAGCCCTGCTGTGGTATGGGCATAGCCGGCCTTCAACTGCGAGTATTGTACGACACAAAATGACGAATCGAAGTATAGTATACTACTACTTGAGCTTGTCCCGTCAGAGTGAACATGGCTCGTTATGATGATCACAGCTCTCCGTTCTGGAGAACTTGCCATCTAATTGTTTCCCAAGTACGGGGAATTCGGCACACAACCCGGCTTCACAAAATCCCAATGGCAATGTCACCCTTTAGCCTGGCAATGATGCGAATGTCGACCTCAAGGGCTAACTTGACGTGGATTTTCAACGATCCAGCCATATCTTCGGTGTCTCCTTTGGTCAACCCTGTGATGGTTTTTTGCAGCCCTTGAGTCGCCTGACTCACTTGGTCCGTCGGCTGGCTGACTGTATTTCCTGCAGTGTTGGCAACCGAGTCAACTGCGCCTGTTGGTCCTGAACCTGAACCTGAACCTGAACCTGACGAGTTTTCTCCCGACATTTTTTCTTTTTTGCGGCCTCCTTGTGCTGTGTCGTTGCCTCCTTTCTCCTTCTCCGGTTCTTTCTCCAGTTGAGGATCTAGGTCGTGGTTCTTGGAGTCGAATTGATCACTAAAGATGACCGAGCGTTAAATAGAACTGGCGGAAGGAAGGAAAACAAGACCTACAAGTCTGACATTTTGATGCTGGACAATGGATGCTGGAGCTAGGGGCGAAACAAGAGAGATTCAATATCTCGACCAGCTGCCTGGTCAAAGAGTCCTGGCAAGTTGGGCTCTTCTGGCTGCTTGATGCTCAAGACCGACTTGCAATCAATAACGATTGATTTGGATGTCGCGAGGATCTGTAGACCAATTGCAAATCTGGGGCGTGAGGGCGGCTGTCTGGAAAAGTTCAGCATGCAGGAAAACCAAGAAGAAGGGCGAGGTTAACGAACTGCTCGGTCCGAGACTTCTCGCTTTCGAGGATCCGCACTTTTGAGGCTTCAAGCTCCTCTTTCAGATATGTGGCGGCTGCTAGCTTTTGCAGGGTGATGAGAACGAATGCTGAGATGGGCGGGAGTAAGTGGCACAGTCAGGAGAGTTGCCGGTCAACGGCGGCTGCGGTCTCTGTACATAAGTTTTCAGTCAGTAGAATGTGAAGTCCTGCGTACCCACCAGAAATCTGCCAGCTGGAAATCCGAAGCAGGGATGATTCCAGGATCTCATCACCGTGCGTGAAAATCTCTGGATGGTCGTGCTATTCATGGAATAAACGGCCTGATGATCGCACTTGTTTCCTCGACATTATTAGTGGACGACCTGCCGTCAGAAACATTATAGTGACTGGATTACTTGCTCGGTAGATCAGGTCTCAGCGGCGGTCGATCTTGGGTAGTATAGGACGCGTCGCATTACGAGTAGTTTGGTAGAGGGATCTGATTTGACTGGTGTTGTTTTGGCTGATGTCAGGACTCAGGGATAAACAGCCTTGTCGCTGTGTGACGTCAACATGCCCGACTTGGTGCAATCCTGGTGATGAAATGATGCGGGAACCGAAACAACCAGCGCATTTGTCGCCTGGAATAGGCATGGGTTTGTCTCGGTTGCGATTTTCACCAGGATCATTTCTGGGAAGTTACATGGCGAAGCTTTCAGAGTACTCGCTATCCAGGTGTCCAGGTATCCAGGAACATCTGCATTACTTCACACGGAGTAATCGGAGCACCCCGAGGGCATGGGTTGACCGCTGACCAGAAACTCACGCCGATCTCTTTTGCTTTTACGTACCGCACCATGCGTTGGCCTCCATGTGAGAATCTCAGGTATGATGGGAGTCTACCAGCTTGATCGATCTATTGTTGGTCTTGGTCGCAGTTAGCAACGATGGTGCTTTCACTCATAACGCTGGCGGCCACTGTGCCCTTGCTTGCGACTTCAACAATGCAGCTGTCTGATCAGGCACAGAACACTTCGAACAGAGCCGAAGAAGAGATCAAGACTGAGAAATGCCACTTCGCAGCCAGAGCCTCAAAACGGATGAGCGAGAAGAGAAGGCAGCAGTTCGCAGACATGATTCTGGTTTTAAAGGGCGGCCGAGTCTTCCTCGCTCACCAAGATTACGCGGATCACCATCCTCTGACCGGCTACTTCCTCCCATTTCCCGAACAGTCGCATGAAGGGCTGGTGACCACGATCAACGAGCAAAACTTTCTCAACTGGGTCTACATTGGCTCCTCGACCTACCGCGTCAAACATGGTGTCCGAGTCGAAGCCCAGGCACAGCTCACAGGTCCAATGGATCTGATCTTCTCCCAGTATGGGGATAAGAGGCTCTGCTTCGAAGGCTGGGAAGGCTTCGTAGCTGTGGAAGAAGAAGCAGACCAGTGGGCATTGTACTTCGACAAGGATGATAATGGGCTACAAGACAAGGCTAAAGGGCGACCCGTCGTTGAATTGGAGCTGATTCGAAAGGAGCTGGATCAGTACAAGCCTACCAAGACAGCTAAATCCGAGGATGACTCTAGTTGACCCGGGAAATCCATGCTTGTAGGCGGTGGCTGTCACACATAGCCTTTGCTGAAACAATGAACACTCATTCAATATGCGACCGAGTTTGGTGGGTTCTGATAAGAAATTGAACAAGACGGTTTCTAGAAGGAGAGTATTTGGCCGGGATGGCAGCGGTACTTCCAATGACGAGATTGGAGGTGTTGGTGGACCGAGGAGCACTTCTCCAAATCTCTGGTGCCCTGACATTTCGCGGGTCTGCGGGGGACCTGATATAAACAGTCCCTGCATGTGCCCCAGCAAGCAGCAGCACAGGTTGATCGGTCGTTGGATTTCAAGAGATCTGTTATCATTAATCTAGCGCCGTTTATCTTTCATCTGATTAGATCCAGCATGAGTCCAACAAGCACTCAGCCAGTATATGCCACGGTGTCGGCCCTGGAGGCGGGACAACTGACATTACCAGAGAAGCTATTTGTGACGGCTGCTGATCCTGACAAGAGAGCGACGGTTCCTTCATTGTCTTTCTTGATACAGCATCCATCGTCGAGTGGCAAGACAACAAGGATTGTATTTGATCTGGGCCTCAAGCGCGACCTCACCGGCTACCCAGAGCCCCAACAACTCCACATCCAAAATCGACAACCGACGATACTGCGACCTGACTGTGCCGATAGTTTGCGCAAAGGGGGTTTGGAACCCGCGCGAGACATCGATGTTGTTATCTTGAGTCATGTACACTGGGATCATGAAGGCACTCCATCGGATTTTTCGAACTCCCAATTCGTCGTGGGCTCCGGAACGTTGCATCTACTTGAGAACGGAGCACCACCGCACTATCCAAGGGAGATATTCAACCCGAATTTGTTACCAAGAGAGCGAACCCGAGAGCTGCCACCGGTGGCAAAAGATAGCACGACAGCCGCCGCGAACCAGACCGATCATCAATGGAAGCCTTTTGCGGGATTCCCAGCGACGGCTGATTTCTTCGGAGATGGAGCCATCTATGTGGTCGACAGTCCAGGGCATCTCTATGGCCATGTCAACCTCCTCGTTCACGTTGGGCCACAGAAATGGGTCTACTTAGGTGGCGATTGCTGTCACGATCCAAGAATCCTGTCGGGAGAGAAGGATATTGCATTGTACGATGATGGACACGGCAGTCTACGGAGTGTTCACGTCGACACAGACAAGGCAAGAGAAACACTCGACAAGATAGGACCACTGCTGAAGAAGCCGAGCCCGAGCTTCGATGAGCCGTCCGAGGTAGAAGTGATTGTTGCCCATGATAAGAACTGGCGGGAGCAGAATCAGCATCGCTTCTTCCCTGGTACGCTATGAATGGATGACAGTGACAGAGCTCTTCAAGTAGGAAAGGTGCATGGAATTTGATCCTGATTCCTGCAGCCTTGTACAAAGATGATGCGCTACGGAATGAACAATTGAACAACCCTGTCCCTAGGTTTGTGATGGTGTTGTAGGGGCTAACCCGAGGCTCCTTGACATGTTCCATGTCGAGGATGATATGGCTTTATCCCACAATACCCCATCAGTTAGATAGTACAGGCACAAGGCAGTCAGGCGGTAGGAGGGGCAATTCCGTGGCTGTCGATTGCACCTTCCCCAACCCCGGTTGGTCCAGCACATTCCCCCAATTCGGGATCCCCCGCACCTTCCCAACTTTACGAGTAAGCATTTCGTTTCTCCAACTCTTGATCTTGCCCCGCCTCCAGATCCTCAACACCATCCACCATCTGCAGAGTACTCGTACCAAACGTCAAGTGAACACGACTCTCCCGTTACCATTAACTAGACTCTGGCATTTCCCACTAGCAAATCCTTGGTTGGAGTCATGCCGAATGCCGATTCGGAGAGTCACTGTGCCCATTTCCAACGTCCATTTCTACGTCTACTCATGGTGCCCGCAACACTGGACAACTCCTTCATGTTCTCAATCTGGCATGATACCAAGCTGTTAAACGACATCCATTAGGTGGCCGTAGTAGAAAATCAAACCCGCCCCCTCAGGTTCACTAAATCTAACTGCAGGAAGTAAGAATGACTTCGTTAGACAACACCGTCGCCTTTATAGGTATCTATGTCCTGAATGATGGTTGACAACAAACTGACAAGGCTGTAGGCTTGGGCGTAATGGGCTATCCCATGGCCGTCAATCTTCGCTCTAAACTGCCTTCCTCATCCACTCTTCTAATCTGCGATGTTTCATCCGACGCAATTTCAAAATTCCAACATCAGATGGCCGATCAAGGCCCTATAGAGGTGGTCAAGAGCGGTGCCGAAGCGGCACAAAGAGCAAATACTGTGATCACAATGCTGCCAACGGCATCATCGGTAGAAAAAGTCTACCTCGACCCCACCTCCGGTGTACTCGCTGGAGTACTTGAAGCCTCCAGATCCAATCCCCAGAAGAAGTTAATCATGGAGTGTGGAACAATTGAGACAGCCACCATACTCAAAGTCTCCAAAGCCGCACAGGATGAAGCCACCAAACTGTCTCAAGGCGCACAGCTCGATTTCGTCGATGCACCCGTCTCTGGCGGACCGATGGGCGCGGAGGCAGGCACTCTGACATTCATGGTTGGCGCTGCCAACAGGCCCGCCTACGAGCACGCCAAAGAATACCTCCAGCATATGGGCAAGAAGGAGAGCGTGTTCCACTGCGGCGATGTAGGCGCAGGCACTGCTTTTAAAGTGATCAATAACTACCTCAGCGCAATCACTAGTCTCGCAGCAAGCGAGGCGCTGAACATCGGCGCTAAGATGAACCTCGATCTCAAACTCCTCACCGATGTCATCAATGTCTCGGGTGGGCAATGCTGGGTGACAAGTCAATCGAATCCCGTCCCTGGCATCCATGCCAACGCGCCGGCCAGCAGGAACTATGAGGGAGGCTTCCGAATCGAGCTCTGCAAGCATGTGCTTGAGATGGGAACGTCCCTCGCCGAGATGGTGGGTGCACGCACGATCCTGGATAAACCTACCCTGGCTGCTTTTGAAGAAGCTGCAGCCGACGACCGGTATAAGGGCAAAGATGCCAGGGTGGTTTATAAATGGCTGAATGAAAGCCAACGGTAGATTGGCTCACAAAGGACTTTTTCAAGTTGAGTGGACTTGGAATTGTATAGAAGTTGTGGCAGTACGCATAGTTCCCCTGGCTGATGTTGGCATCATGGAGACAAATGTCCATGCGTGTAGCCGTGTTTTCTAGCCCCATGGACATCTAGCCATGTGGCTGACGAGTAAATGCTCGAAATGAGCTGGGTGCGGGTGCGTGTACATTAGCCGTAGGTCACCCAGGCACCTGGGTAGCCATTGTCGCTATCTGAGCCATTTGGCTCAGGCTACGCTGACCAGTATGGGTTGCTTTGGCACACGAGATCGTCGTCCATGGTCCTCATCTCGTTTCACATTGAATGCTTGGGATCGAACGAGGCCTGTTTCTGATCGGCATTGGGTTCACACATCTACTGCCGCCACAGGACCAAGGTCGCACTTGCAGTCTCGTTCTCGTTGTCGTCCAAAGGATTCGTGGATGCCATCACAGCCGTTTCAATGTAGTTGAATTCTTGCCGTGAGAACTGAAAGGGTCTACACTAAGTAGAACTGGCTCGAGTAGCTCTAGTCCAGGAGGCAACGTCACGGGATGTAAGGGATGTGGCAGCCGTGTGTGGTGTGGTGTATGGTCAGATCATAACCAATGGTCGATGTCGTGTAGGAGCAGGCGTGATTCGCTCAGTCGGCCTCAAGCATATCAGCGTATATGTTGAGACTCGTTCCGATGACATCGACAATCGCCCACGTCTGCGCACCCCGAAAGACCTGTGCCCATACTCGCAGCACTCAATCACAATTTGAGTTAGCATTTTACTAGACAATCCTGCAGCAGAAGTCTATCTTACCTCCAGCGCTGAGATACTTCATGGCAGCAGGCGATTCCATGGGAACATCACGTGGCATCGCAAACTCGGTTTCATCCAACATGGTTTTCACCAATGTGGCAATTTTCTGTTCGTCGTGAGTGATGACTGGTCCAGAATCCTGGAGACTAAGTGCCTCGAGCCATTTGCTCAGTAGGAAGGCACACTCGAGGGTGCAAAGGGAGTGTTGTATAGACCACATGAATGTCTGCGTCTGGGCCACGAGGTGAATACCGATTTTGACGGGGATGCTGAGGGCGTGGGCGGAGTGGAGAACTGCGCGAACCAGTTTAGGGGTGCGTTTGACAGAAGGACTGTCACGGAACGCATTTGCAATTTGGACAGGGTCTCTTGTGTCGAGCGCCCGTCCCGGGCCCAGGTCTACATTGAGTCTGATGTAAGCGAGTCTCAAAAGAGCGGTCGAGTTGAATGTCACCGGTCCGTTGGGGTTCATCGGGTCGAGAGAAGATTCAGGGTTGCGTTTCCAGGCGAGTTGCCAATTTCGAAGAGCTTGTTCGATGGCGGCAACGTCATCAGCACGTAGTTCACCACCGTAGTCAAGTCGATACCGTGAGATCTGTCGCACGAAAAAGATGTGCTGAAGGAGGGCGTGGACGAGGACGTAGTTGCCCAGGGAAGAGTTATATGTGTTGGCGTCATTCCCTGAGCGAGAAAAGAGTCGGTGAATGGCGACCTGGAAGCTGACCTCAGGAGAGCCGCGAGAGCGTAGTTCTTTCCACTTGGTGGCGGTCGATGCTTTAAACTCGGAAGCATTACATGGGAGATCGAGGTCCACTTCGGACGCGAGGATCAAGGACGGGATGTTGTAAACGATCGTGTGGAGATTGAAGAAGCAGAAAACGATAAATTTGGTCCTTTTGGTTGTCTCACGCCTGATCCACTCTGGCCAACTAATATCTTCCGACATTGGTGGAGACTTGAAGCCATCATCTCGGACCAGGGTTGCGAGAACGCTCTGAATGGCGAGTGCTTCTCGAAGAATCTCACGATGTTTGGCCCATGTTGCCATTGCCATGAGAAGGAGGAGTGCTTGAGCAGTTTGAATGAGATCTTCCTTTTGGGCACCGGAATCCGAGTCGGGCTGGGATGGGAGACCTAAACATCCTGAGATTGAGCCACTGCGCGGTGTTTCTCCAGTTGTCAATATTTCGCTTGTTCTAGTTCGACCGGGATATTGGGATGACGAGTCTGATGTGCGATGGGAGTTGGCTAGCCTCGCATCACGCTGCCGAATTCGTTGCATTGCTATGGACTGACTGACGTGGAAGAGTTCCACCCCCTTTTGGCCTTCGAAGCAGTATTGAGCACCCACGGCGGCCATGGCCAGAATGAGTTCAATGCAACAGTTGTGCACTGAGACGGTAGGAATATGGAGAAAGGGTAAATGCTCGTGGAAGCCGTTGACATAGCCCGCAAGATAACGGGAAAGAGCCAGTCTGGAAGGGAGCTGGAAGTTGGTGGGGACGGCATGTGAGAATTCGGCCAGCTTGCCCGCAACGGCTTGTCTGTCCTCGGTGTTCAGGTCAGAAAGGGCCTTCTGAGGGTATTGCTCGTTTTGGGGTGCAGAAGGACTTTCTTCTGGCTGTAGCGATGGCAAGCGCGAACCGAAGCGTGAAAAGGAGCTTGAATCTTCTTGCTGGTCCAATGCTTGGGTAGGACGCGGATGGACAGGAGGCTCGGTGGTTGGGAAAGGGTCTCCTGTCTGTGTGAGTGATTCGGGAGAGAAGAATGGAATGGGCTGTTCAGCGCTGATTAGTGATGAGAAGTGATAGGATGCCAGGGTGCCATTGTCCATGAAGTTGGCGAGGTCTTGAAGCGAGTCTTCAAAGTCAAAGCCCTGAAGCCCGCCCATGCCATTCAAGGGGTTGGATGTGTTTGGGATAGAAGACTGGATAGCTTGGCCGCCGCCGAGGAGTTGATCCTGAGAGGGGAAGATAGATTCAGGGAGATTTGATTGCGGTTCCATCGGGTTAGGATGGGCCTGTGGTCTGGCGTGTTCTGCAGCCATGAGTAAGGATGTAAATAAGAGGTCATTGTTGCTGGTGGCGTGTGCTGGAGCTTGGTTGGCGGTCGACGGCAAGTAGTTGGTCACTTGCGCGAAACGCGGTGAGCTCAGTGATCTGGCGTCTGGGACTTCCAAGGTGTTACTGGTACCAGTGTCTCTCCGTTGGCGACCGTCCTGATGATTGCTTGAGCCAGTATGACTCTCAGCTCTGCCATTGCGCACCGACCGTTCAGGGTCATGACTCAATCTCTCGTGCCGGACAAGCAGATCACTGATTTACATGTTAGTGGCAGCCCGTTGTTGAAGATCGGGCAGGTCTCCAACGTACCTCCGAGTGAACTTGCTATCACACTGAGAACAGGCGAATGGCTTCTCTCTTGTGTCTGGAGACGGCAGTGAGTTAGGAGGTATGAGTGGAAGAAACCAGGAGACGGCGACTTACGTGTGCGTTCATGGCGCTGAAGGTGTTCGAGACGAGCGAAGAACCTCTGGCAATGCTGACATTGGAACCTTTTGGGCTTTTTTAGCGGGGGCTCGTGGCCATGACCTTGACCTTGACCATCGAGCTCCACGTCGAGGTCGTTGTCCAGCATGGGGTGTGCCAGTGTGTGGAACAATTGGGCCACGATGTCTCCAGGCTATCTAAGCGGGAATGACATGGAGATGGAAACTATCACGTCGGATATGTGGGAGAAGCTGGGGTGACGGATTGACTGACTGCCTGACTAAGAACAGGGAGCAGCAGTAAAAGCTGGGGTTGGATGGGAGAATGGGAACCTGGGTGTTTGGCGGGAGTCTGGTGACTCGTGACTCGTGACTCGTGACTTGGCGAGCGCGGTGGGCGGAGAGTGCCCCCGGCCAAGTTAGTTGGTGTTAGGGGCCCCTACCCTGGCCCTCAGGCGCTGGGTAGCCCCTCGGCCTGTTCCCTTCGTCACGTGCTTAGTCTAGGTGCGGAGTACCTAGGTAACCTACAGCCTACCCCGAATGGTACTGGTACTCGTAGAGATGCTAATTACGAGTCCGATAGGTATGCTCCGAAGTACCCAGTCTATCTTGCCTGTCTGTTGCCCGCCTTGGACATCTCAACCACCATCTGCAGCAGCTCAACTATCACGATCTAACCCATGTACCATCGAAACCCCAATATGAGCATGATGCATTATCACCTCATCCGAGATCGATGGATCTTTACTCTGTTCAAGGTTGCCCGCCCAGCTCGCCAACCTCCTTGTGAGCACGCAGGATTGAGTAAGGACATACCAGCACCACCTGCACGCCCTGAGCCAGATGGGGTTTCCAACCAGGGTCATCGAATCAAAAAAAGGTCTCGGCCACAGAGCAGGCTGCCACCGATATTTAGACTTGCAATATCTGCCGTGCAGTCAGTCTCATTTCGCCGCAAGGGGCATGTGGGATGAGGACACGCCTGCTAACTAACGAACTACTTAGTGACCGCCAAAGGTGAGTAGCAGTCCTCGGATGGAATTGGATTGGAGTACGGACGCCCAAGGGGTTCGCTAGATGGCCGGGCGAGAATTACGGGAGCAAGTTACCCCAACATTGCCAATTTGTACGGGTGGGACCAACGCCAGAAGCGGCCTTGGAAGTTGGAACCTGCATTCTCCTAACTTCCCTGCCCGATATCAATGTCTTTGTTTTCAAGACCTCCTCGCTGCCATCCACTGCTCCGACTGTCGTCGAGTCCTAGATTTCACATCTGGGCAGCGACATGTCTCCTAATTACCTGAGGCAAGCGCCTCCGTCCCCACCGGAAACCACCTCAGAAGCGACTGTCCAAGTATTCGCATTGCAGGCCGGTCACTTTTCTCTTCCTGAGCGTTTCTTTGTACACCCAGCTTCAGAGACTGCCCGCAGGACCGTACCCTCGCTGTCATTTCTCATCGTCCACCAAAATCAAGAAACGGACCAGACCACTCGGATTGTTTTCGACCTTGGTTTACGGAGGGATGCTAATCGCTATCCGTTGCCAATTCAGAAGCATATCGAGACCAGGCAGCCTTTGACAACTCTGCCAGATGTGACCGCGAGCCTGGCCGCCGGAGGTCTGTCCCCGAATGATATTGACTATGTGATATACTCTCATGTAAGTGTGCCCCTCTTCTTGTCTAGTAACTCCTTCTATAACTTGACTGACCCTTTCGCAGGTTCACTGGGATCATGTTGGAGAGCCTCGAGATTTTCCATCCAGTACATTTGTTGTTGGAAACGGAGCAGTAGACCTATTGCATGGAAATGGATCCTCGCTACGAGGGAGCCATTCCTTCTTTGAAGCCGACCTTTTACCAGCCGACAGAACTATCCAGCTCTCGAATCCTTACGAAGAGACTGACGAAGGAGCCGGCAGGCAGAATACCACACCCGGTGGTCCCGACTTCTTCCAAGATTGGACCCCATATAAAAACCTCCCTCGAGTGCTCGATATCTTCCATGATGGCAGCCTATACATCGTGGATGCTCCTGGTCATCTGCCTGGGCATATCAACATCTTGGCTCGCACTGGTCCTCTAAGCAGTGTCTATCTGGCGGGAGACGCTTGCCATGACCGGAGAATTATGCGGAATGAGCGACAGATCGGGGAATGGCTCGATCAGGAAGGGCATATTTGTTGCATTCATGCAGACAAGCACCTGGCACAACAGACCATCGGAAGAATTAGGGAGTTGGAAGCAATGGGCACGGAAGTGATTTTTGCTCATGACCATGAGTGGGAGAGTGACTCCAACAACAGAGCTCGCTTCTTGGGGCAATCAAAGCTTTGACTCTTGGTCGAATCCATTTCTTGAATGCGGCTTAGCAGGGGATCGTTTACTTTGCATTACGACTACCGTGAAAGGACGTGAGGGTACAGAGGATATAGCAGAGTCAACCCGGCAGCTATGGAACGTGATCTCACCAAATTAGTGAGGTGAGGCAGAGCAGAGGGAGGTGATGCACATACTCGTCCAGGTGGTGGGGCAGATGAGATGCAGCCCCAACTATGGACATCCCTCAACCTCCATATATTCCCCCTCATCCACAGATATTACTCCAACTTCAATGCCAGTCACCATTTTGTGATTGCGAGCTATGTATATACCACATGCAGAATCATCATTAATCTGTTGCCGTAAGCAATAGAATTCTGTCAGAGACCAGTCCACCCGTTTCAAAATCGTGTCGTAATGTCACCACCCAAAGATCCCTCCCAGCTGAAACAGAAGTTGATCAGTGAGATTGGGGAAGCTCAATGGGATCAATCCTGGGACAGCATAGCAAAACTCAGCCCCGAGTTGTTCGTGGCTAGTGTGGATCTGATCGCGGTGCCGAGAAGGAAGAGACATCTTTCACCAAAGATACAACAGCTCATGTCCATTGCTGTTGACGCTGCCTCCACACACCTCCATATCCCAGGAATTCAGAAGCATATCAAGGCGGCCCTGGAAGAAGGAGCGACACAAGCAGAAATTGTCGAAGTCATCGAGTTGACTGGCACACTGGGTATTCATGCTTGCAATATTGGTGTTCCTCTCCTTGTCGAGGTGATGAAAGAGGAAGGCATTTATGAACAGCATCCTACCGCCGGAAAACCTTTTGACGCGCAAAGGGAGAAACTGAAAGCCGACTTCACCAGAAATCGAGGTTATTGGCACACCTTCTGGGAAGACTTCCTTGCACTCGACCCAGAGTTCTTCGAAGCATACTTGAACTTTTCTTCGGTGCCTTGGTTGAAAGATGTCGATGGCAGTGGCAAAGGTGGAGGCGTCTTGGAGCCAAAGGTGGCCTCCCTCCACCTCTCTGTCAAGTACAGATATGTGTAAATGCAAGCTAACAATAACTCCAGGTCAAAGAACTCATTTATTGTGCTTTCGATGCAGCTGCCACACATCTCTACGTCCCTGGCCTTAAACTGCACATGAAGAATGTCCTGAAATATGGTGGAACCCCGGAGGAGATCATGGAAGTCCTAGAAATTGCGACTCAGTTGAGTCTGCATACATCCGATATAGCGGCCCCAATACTGGCTCAGCAGCTCGCGAAGGCATAAAACAATGTCACTAGGACAGATTAGAAGATGTTTTATGATTCACCCTGCTGTCGTCTGGTTGGATAGAACCATGAAATTAATCCGTGCTGTTTGCACATGAGGTCGCGTAGACTTGCCTCACATCTGGTTGAAATGTCACCCCAAAGCAGTACTATATGCTGCACTCAACTCGAGGCTCAACAGCAAATGGTGCGTCCAATGAAATGGAAAACCTTTTCCGGGCCTTGAAGGCCGGTCCCTGAACACCGAGGCGAAACATCAAGATAGTTGTCGCGCTTTCTCCAATCTCCAACAACAGGGCCTAGAAATATATCCATCCAAGGGACCCAATTGGAAACTAGGTCCACTGGTTCTGCATCATCTAACGCGGGAGATCTACCTACTCTACGGCATGAATGGGCATAGTGGCTGAATCGAACCATCAGCAACCAACATCAACGCCTTGGCAGTACTGGAGAAGGCTATGACGATTCTCATTATCCGTCTCGGTATTCCCGTGGTACCTACAACCTGTATCCTCCCTCTCGGGCATTCGCCTATTGTTGGGCATGCGCACACAACCGGGGTAATACCCACTCCTCGCCTGATCCAAAACCTCAGGGACATTAGACAGCCATCAATTCAACCCTTCCCCATGTGGTCTTATGTCTTAGTGTCAATACCCCAACCTGAGGAGTCCGATATTATAAACCAGACGAAAGACCAACAAATCTCAACCTCTATTCGCCCTAACTAGCTTCGTACCTAGCAATCAATCTCTGTCAAACCCATTTGCGATGGAAAAGAATCAAAGCTCCCCCACCATGGCAGCACCGGAGGATCTCAAGCCCAGGTCTGAGCTTGATGAGTACGTCGAAAATGGCATGACTATCGAGTCCGCCGACTTCAAGGCCAAGGAAGCAAAGTTGAGGAGGAAGCTCGATCTTTTCATCGCTCCAGTCATGATGCTGCTTATGCTCATCAGTTATCTGGATAGGGGGAACATCGGCTTCGCTGCAACACAGGGAATGTCGGCCGATATTGGTTTGAAAGGCAACCAGCTCAATGTATGTCGACCATGTTGATTGCCCGACTGTGGACCATTCTACTCACATCCGCCTCAAGACTGCAGTCTCCATCTTCTATATCTTCTACATTCTAGCCGAATTCCCTACCTCGATCTTCGTCAAAAAGCTGCAATTCAACAGAGTCATACCCGCAATCTGCTTCTCCTGGGGCTTAGTGTGCCTCTCGATGGGGTGGATCCAAAATTTTGCCGGCCTTTGTGTCTGTCGACTTCTTCTGGGCTTCTTTGAAGGGTAACCGTGGCTTGAAAGGCTCGAGGAATTAAGACTGACTTTTTCTGCTAGATGTCTCTTCCCAGCCATGACGCTACTACTGGCCAACTGGTATCGACGTGAAGAGCTGGCGCAGCGCATCTCCTATCTCTTTAGTATGCCCCCATGACTTTCAAGCGATGCCAGAACTAATGTTTTGAAGTCGCCTCGGCCCTGTCAGGCGCCTTTGGTGGTCTCATCGCCTTCGGCATCCTATATATGGATGGCGTTGCCGGCTATCCAGGTTGGCGATGGCTCTACATCATTGAGGGCATCCTCACCATCATATATGCTGGCATGTGCATCTATCTAGTGCCCAAGAACTATCAGACGGCGTACTTCCTGAACGCTGAGGAGAAAAAGATCATGGCCATCCGGGCGGAGCTCTCAGAATCGTACAGTGGCGGCGATGGCCACCCTAAGATGAAAGAGATTAAGCTCGCTGCAAAGGATATCAAGACCTGGCTCCATGGTGTCAGCCAAATTGCTGTGGTAACCATTCTCTATGGGTTTGGAACATTCCTGCCCATTATCTTGAGATATGGGTTCAATTATACAACCAGACAGGCTCAATACCTAGTCATCCCCGTCAATCTTTGGGGTGCAGTGGTCTATGCTGTCGGTGCAGTCATCTCGGATAAGTATCATAAACGTTTCTTGGTCATGGTTATCTGCGCACCTTTTGGCATCGCAGGCTATGCCATCTTATTGACCGACGTTCCTGTCGGTGTCTTGTATTTTGCCACATACCTCATTGCCACCGCTTGTTTCCTCTGCACAGGAGGAAATATTGCCTGGCATTCAGGCAATGTTGCCCCCGATGGAAAGCGAGCTGCTGCTCTCGGTCAGTCGTTTCCTGAATGATCTATCAATCACTGACAAATTTATCCTACAGGTATTCAACTCACCTTGACAAACATTGGAGGTATCGTCAGTGGACAAATCTACCAATCCAAATCAGCACCAGACTTCACCCTTGGCCACTCGTGGTCCCTTGGATGTCTTGTTTTTGCATTGATCATGTTCAATATTATTCGAATCATCTACAAGCGACGAGAGGCTTGGAAGGACAAAGCCCTCTCAGAAGGCGTTGTCGTTCCTCCAGAGGAATTCACCGATCGTGCGCCCACTTTCAGATATCAATTCTAGATTAACCCATCGAATGAAGGGCGGGGCTCCTAAGTTTGGGGTAAAAACCGGATTCTCAAATATGGGAAATAGCGCCTAAACGGGAGGGGAAGGGCACGAAGGTGATGAAAATGCTGACGGCGAACAAATGGCTTATTACAGCGATAATCAAATCGTGCTTGGTCTGTCCTTTTCTAAAGCTTGGAAGACCTTGGACCCTGTGAGAGTATTAGCAGGTGCTTCAGGAGCTCCTTGTGTACGAATAACCAACAGTAGCAACCTGAAATATTTGTGGAAGATAGTCGTACTCGTTGGTTTTGGGCGCTATTGGTTTCTCTTCACTTTGCACTATGGTCGAGTTTGATTGCCTCAAGTGGCGACACATCCTCCTTTCTTGTAGTCATCCCATCTCACCTCAACACCAGCTGCGGTGTCATCAAACCTATTCTATTTTCTTCTCAACGATGATTACGGCCATGGCCCCACCACCCGGGCTTACGATCTCTGTGATCTTCAGACCAGCTCCGGCCCCTTCTACCAGACCATGAAACTCAACCTCGTCGCGATCCATCCCATTCATTGCCTGCATCATGAAGAGGCTTCTCGCTCTTTCCAGAGCTTCCTCCGTCAGCCCGACACTCCCAGGCCTGGGCAGAAGGGTATTGTTGATCAATAGAAATGCGCCAGGCCCCATAGCAGAGGAAATGTTGCGTAAGATGGCTTGTGCTGCGCTAATGGAATGATTCTGTAGAACCAACCGCACCAGGAACACAGAAGCATCTGAAGAGGATGCGGGCTGCGGACGGAAAAAGTCATGCACCCTATACGTTATACGGCCTGCGACTGCTGCCGGCAGTGGTGTCTCTTTTGCCTTGGCTATCACCCCGGCCAAGTCTTGAACTTCGAATGTGAGATCTGGATATGCCTCTGCCAGAGCGATCGAAGCATGGCCCGATGAGCCACCAACCTTCAGTCAGGGAAAGTCAGCTCTTGGTTAGATGTGGTGAGACATTCTGGGTGATTGACGCGTTTGGCTAAATATCAGGCATGAGATCCATTGAGAGAATTTAACTCACATCAATTATCTTGGCCCTTCCCAATTTCTGCCATCCAAACCCATTGACTAGGTGCCTCGTGTGGGTTCCGTCCTGGCTCCCTAGCACCTTCATCCCTGCCGCTAACCTGGCTGCTACGTCAGGGTTCTGACTCAGATAGCCGAAAAAAGGTAGCTCTGTCTGCAAAGCAATGTTGAAAGCTGTTTCATTGGGCTTTTCGCTCCCATGGTATTGTGCCGTCATCTCTGCCATGCGGTACGTTGTAGCAGCCGTTATTTCAGTCAGAAAATGAAGAGCGTCCAGGTACAAGGAGCCAGCAACAAGTTTCGCGGACAGGTGAGAATGGGTCATGCTTTCCGGACTCGGTTCAGCAAAGATACCGTTTGTGATGAGCATTCGAACCACATGGCGGAGCTGATGATCTGGAACATTGGCTATCCTCGCGACCTCGGTATAAGGAACTGCGTTGTTTGTTGGAATGATAGTAGGTATTTTGAAATGTAGCACCCAGCGAAGACAACTCAAGTATTGATGCTGTGAGTAATAGCAGCGTCAGTCAAAGATGAATCAGGTCGGATCCCATGTTCTAGCGCTCACGTTCAGCGTCATTTGCTCCCACAACTCGATTGGCCCAGTCGAAATCCGCTGCAATCCTGAGAGCGCCTCGTGCAATCGTTTGCGGGCACCCTTCACTTCTAACGTAGACCTGGAGAAGAAGCTAGCGATACTGGTTTCATAGGCATTGTCCTCTTGGCCATCCGTGGCCAGAAGCTGAGCCCGGATCAATTGGGCCGCGGAGTTGATCTGCTCAAGGTATAAGTCCATGGCTGATATCGAGGCCATTGTCAAGAGTTCCAAAGGCAGCATAAAATACGAGGAGTCTGCGAATTGAAAGAAGCATGTATCCTTGATAACAAGATGCAAATGGTGTTCTTTTTCCTCGTATTTGTGATGGGAAGGGGACATGATCCTTCCTAAGACGGTCCGAGGGACTCGTCAGACTATATAGTATCCTAAGTACGTACTAGACTAGCGCCTGGGCGCTCCGAATCCGCTTCGGATAGCGTTCGAACAGCTCTCGCAGCTAGTTCGGATGCGTCGAAGCGATATAGTAGACCACGGTCTTTACAATCGCTTGGCATCGATAATCACATATTGATGGGTCACATGGGAGTGTTTCAGGCGAGATTCTTGGCAGCGATTATGCCAAGTTTTGGCCCCCAGAGATTATGCCAAGGCGTGGACTTCGCACCCAATTTTGTAGTGGTTTTGCATCGGTTTGCATCAATATTGATGAATGAGTATATATTTGACTATTGCTTAATGAATCCTTGGTCACGCGCCTCAATTTGTCTTGTAGTCGGTTGCCTACGCCTTTTGCCTCTAGTGAGCAGTGGGGGCGCTGTTGAGGTCGGTAGTAGAGCACTCGGTGAGGCCTCAGGTGAGGCCTCACGGCGCGGGCGAGGCCTCTCAGGCGTCCTTATGGGTAAGGATAGACCTATAGACCTTGGGGGAGTCTCAGGGATGCTCTCAAGGGCTACTTCTACTGTAGTTTCTATAGTATTAATCCTCTCTTGCAATCCTTAGGCCTTCGAGTCAGTATCTACTTGCTCTACCGTTACTTTTTGCTCTATTACCTGAGTTGCTTGTAAGCGCTCTTGTTGTAGGGCTGTCTGTCGCTCCCGCCGCTCTTGCTGTGTAGCCCTTTCATTGGCCGTAAGTGCTCGCTCGTTGGTGGGTCTATGGCCGCCTCGGCGAGCTAGAGGACCCTCTCTACGGGCATCTAGTGGATATAGAGGGGTTTGCTGTAGAGAGTAGCTACCTGCCGAAAAGGCCTCATCCTGGTCTATATCCTTGATAATTGAGTTGACCTTGATTATAAGCCGTTTCACTGACTCCTTGTGAGGGTTTAGCTAGGAATTTAGAGTAATTCGTCCAACTACCGTATAACGAGGATTCTAAAGCTAAGGAGAGAAAAGAAAAGAGAAAATCTATCTGCTGTACGAATGAAGGAAATACTCCCTACCCTCTCGTAGCTTCGGCTGTACAGTTGTACAGCCTAAAGGTGCACCACGAGTAATCGCTCTAGGGCGCACTCTAGAGCTTTGTACGGGTTCAACTCGTAGAGATTAGGGGGTTCCTTAATCTATAGGAAGCTCATTAATTAGCGGTGGACGCCGTAAATGCTGAGCGTTAAATTACTCACTTTAAGGTCCTACAGCTATAAAGTCTCTTACGCGCCACTTAACAGCGTTATTAAATACAATAGGCACCTCTATAGGCACTAGATCCTCGCCGATAAAGTTATTTAGTAAGGCGCAATGCTCACGGACCCGTAAATCAGCGCGCATTAACTACTAATAAAATTAGTGAGCGCCAACGCCGCTAGGGTCGCTCTATATAGCTACAATAGGAGCGTTATAAGGCCTCATAGGTTATTAAATAAGAGATAGAGTAGTCATTAAATCGCGCGGTAATAGAGCAATAACTATTTAATGAAGAGGAGGATACTATAGAGTTTATTAGGTATACGCCTCTCCAAGACATCCCTACAAGCTCTGAGGTCATTTCTACAACCCCTCCTCCATCGGAAGTTATTCCTACGAGTAGTCCTCCACTAGAAACTTTAGATTTAGTGATCCTTACCCCGGAGCGGCCTCGGCTACGGCGCGAGCCCTCGCCAGAGGGTTCTCCGCTGTAGATTACGCCAAATGAGCCTCCAGCGTTAACTACGCCAGCAGCACTTGGCAGGACAAAGAGACGGCGAAACCACACTGTTAAATTTAACCAGGGTCGACAGCAAGGGTTTATTCCTGAGTCCCAGGAGCGACAGTAATTTGGTGACCCCAGGGCTGGTAAATAGAGCGGAAGAACATTGATCCGGAGGTCCTGGAGTGGCGTCAACACCAAGGTTGACGCCGACGATGCTTTATCAAACCTCAGCCTTGTCGACGAGGGTTCACGATGACAGTGTGGTTGATAAATGGATGAATAATGGCAGGATATGCAAAAGGGGTCAATTTTACAGCCAAATTAGGCCTAGTTTACATTACTTGGCATTCGCTCGCATTTCCGTTCGCTCTAGCCATTCGCTCCCCCGAGACATTCCCTGCTCGTAGCACCCCTTAGGAGCAATCCAGGCAGAATCGGCCATTTGAGCGATAAGTGAGAGATAAACGAGGACTTAAAAGAGGAGGACTTAAGAGCACGAATCAAATAAACACCAAAAAGGTCTATATAAAGTGGCGTCGACGACGTCAAGGTGCAAACTTATCAATATTGATGCAAACCGATGCAAAACCACTACAAAATTGGGTGCGAAGTCCACGCCTTGGCATAATCTCTGGGGGCCAAAACTTGGCATAATCGCTGCCAAGAATCTCGCCTGAAACACTCCCGGTCACATCCTCGCTAGCGTCTGGGCAACCGAACCAAAAGCGACAGTGAGACTTACAGTAGAGGTGCAACCCCGCAAAACCATACATCACTAACGTGCGAGGTTCCTGCCCTTGACAGTCACCATGTATCCGAGATACAATTGGCTTGACAGGGAAGTCTGGGATATCTGTTGATGGCGAATGATCAGACTCACCGAGTTGTCAATATACTTTATAACATCTTGATCCCCCCTACTCCCCCTTGATCTTGGCAGCCTTGCAGTCCATTTATACCTCTTGCGCTGGTACCTTAGGCAGGGAGGTACATACGATTCTTACCTTTCCGGTTCATCAACATTTCGGAGTTGATGCGAAGGTTGGCGATTGAGTTCTGTCATCCAAATCCTATTCTTAAGCGAGCATTGTATTCATCGCGGAATAGCCTCCACCTGAGGAGTACTGAAATACCAGAGGCGAGGGCATGAGCAGGGAGATCACGTGGACGACCCTCTTTGCCCCCCTCTTCCACACACTCGACGTTTTCCTGCAACTGTGCAATTCTGACATGGATGCATTCAACAATTCCTTCCCCAAACTTTTCCACCATCAACTTCACATTTTCAATGTTTTTGCAGTCTACTCTTCTCTAGTTCCATTAGAATCGCATTTTGCACAATTTCTTTCTGCAGTTCACTCATTCGCTTATTTATAACTTTCGCTCTGCCAATTTTGCCATCGACCTTGGAGAGCCTAACAGCGAAAGAGACTAAGCGCTGCTGGTCAACCGACGCCCACTCATTCTGCCTAATGCAGAGCGACTTCTCAACCATTTCCGTTCGTTTCTATCATCCCGACCACTTGTTCCGCTGGCTCTCTAGGACTTGCTGTAATCTCCAATTCTACCTTCTTACCTGAGAGACATTGAAGCATGATGCAACAGCTGAATTCATTCGCCAGATCCCTCAGCGGGACCGGCAGAACAAGTGATTACGAAGGTAAGAATGGCCGGAAAGGGGATTGTCTTTCCCGGTGAAGGCTTCTTTTTTCGTTCCAACATAGTAGTGGCCATATCAGATATGAGGGCTGTCACCAGTCGCCTTTGGGTGGAAATCCTCAAGATGCGTTGTCGGCTTGTGAAGCTGTTCTCTGGTGACGTTCAATCTATCATGGCAATTAGACTCGGACTGTGGCAATCGACTGACCCAATTTTGTACATTGCTAGACTAACAAATTATTTTTTAAAAAAAAAGACAGCAAAAGGCCCCCCAGTAACAAAACATTGTTTCAATCTTTTGAATGGTACTTGCCTGGTCCATCAGACTCCCCGGCGGGAACCCCATCTCATTACACACTCCTCACAGATCTGCTTCCACATCTTTCGGCTATTGGAATAACGCATCTCTGGCTACCTCCAGGATGCAAAGCAACCAGCGCGCAAGATAATGGGTATAGTATTCATGATTTGTGGGACCTCGGCGAATTCGGGTCGAAGGGAAGTCGACGGACGAAATGGGGTACTCGAGAGGAGTTGAATGCATTTTGTGCGAAAGCACATGAATTAAAAATTGGTGTTATCTGGGATACTATCTTGAATCATAAAGCAGGCGCCGATGGTAAAGAAGTGGCGCAGGGAGTGAAAGTCGACCCAACTGGTAACCCGCTCCCTTTAGAAGAAGAAGCCATGCCCTGCACACTTCACCATTGAACAGAGAGATCTTACACAAGTCTGACTTATGGCTTAGATAGAACGAAGCACATATCACAGCCACGTGAACTCGAGACATGGACTTCCTTCACCTTCCCCCATCGGGCTGACAAATACTCTGACATGAAATACAATTGGCGTCATTTCTCAGGCGTCGACTATGATGCTCGTTCACAGGATCATGGAATCTTCAAGTTGGTTCGCAAAGGTGGACAGGGTAAGAGCGATTGGGCCAGCGACGTTAGCGCTGAACTTGGAAATTATGACTATTTGTACGTGGCCATCCTTGACATTCTAAGCCCGGTTATGCTGATGCGGATAGAATGTTTGCCGACGTCGACCATTCGCATCCTGCGGTTCGCAGTGATATATTTGAATGGGGCTCTTGGATCACGTCTTCTCTCAACCTCAGTGGGATGCGACTTGATGCCATCAAGCATTATTCACTCTCTTTCCTCCAAGACTTCATCTCCCATCTAGATAAACACCACCACGACCAGTTCTTTGTTGGTGAGTATTGGGACGCAAGAACCGAAGTCCTGGAGAAAGTGATCCGACGGTTTCACGGGCGGTTGAATCTCTTCGATGTCCAGCTCGTTTACACATTTAGCGACTACTCTAAGGGAAGGAGGAATGATATGAGAGCTATTTTAGATGCATCTCTAGTACACAGAGACCCTGCACATGCTGTTGTGAGTTCCTGTCCGGAAGCCTTATGTTTGAGAGAACAACGGGGACGAATAACACTACTACCAATAGACGTTTGTTGCGAACCATGATACGCAAGAGATGCAGTCGCTAGCTGCACCGGTCGAAGAATGGTTCATCCCACTCGCATACTCCCTTATCCTCCTCCGCCACAATGCGGGTACACCCTGTGTGTTCTGGGGCGACATCTTCGGCAATCAGGGCCCTCGAGCCAGATTTCCAGCTTGTGGAGGCAAGCTTGTTCGGCTCATAGCGGCACGGAAACTCTATGCATATGGTCCGCAAAGGGACTATTTCGACACGGAAGACTGCATTGGATGGACAAGACTCGGCCACAGACTACAATCGGATGGTGCGGGCCTCGCGGTCATAATGACCAATAGCTGGGATAGACGGTCTAAGCGGATGTTTGTTGGGCAAAGACATGCTGGGGAGCGTTGGAAGGATGTCCTTGGCTGGGAAGACCAAGATGTGGTCATCGATTCAAAGGGGTTTGGGCATTTTCCTGTTGGCCATCGATCCGTTGGCGTCTGGACGCATGGCAAGGCGCCGTCTTTTGAGAACGTCAGCAGATTCACTTTCCCTCGGATGGCCCAGGCGATAGCGCCAATCACGAACTTGACAGGCTAAAGGAAGGGCAAATTGCTAACCACAAAGTCTTGTAATCTATGCTGACAGCGTCCTCGATTATACAAGGCTCGGGTAGACACGACGGATTACGAGCCAGATATTGAGATTGTTCCTGGGCTCAACCCAAAACCCACTTTACTCAACAATGACCTATCTAGGGAGTTTCAGAGACTCGGTAAACCAACTTCTCGCCACTGACTTTCCCGTTCTTCAGATCATCGAGTCCTTTCAAAACACCTTTCAGGCCATCCTTACCGACCTTCGCCTTGTGTGGCTTCAACTTGCCCTCGGCGAGCAGCTTCTCCGTAATACCAAAGAATTTCTTGGTATACTCCAAGTCTTCTGGCACAGCCGGAAACTCTGTCGGGCCAAAGAAGAACGGCTCACCGAAGATAGTGTACATCAGCGTCGAAGTGTAGTCGACATCATCTCGTGGAAATTTGTTGGGAAGAATACTGCCGTACCGACTTCCAGACTCGGTGGAAAGGGCATCGGCGACGATCTTGGCGGATTCGCCTTCGCTGACCGTGTCCCAGGCGAGCTTGAGTTTGTTTTGCGTGTATTCGCGGATCTTCTGGCCCACGTTTGGCTCGTTGTAGTCGAATACTTCGGTGGCGCCGAGGCTCTTTACATATTCGAAGTTTCTAGGCGAACTTGTTGACAAGACGGTGTAGCCTGATCTGGAGGATTTGTAAGCGCCATGGACTGGGAAAGGGACGGGTGGGGACCTACAGTTTGGCGAATTGGACACCCAAAGCTCCAGTCGCAGTGCTTCCACCATATATCAAGACGAAAGTCTTCTCCTTGATAGGGTCCGTGGGGAGATTCAAGTTCAAGGCCTTTTGGTAAAGACCCTGTTCGACCGTGGCGACACCCAGCGCCAGAGTCGAAGCATCTTCGAAACTCAAATTATCCGGGATTTTGATCTGCACGTCCCCTTTGGCAGCAACATACTCGGCGAAAGCACCATCTTCAACTTGAAGGCTATTGCCACCATGTGCAACGCCAGAGAGCCTGTCACCTTTACTCCACTTCTTAGTCACAGCCTTGCCCACCTCGACAACGATCCCTGCGAAGTCGCAGCCGACGAGTCCGCCCTCGGCGCCGAGACCAAACGCAACATGTTTCCAGTCAGTGGGGTTGAGAGCCACAGCCTCGGTCTTGACGAGGATGTAATCGTCACGAAGCTTAGGAAGAGGTCGATCTAGTTCAAGCTTGGCTTCTTTGCCTCGAATGACGACTGCTTTCATTGTGTTGGGCATTTTGCTTGACAGTGGATGATTAAAAGTTGATATTCGTCGTCTCAGGATGTTGCAAAGCATAAAAGAGATCTCTGTTGAATGCTTTCTTCCACAGCGCGAGGCCACTCGTGGCTTTAAGTAGGTGGTGTGATGAATGCGGAAAAACAGACCCGGTGACGACAGACGAGGCTGGCAGTACCGAATTGATAATGAAGTTCTACTGATGTTTCCCCTTTGGGCCAGCGCTCCGCTTGGCTAAAACGAGTCTGGAGTTCTGGAAATGCTCGGGAAGGGACAAAGTTCGACAGTTGGTATTAGTAAAACTTGGGCCTCGGACAAGGATTTGTACTTTATCGGGGGAATATTTTACTTTTGCCATGTAAAGACCATCTTCTTGATAGGACGCGGATCCGTGGGGCTTGAAGTCAGACTAAAGCATTTTCGGCCCACCTTTGGCCGACCAATATTACAAATCTCGCTGGGTCAGGGGCCACATGTGGAATTGCCGAATCGTTGAAAACGGCATACGGAAACACTGCCGATAACTTGACATAGCCCAGTGTTTATGCATCATGCATTGATTTTCCATTAGGCGCAATTGTACCTGCCTATACCTATTTGGGTATATGACTTTATGTGGTCGAGTCGTTGGAGCGAAGCCTTGACTTGAACTCAGCGGTAATCTGCACAGGTCTCTAGGAAGGCGGAATTGTGAGCGCTTCCCTCTTACCTCATACTGACGACGCTGGCAGAGGACTCACTCGCCAAGGTCCAGAGGCGAGCCGAGAAATTGAATTGATCGTCATAATTCGTACTTCGGCATGTGGTTAGTGCGAGGCCTTTTTACGTCGCGAGATTCTCAGAGTTTGTCGGTAGCTCATTTCAACCAATAAAGTCCCATGATTGTTTAGACTGGAGTCCTGACGCCTTGTAGATGTGAATCAATGTCAGTGAATAACTGCACACTTCCAGCTGAGATTGATCGCATGTCCGCATTGAAAATGGGGATTCCATCTGGTCTAATGCAGCGCGTGCCTCATAAGAATGTCCTGAGAGTTCCTCCCGGCTCTTGAGGTTCGGTGAAAGAATTAGAGTGTTTCCGCTAGAGTGTTTTCGCTACGGCGACACATTCGATCACTCACTGGCCGTTGGATAATTAGCGCCATGCCTAACATGGCCCATCTGAGTGCTTGGCATCAAATCTAAATGAAAAAAAATAAAACCCGTGAAGCCTGAATAAACAAACTTCAGAAATTACGTCGGGCTTGAGCTTGAGCTCCAACCTCACGTCGCCAGTGAACTTGGAAGCACATCTTCTGTAACCGCGGATTGCAAAAGTTCAACTAGTCTCATCGGGACGGATCACTACAGCCGTTGCAACCATGGATGACGCTGGCCCTTCCCCACCCCCACAGCGGGAGCGACAACCCATGAACTTCCGGTCAACGGCGTCGACAAACTGGCGCATGAAGGACGATAGCCCGCGGGCTGAACAGCCGCAACGACGAGGCGGGGGCTTCAACCGGTCCAACGGCCAACGCGATGCCAACAACCCGGACGAATCAGCATCTGGCACGCGTCTCTATGTTGGCAATCTGCTGTACACGGCGCAGAAGGCAGATATCGAGGCTCTATTTACCGAACAAGGGTTCAATGTGGTGAATGTGAGCATCTCAACCGACCCATTTACGGGCCGCAACCCGAGCTACTGTTTCGTCGACCTCGCTTCGGAGGACGAGGCGCAACGTGCCATTGCCGAACTGAACGGCATTGAGGTGCTTGGTCGCAATCTGAGAGTCAGTCCTGGCGTGGCGAAGAGAGGCCAGGGTCAGGGTCAGGGTCAGGGTCGAACCACCGCCGGTACCGGCAGCGGCGATGTTGGAAATAGGGAAGTCAGGACCAAGAATTATGAGAGAGGCTGGGCCAAGGAGTCGAGGGAAGAGCGGGGTGAGTTTCGCGCGTGACCTGATCAGCGATCAGTGATGACCCTTTCCAAGGATACCGATATCCGGGTCCTGTTATTTGGACGTCACGTCTTCAGTCGTGTCTTGCTCGGCACCCTTTTCCCGAGATGTCAACATGGCTAACAATCAAACTATGCAACCAGGTACTGATTACAAACCGTCATTCGACCGCTGGAACCGTAACGACGCCTCAGCACACTGGCAAGCGCCCCTCTCTGAAGGGCGCCGCCTATACATTGGCAATCTGCCGCGCATCGAGCCACAATCCGCCGTCGACGAAGAGATGCAGACTCTGTTCGCGACGCATCTTGCTTCCGAGGGCATCACACCCAGCGCGGTGTCAAAGTTGATCTCGCCGCACCCATCGAAGGCCTCTGAGCCGGGGAACCACTTCTATTGTTTCGTGGATCTGGAGCGAGCGGAGGACGTGGAGACCGTGATTGCGGCCCTAGACGGTCGAGAGGGCGGCTGGGGCGGCGCATTACGTGTCAACCGTGCGCGTGAGCAGAGAGATCGTGCAGAGGGCGGTCGCGATCGCAAGGTGGTGCGCGAGCAAGGTCTTAACAGGGAAAGGGAGGGAGAGGAGAGAAGCGTCGCTGGTGGTGCTAGCGGTGCTGGCGGCTGGAGGAACCAGCAATGAAGCATGAACGACTTCCCATTTTTTGATGATTTTCAAACACGCAACGCAGCCCAGAGGCAGAGAGAAGGGCGACGCATGACATGGCGGAGATAATTTGCGTCTCTCGCCCTGTGAACGAAGTTTAGTTTCATGGCTACTAGTATACGGAGAGCTTTCACCCAAACAAAACTACAAACAAACTATCATACGGAACAGGCATTTGAAATACTTCAGCCATGGGTGGCATCTTCTAATATAGTTTATGATTCATGGTTGATCCGTCCTCCAATGATGAAGTCGGGTTTTCTGATGCCAAACAAGAGTATCATAGCTCTTCTACCCGGCAATCATGGCATGCATAGTGAAGCCTCCAGCCACCAGGATGCAGCGTCAGTTGTTCTAGGACTAGATAGTATAATACCGCTACATGGCTCTACCGCTTCTCGGTTAATTTGACAGGGTATTCCGTGCTCTCGATACCGTCAGGGTAGACCAGTCCACCCTGTTTCCGTGCCTCGTCCATCACCTCCATGATGAGCGTACTTTCGGCCCACGTCATGGTCTCAGATTCCAGCGCGCCAGAGAGAAGGGCTCGGGCGGCAGCATCTGCTTCATACTACATGCAAGAGAAAATTTAGTTAGTCATCCACAGAAGAGAGCATAAGAGACCGATGGGACAGAAACGTACCATCATGCCGTGCGCGCCACCCTCGAATTCAAATTTCCGGTCAATGACCTCCGGCTGGGGCGATTTCTTGACTACCCTATACCTCGTAGGTCTGTACAATGGACCAAACACCTGGATCTCGCCCTTTTCGCCTTGGATCCTCGCCGCAGGGACCTCGACATCACCCACTTCTCTTGACTGACTGCGGGCGGGGTCATCGCTGACCCGAAGGGCAGTGGTCGCAACAGCGTGAGACTTGGTCTTGCCTGTGGGTGACGACTTGGGGAATTCCAGCAGAATCAACGTCGACTCGTCGGCACCGGTGCGCGGCTCAGGCGTCATTGCAGTTCCGATCACCTTGGGTCTCGACTGGCTGCGCAAGCCGGCGGGAAGAGTGTGGTACAAGGTCTGAAACACCCAGGTCAGAGAGTAAATACCCAGGTCGAGTAAAGCGCCGCCTGCGAGGTCAAGGTTGATCATCCTGCTGCTGAGATCGAAGTCCTGGTCCGCTCCGATGCTCATATCTGCGCCGACGCGCAGGACCTCGCCGATGTCGCCGTCGGTGATGTGTTTCCGCACTGCCTGGCTCAGGGGGAAATAGCGCGTCCACACCGCTTCCATGAAGAAGATGTTCTTCTTCTTCGCGGTCTCGAAAAGAATCTTGGCCTGCGCGGCATTGACGGTCAAGGCCTTCTCGCACAAGACGGGCTTGTTGTGTTCCAGACACAGCATTGCATTCTGATAGTGATGTGAGTGCGGGGTGGCAATGTAGATGATGTCCACGTTAGGATCTTGAACCAATTCTTCATAGGATGCGTAGGGGGTTGCTGTGGAGGACTGGGCGGGGGAAACGACCTCGGAGATGAACTTCTCGGCGGAGGACAAGGATGAAGACGAGGCGACGGCGGCGACGGAGTGCTGGATATCGAGAACATTACGTGTCTTGGGGGATATGAGCATATCCTTGGTGAACGTCCGTGCTATTCCGCCAGTTGCTGAGGGTGTGGAAAGTGTCAATTGAGATTTTTACTTGTATGCATGCATCTGCATATGCCAGCAGAGACGGGTATGGAGGGACGTACCCAAGATGCCCCAACGAACCACCTTTGGTGAAGACATGTTGGATGCGGTATGGAAATGAGACGTCGGATGATGCAGTGTGAAAGGCAGTCCCGTCCTATGAATAAATAAAGCGACAGGTCAGCTCAGGTTGACTTACGAGGAGGTTCTTTGAAAGACCCTCGATGGGAAAGCAGTGGCGAGCGTGGGGATTCTCCAACGCGATGCCAGTAGATGCGGGGCAGGAAATGAAAGTGTCGAGGAGGCGAGGGTGACAATTCAGCCTGATATCCTTCAATTTGTAACAGTGTAACAGTGTAAAAGTAGTAATTCCTACTGGTAGCCCGCTGCACTGGGTTGATAGTCGATATACCCAAGGTATGTAACGGTTGGGCGAATGACTCTCAGGAGTGCCCAGTCTACCTACCAACCCACCCCAGAAGCTTGTTGACCACACCGATCGCGGATAGGAAAAAGATGACAGGCTCCAAATTAAAAAGTCGATCGTTCTGTATTTGTATTTGACTCGCGACGACGCCGCAAGCTATATACCGAGTACTAGGTATTCATGTCAGGAACAACTTTTGGTACTGATTCTACTCACCAGACCCCAAGAGTAAGGGTTTGGCGCCGAGAAACACCCCCGACGCCCCCTACCGACCGTGGGTGTAGGCATATCTTATCTTGTACATGTTTGCAAAAACATGGCTTCTGATCGCGTGGTGATTAACCCCCTGACCCATCCATCCATTTTCGTCTTTGTGGTTTCGTTCTAACATGGCACCAATGCCGGACCTCCACTTCGACACCATGCCTAATCCCTCGACCTCGACCATGGCCATCCAGGGACCGCCTTGCCCATGCCGTAGGCTGACCAGTCTGTCTTTCTATCGTAGCCCGATCTTGGTGAGAATGCTTCCTGATGAAGAGGCGCCTTTTGCATCACCGAAAACTCCGAGGATGCTCTTCCAAACTTGATCTGGAGATTGACTCGCGTCGATGCCGGTCCAGATACCCTTGGACTTGTAATAACCGACCACCGGTGTCGTCTGTGCGTGATAGGTGCCCAGTCTTTTGGTAAGAGTGTCGGCATTGTCATCACTTCTCTGGATGAGCGGTTCTCCCGTGACGTCGTCCGTCATGGCTGCCTTGGGAGGATTGAAGACTTTATGGTACGACCGACCGGAAGCGGGATGGACGAGGCGGCCAGTAATGCGAGAGACCAATAGACCATCGTCGATCTGGAGCTCGACGGCGTGCTTAAGAGGTTTGTTCTCGGCAGCCAGCATAGAGTCAAGGCCTTCAGCCTGGGCGACAGTTCGTGGAAAGCCGTCAAGGATAAATCTACAGCATTGGTCAGCGAACAAGTTGGAGTGAGTTCAGAACAGCGTGGAAATTGCATCTCACCCATTGGCACATTCCCGGTTCGTGTCGAGCTCGTACTTGATCATATTGATCATGATGTCGTCGCTGACCAAACCCCCTTGGTCCATGATCTTCTTGGCTTCCCTCCCCAAGGCAGTCTTTTTGGCAACTTGTGCTCGTAGCATATCACCGGTGGCCTGGCGTGGATAGCGTTAGCAAGCATCCGAACGAGGGTGGTAGTATGAGGTCGTACCAAATGGCAGACACAGTACTTGTCTTTGATCCTAGGGGCTTGTGTTCCCTTTCCTGCACAGGGTCAATCAGCAAACGCGTTTCTCCTCAGGCCGTAGGAGCTAGAAGCCTACCTGCGCCAGGAGGGCCGATGAGGATCAAGCGCATCGATTCGGCGACGCTGGGTTTGGCTTGCCCTGTTTCCAGCCGCTGTTCTAGTCGGCGGATCCGCTCTTCTAAAGCATGGTACTGAGTGCGGAGCTCCTCGACCTTGTCGTCGGTGATGGGAGCCATTCTCTGGAGAGCTAGAGAAAGAAGGAGACCGGACCAAGGTCGGAGGAGGCTCCAAGTAGGCTGAGGCAGAGGAGACGAAGGGGTGCGGGGAGGTTGAGTCGGTGGGAAGAGGTGTTTGTAGCAGAAAGGAGAGAGGATGGGTGGTAAGCAAATGGTGTAGATGGCGGGTAATAATAATAAACTGGATCTGGATTTTGATCTTGACCTTGAAGCTCTCAATTGAAGGTCGCGCCAGTGAACAGTTACTCCGTCCAGGACCACCAAGAGCTCTCCGCTTCACCGAGGGAGCTCGACTGTAAGAGAATTTCCACAGACGGTCTGACTGTAGATATCTCTCAACATTCTCCAGCAGAGGGTGGCCAAATCGCGCTGTCAGACAACAGAGACTGTGGCGACGGGGCTTCATCATGGCGCCCCTTCGGATCAATCTTCATGCCCAGCGCTCGGAGCTCCAAGCCCCTTTCAGTGCCGCTGGGGACCTACCCTACCACTGCGATAAGAGTAAGAGCTCTGGGACTCTAGGTAGAGTCACGGTCACAGGGGAGTTACCGCCCCCCACCCACCAGACGCAGCACTACTGCCCACCGTTATTAAACTTGGCGTGTGCCTCTGTAACTACAAGTAGAAAATCCAACGACTTTCCTCGACCTCGGCATTGCCTCACCCAGTCATCGTCTTCACTCCCGGTTTATCCCTCTCGAGTCTTGCTGGGCCCGGCAGAGAGGAATCACACCCTGGATGTCGATGACAAGGCAGCCCGAGTATATTCCGCGCACGACGTGTTTCACTGTGCAAGCGAATTCCTGATGTCATCCTCTAGCTACTCTTTGGACACGACACGACGCGACACCACCCGAGCCCTTGTATGGAAACCCTGCAAGGCGATCTGATTTTGAAGAAGTCAAGACGTTTCCCTTCAGCATTAAACTGGTGACTTGCCTCGAACTCTCTCCGTCGGCTATTGGAGCGACTTACTCCAATACTTCAGGTAGGTAGGTTACGCACGGAGTACTGAACCAGCAACCCTATCCTCCCATTCTTACCAGAGTACTCCGTACTGCATACGAGATATCTTGTCCCAAATACTATCATATCTTGCATCAAGCCTTCGCCTCCTGAATCTCCGCCTGCTCAACTTCAACACCTTCGGGCTTTTCAACAATGCCACGTCCATCCGAAGTCATGTGCAAGGCCACTTCATCTCCAAACAGTGCACCCATCTCCTCAATAGGTAAGCCCCTTGTCTCGGGAACATAAAAGTATGCAATGATCCCACATGCCACACTGAGTCCCATATACACCAGGTACATTCCCCATTTACTAGACCAGGCACACTCATGTTAGCTTGAACATCCTCACACCCTCTAGAATAGATCCTTACATGTCACGGAAGGCCCGTGGCCCCGGTGTTGAGAATGTAATGAATCCCACAAAATATGAGAACATGCTCAGCCCAATCCCTTTCGCTCGAAGATTGGTCGGAAAAATCTCAGCACACCAAACGAACGACGGCGCATCGATGAATTGGTACAGTACGATAAACTGTCATCACTCCCGCGTCAGCAATGTCTTTTCGTCGGCTCTCTGTCGCCTACCAGAAAAATAAATGCAACCGCTGCTCCGTTCCCAGCCTTGTTTCCGGTCCCTAGATATTGGCGTTGGAGCAGGCCCTCTATGAGAAGATTGACCGCCAAGATAGGAAACCCAAGCACTTGAGCCGAGCATTGACATTAGCCACACTCTGATAGATGCAGAGCCGAACGTAGGTTTGGCATGAGACAGACTTACCGAACAACTGTCGTCGGCCGTATCTGTCCATGACAAAACATGCAAAGAACGCCGCTGCGGTGCCAATGACGGCATACACCGCTGAACAATCCTCGTCAGCATCTACCTATGACATATCCCCGAACTCGCTCGAACTCACCATACACGAGAATAGGCATCACCCCCGTGAGTCCCAGCTCCCCAAAGATGAGCACTAGATAGTTCGCAATACCATTGACCTGCACAAGCCATCAGCATTAGAGTTACCGGTCACGTTTAATCCAACACTGACCCCGGTTGCTTGAGAGGCAAACCTGGCTCGGTTAGCTACCAAATTTCGAAGATTTTATGGGTATCATGGCCTACATGATAAAGATGACAAGCAGCGAGCGTCTTCGCCATGAAGGTTTGGTGAACATTCGGACATATGAGGATTTTTGTTCCTTGTCGATCATCACCTGCGCTTTGATCTGCAAGAATTCTGCATGCGCTGCCGAGTCGTTGGGATCCTTCTTATCATTGTGCAGACGCTCAAGAACTTTGAGAGCTTCTTCGTTCTTCCCAACCCAACATAGGTACCTGGGAGATTCTATCGGTCAAACACTGTCGGTCAGTCTTTGCGAACATTCTCTTTGCGATGCGGATACTCACCAGGGACAAATGGCAGACCAGCCATGAGTCCCAGTGGCCCAATTGTCGCCAGAGCCAAAGGGAGACGCCATTGCATTGACATATTGGTTGAGTAATATGCTCCCACCGACACCCATGCGACCCTGCCGTCATCAGTCAACAGCACTCACCATGAGGCTAGAATACTCACACCAGATATCCCATGCCAAACCCCATCACTGTCATCCCCGAAACCAAGCCTCGGCAGTGTGCAGGGGACACCTCGGTGAGGTATAAGGGAACAAGACAGATGAGCATACCCAGACCGAAGCCATGGAGAATGCGGACCGTAAGCAACATCGCGAGGTATGGAGAGCCTGCTGTTAACGCTGCCCCAATAAGGGAGAGCAGCGCCGACGATGCCAATGCCTTTTTCCTTCCGATCCAATCAGCCAAGGGTGCTTGCGTCAAAGCACCAAATGCAGCGCCTGCTGCGAAGAGTGCGTTGACCGCCCCAAGGATGCTAATTCTGCGGTATTAGTCTCTCTCCATCACTCAGTGACAATGCTATGAGGCCTCACTTCGCGGTGTACTTGCTTGTGGCTAATTTCCAAGTCAGCATTTGAAGGATGGTGTGCAATGTGAGTATGAGAAGCTTACGATCAAGGTTGAAGTCGACATAAAATCCTGCTTGTCCAATACTGGTGATGAAGACACCAAACCCATATCCGTAACCGAAGGTGCCAATAGCAACAATGACACCAATCAGCACGTTATAAGTGGTAAGTTTCGGCATGGTGATGAGAATATCCTACCAAGGAATGCACCAGGAACTTGACTCGATCAACACATGCATTCAGGGTTCACCCAGTGCCTGAACACATCTTATATACCCTTCGATAGAAGCGGACAATAACCGAGTGGCCGAGGCTTTTGGACATTTGCGATATAAGAAGAATCTATCACTCTCCACTACGGTCCTCAGAACCGTACCGATCTCGGTTCTCATTGCCCCAGGCTGAAGGGTACCCCACGGGGAACAGTGGAACACCAGTCCCGCCGTTCACGGGGCTAGGCGCAAGACGAAGAAAGTTCTGGACTTCGGGAGACTATGCTCGGGCCCAAGACCATTTCTACATGCCCCCATGCTACCGGAACGACTTATGAATGCCCAGTGGCCCATGGAGTCGACGGCGTGCACGTCTAGATGCGAATACCAAAAACAAGGCTACCCAGGTGGGTCCTTCTGACAAAATAACATTTCGGGTTTAGCGCACCACTAGGGATTCTTTAGCTTGCGTAGACCCCCAGAGCCATTAATCCGGACCTACACTGAGGGCCTTGCTTACAGAGGATCATCCCAGTGCACTTATGGACAGCTCTAGACCACAATCTGGATGAACCACCAACGGACAGCTATATGACTAGGCTAACAGCAGCGACTGCTTGACAGCAACATTGAGTCAAGATCTAAGAGCTCCAACCTATCGAAAGAGATATCCCCATTTGGTCGCAAACTCCTCCCCGAGAACCCACGACCTAGGATCCCACGAGGGCGCAGACGGCCGCAGCGTCAGACTAACCGTGTTAAACAAATCTCCACAGAACTCATCCAGGTCAAGCAGCGTGTTCAGGAGAATCATATTATCCCGCAGCCGAATGAACGGAAACCGGTCGATCCAGCGCCGATGCGGAACGACCAGCTGGAGAGGCGTAGGCTTCAGAGCATCCGGTAGGGACTCGTACGCTGACGGAGACACTGAATCGTAGACACACTCGGCGCAAGACGTGCCAAGCATAAGTCCATGTTTCGTCAGAGCCGCATAAATCGACCACGCTGGCCAGCAGAGGAACCAGTGGTCCAGGCTTACACCCGTAGCATTGCTACGAGTGTAGCCACCTCTCCAGGCGACCACTTTTGCTATGGCGCTTGGGCCGCTCACAATCAGGCATGATCCGTCCGCGACTTGAATCAGTTCATGGTCGTGACCATTGTCATTGGAAGACGAAGAAGAAGACGTAGACGTAGGCGCAAACGTGGAATCTTCAGGCGACGTTGATGGGCCGTCCGTGGTCCTCCCGGTAGATTTAGATTTCTCCTCTCTGTTGGGCACGGCTGAAATCATACGGCCGCCTATTCATGGAAACAATCAGCTATGTTCCTAGGAAAGCTTCCAAAGGGTCTAGTGATGGTCTTCACTGCAATGGCTCAAGTCTCTACGCGTAGCCAAGAAGGAGTCAGGACACTTACGCCTCGCTCTCTGAGCTAGTCTATCCTGAATGCGTTTGCGCTCTTTCGCGTCTTGAACCCCATACCAGTTGTCGTACCGCGCATCAACCGCAGGCCTTCCGCGCTTGCGCTTGGTGGTTGAACTTGTCGTCGTTTCAGCCATCTCGGAATCTCTGACAGCCAATGTATTGTGCTTAACCACGTCAAGCTTGGGGTTTCATCATCTGGTGGATGCAACGATGTCTAAGTCCTGAGGTTGTGGTCAGGATGCTCGAGATCACCGCCTGCAGGGATCTGGAGTTTGTAAGAAACTAGACCTGGAACTTGAGGCTGACGGGTTGGTTGAGGGGATAAATAGTGGTGTGGTGATAGACTTTCGTCCCCATCGTAAGGACTGCCGGTATTGTTTGGTATTACCGTCCGTTACCATACCAGCGACACCACCCTGTATAATCAACCACGGGGAAGGCTCGGAGCCTCTTTAGGTGATAAGGCTTATCCACAGCACCATAACAGACCGAGGGAACACTTTGATATTATGAGATGAAAACTTTGGTCAGTAGAACACTCCTGTCACCCCTTGACAAGACTTGATATTCTGACAACATGAACTCCTCGATCAGAGGACCCTTTCTATTACTAATTTCAAAGCACAGCCTCTCTAACAATCTCCTCCAGGTGCTGAGTGGGAAGATCTAGGAGAGCGTTATCTGCCTCGACATCATTCACGTAGTCTGCTCCCATGCCATTTCGAAAGAAATAAGACAGGATTAACGGTACAACTCCTGCCCTATTGCCACTATCGAGCAATCTTCTGCCAGCTGGAATTTCTTCATCCCATTCCAAATGTTGAACGTGCCATTTAGACCCAGTGACTGCTTCCATCGTGGCCAATATCTCGTTCTGACTCGTCCTCACCGAGTAGATGTAAATAAACCGGTTCTTGACATCTTGAGGTTTGTGAAGGAGTCGCGCAACTGCCACACCGATGTTCTTGACTGTCGTCCCTGTCCAGGCCTCGTTGCCAGTTCCATATATCTTTGCTTGTTGAGACGTGATGTCGAATCCAAGGAATCCATTTGCGAGGCCCCTGATCCCTTTACTAAGAGCTCTTGCAAACGAATCTGTGTCACTGCTTACCAGTCAATGAACGGTCCCGTGGCAATCGCGGTCCAGGATAAGCCATGCTCCTCCACTTTCCTCAGGTGCTCGAGCACCAGATCCTTGGTATCGTGCAACGGCATCTTCTCTCCGTGCTTCGCGGCTCCTTTATTGCCTCCAAATTCCGCAGGCACAAAGACTTTGACTCCCGCTTCGACCGCGCAATCAATGAACTTGAACTGCTGATCGATGCTCTGCAAGCTCAGCGCGCAGATAATCGCGTCCTGGCCCTTGAATGCATCGTGGAGCTGCGTCGCCGGATATGAGTCGTCGACTTTGAATAGTCGGATATCGGCGGAGTAGGTGGAAGTGGATGAAGAGCTTTCCCGCGTGAGAACAGACACAGTGAAGGTTGAATCTTCTTGAAGGGCATGCAGGATCTCAGGGCCCAAGTTTCCGCCTCCCTAGAAATGATTACGTAACTTTAGTAGTCAGGGACAAAACGTCGCGATCGGGATGTATTGGCCCCTACCCCTATCACGAGGACATGTTTTATGGTTACTTCTGCCATTTTCTCGCAAATGGTGTGAGAATTCATGAGAGAACGAGATGGTCGCTGTTCGATTGATAGGCAGCAATAGAAATACTGGCGATCAGCTGCCAACAGTCATCGTGTTACGTGTATATATAGTTCCAGGGAGAAGTCAAGATGAGGTATACGAGTAACGACTCAACGCAACGGTCCTCAGCTGATAAATCCGCATTACCATGTGCCACATCAAAGGCTGGGTGGAAAGGCAACTCGTAAGTACCGAGGCTTTCAGACTTCTATTCAATATCTACTGGGCGAAGGGTATACCCAGATTTCAATGGTTGAATAGAATACGTGCTAAAACTAGTGTAGCCGATGCTTAGCCTGAACAGACGGCGCCCCTTCCACGAGCTTGGAATCTGGAATCTTGATATCCTGAATGCAAACTGAATATTTGTAAGCTATGCAATGAGACGCTGTGGATATATCAAAACCATTATGAAACTTATGATCTAAAACAACTCTTAATGTACTACTATTAAACGGGTCAAATAGGTTCAAGAATCGGGTATACGCATCGATAAGGACCCCCTTAAGGAACAGGGGCAGAATAATATACGAAGCACCTAACATGAGTAAAGCGAGGCTTGGAATCCCTACCCTTTGAACATACAACACAGGCAGTTACAAACTGGAGGACATGAAGCTCGCTCCACCTCATAGTCAGCGCTCAGGCTCGAGGCATTCTATACCAAGAGCATCCTTCTCAAAATTCCGCCAGTCTGGGTCCATGATACAATTTCCGTGCGTGAAATACCCAGTTGATGACAGCAAAAATTGCCATCACGCCAATCACCGCTGACGTATAATCTATGCCATCATTAGCAATTGTTCTTCCTGCAAATGAGCCTCAAAAGGTACCCAAATACTTACTCATGTTAGATCCGCTCACTGGTAGAATGACAGGGAAGTCGTAAAATATTAGCACCACAATCGCAAACGCGACGGTGAAGAAGTTAACCATCCAGCCAAGTGGACTGAAGAGTCTGAATGGTCGATTTGAAGGCAAAAAGCGGGTTGATCTCTTTCGATACATGAGCAACGCAGCAGGGATAGCGTATGTAGCTTGTTGCAAGATGAGGCCCGTCCCGATGAAGGCATTGAATGCTGTTGACGAGCCCAGGAATATGCAACCGATGATGAAGACAATAGCGTTATTTGCGATCAGTCCCCAGACTGGGACGCCTAGCGATGAATGGATGTTTCCGATCCATTTGGAGCCAATGAGTGCGTTGTCTCTCGCGAAAGACCATGTCAGACGAGATGCGGTCTGCTGCACGGCAATCAGAGCAACGACGGCCGCCGTGAGGAGGACGGCCATAAAGACTGTTGCTGCTGCGCTAGATCGTGTGGCTTGGTACCAGATCTCGTAGATTGGGACACTATCTGCCTAGTCAGAGACTCTCACCAATGGAAGAAAGATTGGGAGTACTCACCCAGTAGCTGTGCCCACGACGGCATCGAAGTCTTGAATACAATATGTCATGGCCACGGCAAAGGTAAAGCTCGTGATGAATCCAATGGTTAGCGTACTTATCATTGCTCTGGGTACGACTTTGCCCGGATTCTTGCACTCTTCGGCCAGGTGAATGGCACCGTCAATCCCGGCATACATATAGTTCGGAGAGATCATGCCAGTAAGGAAGCCGATCCCGTCGGTCCAGCCGTTCTCATTAACGAAGTTTGTCCAAACAATCTCGCTGCTCTGCTTGTTTGACGCCCGGGCAAGACATGTCACGATGATAGTGAAGAAGCCTGTCAGAGTAATGACAACTAGCAATAGAATCGTCAGCCAATGGCGGAGGAAAAGTAAGAAAACTCGGGCAGCTCTTACAAGAGACGTCATTAACCCACATCGTCTTCTTCAATGTGAAAATGTTGTGGGCACAGGCAATCAAGTTAATTACTTGATATAAGACGAAATAGTGCCACGTCTGTGGAACGTAGTCCGGCTGGTGGAATATCACCATGGCAATGATGACCTGCGGTATGATGATAGCGATGCCGGCAGTCGTAGATATCCATGCATACACGTTGGTTATTCCGCAGATGTAGCTCTGTAAAATGTCAGTAGGATTTTCGCCACTTCAAAGAACCAGAGAGAATGAGAATAGCTTACCAGGACGCGAGAGGGTTGAGCTGGTGTCAGAATGGAAGTCCAGTGATACCTAGAGTGACATCAGATAAGTTTTCCAGAACAATCCTGAGCTTCAAGACTCACTGGCCTCCGGCCGTTGGATAGACACTGGCCAACTCGGCCATCGTCAAGCCACTGCAACCGACCATAAGGAAGCAGACGACAACACCATATATCAGGGTGACGGAGCCGCCTTGAGCGATTGTCAGAGCTAAAGTAGCGGCGACACCAGCCCAGCTATTGCAGATGTTCCATCCCACGCAAATAATATCGATCGGTCCAATATCTCGCTCGGTCTCTTGAGCGAGGCCAAGAGTCTCAAGCTCCACAGTACGCAGTGTGCCTTCATCATGGAGGTGCTCTAAGTGAGAACATGCGAAGTTAGCACAAGTCAACAGACAGTGATGACCTTGGCAATGTGCTACATGATGGGAAAGAGGATGAGCTGGGAGTACCTGTATTACCGTGTTTGATATCATCGTGGTGGCCCTCGTTCGTGGAGTGTGCTGCGTCTTTGTGATCGTGGGCATCCATAATATCAATGGTAGAATCAACGTTGCTTGTAGAAGTACTGGTCACGAAGCGACGAAGAGACTCATAATATCAGAATCAATGCCTGCCCCGGAACCATCCAGTATGACCGGCGAGCTTTAATAGACCTCCCCAGACCTCATCCCCACGAAATAGCAATAGTCGAGCTATACTAGATCCGGGGTATCGTCGCATAGGCTCCAAGACCCGCGTGTCCAAAAGGAGAAGGTTAGATGAGGTGGCTAACCATTCGTGGCCTAGGCGTATTCCACGAAAAGCTTAATGTCCGAAACAGGAAATCCAGATGGAAATGCGCGGTTTCCTCCATTTGCTGGCATATGCACGAGCGAAGAACAGTTCGAATATCCTCCTACTGGAGGATCCCTATCTCTCCTTCCTAAAACAAGGAGATAGTCAGATGTAGCGGGTATTCTGTCTGCTAGCGGGAAAGCAGAAAGTATTTATTGTCATTCGTGGACATCTTTGCAATCCCTCCCTATCCTTCCAACTCTGGGAGAACAAAAGGTTTCGGCTGAGCTATCGAGAAAAGTTGTCTCAGGAAATTCGCAGGAATGAAAGTCTCCCGCGAAGGTTGGCAATGGACCCCCAGCTCTGGGCTGAAGGCCGGATTACCTTCCATTGGCGTTATCGAGCCAACCCAGAATTTCCAATCTGTCAATGAGACTTTTGATGTGGTGGTGATTGGCGCTGGATATACTGGCCTAACTGCTGCAAGAGACACATCTACAAATGGTTCGTGCATAAGTCATGAAGCCAGCATGACGGAGCGTTCTGTCGTCTTTGCTGACTATCCGTCGCAGGCTTAAACACGTTGCTCCTCGAAGGGCGAGATAGGATCGGAGGGCGAACATGGTCGTCGAATATCGAGGGGTATCCATACGAGATAGGAGGAACCTGGGTCCATTGGTTCCAACCTCATGTATATCGCGAACTCTCACGATATGGGCTCAATGAAGAGCTCGTCCATTCGACGGACTTTACCCATAAGCGTAACTTTTTCAGCTTCGAAACTGGTACCGGCCGGCGGGAAATGAGCCATGAGGAAGAGGTATGCCTGGCTTAACATCTCTCAGACCGTGGTAGCTGACAAAGTCAGGATGAGTTGTTTTCACGAGCGATCGAGAAGTTTGTCAATGTTGATGGCAACCTTGGCCGCACTGTGATGCCCTTTCCCTTTAATGCTCACTGGAACAAAGATGTCCTTCAGTATTCGAACCTTTCGGTAGCAGATCGCATAGCACAGATTAGTCACGACCTTTCCAGTGATGAGCAGCATGCAATTGAGGCATTTGTGCTTCTTTGCAGTGGTGGGACACGCGAGAACTCTGCATTCCTGGACTTCCTCCGCTGGTGGGCTGCAGGGAATTATAATTACAAAACGCTGTTAGACACAATCATCACCTTCAAGCTGAAATGCGGTCAGTCTGGCTTTGCGATCAAGTTTTTTAAGGAAGCGCTTGCGACGGGTAATTTCTCATATGCTTTCAACAAAACGGTGTCTCGAGTGGATTTCTCCAGTGGTATTGTCCAGGTACAAACTGTGGATGGGCAGAGTTTCCAGGCCAAAAGACTTATCTGTACTGTTCCACTGAACGTACTGAGCAAAGTCCAATTCAGTCCAGCCCTGGACCGGGCCAAGCAAGAAGCGGCCACACTCAGGCATGTCAATCAATGCGTCAAAATACACGCCGAGATCCAGGACCCGGATATGAGATCCTGGAGTGGTGTTACCTACCCCAACAATGGGCTTGTAATCGGGCTGGCCGATGGCCGAACGCCAGCTGGGACGACACACTGCGTATTCTTTGGATGCAATGCAAATCTTCATGGTGACGAAGACATTACGAAAACGCTGAAGGCAGTCAAGAGATTTGCGCCCATGGACGTTGAGCGTTTGGTGAGAACGTGCTCCGACCTCTATAGAGGCCATCATACTTGGGCAACATCGCTAATGAAATCCTTCACAGGTATTCCACAACTGGTCCAAGGACGAGTTTGCTGAAGGTGCATGGTAAGTTTACCCTGGAACAGCCTCAACTGCAAATTCTGACACATTTAGGGTCTGGTATCGCCCAGGTATGGAGACTAAGTATTTGAAAGCTCTGAGAAAGAGGCAAGGACCGGTCCTGTTTGCCAACTCAGACTGGGCCTCTGGAGGCTGGCGAAGCTTCATTGATGGCGCGATTCAATCAGGAACAGAAGCAGCAAAGCTGGTTCGAGATGAGCTCAAATCCGGATTGAGATGTTGTCGACTTTAAGATATTCTGAGACTTTTATATCATATAGGCGCCAAAAGTACCTAGGTACCTGGTATATAGATAGGAGACGGCGGCGAGAGAGTGGGAATCACGGTGTGGAAGGTGGCTTCATGGAAAACAGGAGAAAGATAGAAAGTTAGCCGATCTGGTCTAGTCAGCTGACGTCCCTCAACCACACCTCATAAATCGTTCTTGGGACGGCGTTGCACCCTGTTTCCAACCCAACTCTCGTTTGGTTGGTGGTAATGAGTGTCTTCTTTCCATCACACGCAGACTTGTAGCCAGACTGAATTCCTGCACTGGATAATCTGAGCATGGCGTATCGCCCTCCCTAAACTATGCGAAAAGGCCCTGCAAACGGTAAGACCCTCCCGTTATTCTTTTCCCAACAGACATATGATCTCACAGCGTGAAGGATGCCATAATTGCTCGCAGCGTCGAATCAAATGTGATTTGACTCGCCCACAGTGCAATAAATGCTTGCGGAAAGGTCTTGAATGTCCAGGATATGGCATTCGCTATCGCTTCAACACTGGTATTGCGTCGCGGGGCAAATTAAAAGGGCGCACCATCCCTATCGACACTCCTGTGGCAAGCCCGGCACAGCACGGACAGATGGCAGCGCCGGCTTTATTGTGGCCCGATGGCTCAGTCACACGGACACAGACTCAAGGGCAGAACCACGAACTTGCAATCAGCCGTTCATTACAAAGTCCATCTCCTGCTGAGTCAAGCCTTCTGGACTGTTGGGACACCCAAAAAACTTTCAACATCTTCGATTTAGCCCTTGGCGATGATTTTGTTGCGGAAAACGACAATATCGTTGACTCTCCGCGAGACCTCCAGGCCCAGTCTGCTGGGGACGCCATTCCGGAAATCTGCGAAACTTGTTTGTTAGTACACCCGCCTAATTTTTGTTGTTTCGAAATCCCGAATTCGCTCCAAGTAATGGGCCCACAGTCCCGAGAACTTTTCGCCCATTTCTCCTCTTCGGTGGCTCCGGTGATGGTTGTGCTGGATGGCAAATTCAACGGTTATCGAGATCTCATCCTTCCACTTGCATGTGAAGATGACCTTGTTAAGGGAGCCGTCTCTGTCGTTTCGATGTATCACTTGGCGCCTTTGCAGCCAGAGATGCAATTTTATGCAGACTCTGGGCTCCAATCGATCATCCGACAACTTCTTGAGCGTACATCGCAGCTAGAGAATGCTCTTGACCTATCGGCGTGGGCTACGATTATTGTACTTCTCGTTGGCGAAACCATCACCGGTGGCTGTAATCTCCCATTCTTGTTCAAAATTCTCCAGCACCTAGCAGAAGCAAATACAAAACTCGGCCATGAGAGTGTGATGCATTCGTTTCTGCGAGAACAGACGCGAATGATGACACTTTTCGCACAACCGCTGCTCGGTGAGACTGCGGGGACCATGACTCTTCGAACACCTCTCGACGTGTATTTCGACTTCATCTCGAATGCAGCTATCTTCCACCCGGGATTGGCCCCCCAAATTGGCCTTTACAAGACCGCAATCCGCCAAGCTTGCAGTATGTATCTAAGACGTGTCATGCAAAACCCACCGCTGTCTGAGAGTAGTGTGGATCTTGAGTCTTTGAAAGTTCTTTGCGCAAGGATTCATCCAAACACACCGGGGCACCATACGCTGGTGTGGGTATATTTTGTCGCAGCGGCGGAGAGTGTGACGCTGGCCCATCGAGAATTTTTTACTTTGCGGTTACAGGAGGTTTTCTCACGCACACGCTTCCATAATATTCCGACGGCATTAGCTGCGTTACAGAAACTGTGGAAAGTGCAAGCTGAGAGGAGGTGGACCGAAGTCCTACCGGAGATCATGCCTGTTTTCATCATATAAAGCAACAGCAATGCCGGTAGTATGTGCATTGACACAGCGACTCCTTAGCCACTGGTGATTGATCTGAATGTTGGCGACTGGCATTACAGGTGCAATACTCAGTGCTTCTCACAGGTACAGATCCGTCGAGGTGTTGATTCTAATCGATATGGAGATTCATATTAAATTGAGTTATGATTGAGCCAGTCAAGAGATGCCTACGGCCTTCAAAGGTAAACCCAGCCGTCAACTAATGCTCGGTATGCGGCAGCAATGGGCAAATGAGGCGAAGGCGTAATGTACATGTCATGGAAATTCTTGTATGAATAGATTACCACTAACGTATAAGTTTGGGCGCTAATTTCTGAGAAAACAGGGGTAGTGGAGGGTGTAAAATGGGGCATTTCTGACTAATCTTACACCTTCACATTGAACGAGATGGAGTGCGACAGCTCGACTCATCTCGCAGAAGTTGGCAACGAGCTGGACATCATCTGTGCAAAGGACAAATTATGCAAAGAGCAGAACACATTTTAGTGCTCTCATTATTATTAATATTCTGCAGTCGATCAGACCCACGATAAAGTCAGAAGATGGGCAACCTGCGCCCAAAGTCGATGCACCCAAGATTCAATCCGCCGGCTTTTCCGGTTCATGGACACCGGCCCCCAGGTCCCAGGTCTGCAGAGTGGGCTAGGCTATACGTATCTCTTCATGGGAATAATCATTTCTTTCCACGAAGATGTAAAAGTGTGCTATATCTGTTGGCCTGGAGTTGACCAATTTCATTTCAACGATTCAAGACCCTAGACACTATGGCGGCAGAAATCGATCACATCCTGGCGAGATACACTTCCACGGCCAAAGAAGATGGTTCCTTGCATGGCGCTGCATTCGTCGTAAGGGGAACAGGAGGTGCGTCTATCTCGACTTGATCCCTCTCCGCATATAATCTAGGAGCTGAATGTGATGACTGAGTCAGCAGATAAGGTACTTTATTCAGGTGCAGCTGGAAAGCTGAATTACGAGTCTGATGCGCCTTACACAGAGGATTCAGTCTCGTTCATTGCCTCTATGACGAAGCTTATCACCTCTATCGCCGCGCTGCAGATGGTGGAAAAGGATCTTGTGGGTTTGGATGATGATCTTGGCGCCATAATACCTGATTTCAAGGGCCTGCAGCTCTTGACTGGTTTCGATGACCTAGGGAAGCCGACCTTCGGCAAGCATACCAAACCCCTCTCTTTGCGGTACGTACAGCTGACCAGCCGGACCTTGATAACACTTTACCTAACCCGTTCCTTTCAGGCACCTCTTAACGCACTCAAGTGGCTTTGGCTACCAGATGTTTGACCCGGACCTTATCAGATTCTTAGAATCACAGGGAATCAAGCCAGATGCAAGCCCGACGACATTCGAAGCATATAAGCTTCCTCTCAAATTCCAACCCGGAGACGGATGGGTGTATGGAGTCTCAATTGACTGGGCGGGAAGAGTTGTCGAGGTTTTGACTGGGCTCTCATTGGAGGATTATTTTCAACAGAACATCTTCCAACCATTAGGCCTGAAATCCACGACTTTCCGCATCGCAGCTCACCCTGAGCTCCACGCTCGGCGAGCTGCTCTGTCGCTCAGGGCGGTTTCACGGGGCACTTTAGCTGCGACCAGTAACATCCAACCGGACGAGCCTCCATTCGATGGTGGAGGCCAGGGGTTGCACTCGACAGCTGCAGATTACGCTAAAGTATTGGGCGCTATCTTGGACGGCGGAGGGGGCATCTTGAAAGAATCGACCATTCGCGATCTAAACCAGCCTCAACTGCCTGACCCGAAAGCCCTAGAAGCACATATATTCGGTGAACATCACCTTACATTTGCTCCAGAATACCCCCAAGCCCTCCGCATCAATCATGGGCTAGTGGGCTTGCTCAATCTGGAGGACATCCCAGGCAAACGTCGAGCTGGAAGTCTTGCATGGAGCGGAGTGACAAATCCTCGTTGGGTAAGTAAAGATTTCCTGGCTGAGTAGAAGAGCAGCCAGAGCAACGCCCTGTTCTGACACACCTACAGTGGTTCGATCCCAAGTCTGGACTAGCAGCAACACTTTTCGTTCAGTTATTGCCTCCAGGAGATGTCATTGTGGCTGAGCTCCTCGATGAGCTTGAAACGGCAGTATACAAGACCTTTGTAGATGCCAAAGAGTGAGCACGACGGAGAGGACGAGGCCCGAAATTCCACAAGAATATCAGAGGATAACGAGGGTCCAAACAGCTTGCCGGAGGGGGAGCCTACGCGCGTCACTAGAACCGCCTTCATAGTTGCATCAATATAGTAGAAGTGCCGCTTAGTGTGCATCGGTGTCGAGGGGCCTATTAACGAAGCTCTATGATAGATATTACGATTGGTCCCAGCGAGGCGAGTGGGCCACATAGGAGCTTCGTTTGGGGACGAAGATAAAGCGAGACTTCAATATAAATTGGTACGGTGCATCATGAGATGTTGAATGGCAGTGGGCTTTCCGGCTTGGCAAAGTCGAAGGCCGCAGAGGAAGGCGCGTCAACATGATTTGTGAGTCTAGAAATGATACTCCAAACGGCCAGTACTCAGTGGCACCAGCGGAATTGACTGCCTACCTGACATTCTCTGCTGCTTGACCATCCAACCTATGCTTCATCTTGCTCTTCCTTGCATCAGTCTTCCACACCATTCTCGCCTTGATCGACCAATACTTCCATATCCCGATCCTTTCCTTCTGCTTGGACGACCCACAAGATGCCCGCAACCACCGCAGAGACTCTTTCACTCGTCAGCCGCCAGGTCTCTGTTGCACCCCTTGTCCTCCTCTCCGTGGCGGATCACTACGGTCGCACAGCAAAGGGAACCAGAAAACGAGTCGTCGGCGTGTTGTTGGGTCAGAATGATGGAAAAAATGTGAGGGTTTCAAACTGTTTCGCAGGTGTGTATTCCCGTCAACCAGGCTGCCCTCCCATACCTAACGATCCCCAGTCCCCTTTGAAGAAGACGAGAAGGATCCCTCCGTATGGTTCCTAGACCACAACTACGTCGAGTCCATGCGGGAAATGTTCAAGAAGGTCAATGCCCGAGAAAAGCTGATCGGCTGGTATCATTCTGGCCCTAAGCTACGAGCTTCCGATTTAGAGATCAACGAGCTCTTCAAGAGATACACCCCCAATCCTCTCTTAGTCATTGTCGATGTCCAGCCCAAAGAAGTGGGTGTTCCTACCGATGCATATTTCGCCATCGAAGAAATCAAGGACGACGGCACCACCACCACCAAAACCTTCGTGCACACTCCCTCCATTATCGAAGCTGAAGAGGCTGAAGAGATTGGCGTCGAACACCTGCTACGAGATATTCGAGACGTCGCAGTTGGAACTCTATCTTCTCGCATCACTCAACAGCTGCAATCTTTGCAAGGTTTGCACCTACGGTTACGGGACATCGGCGCATATTTACAGAAAGTGCTCGATGGTGAGCTCCCCATCAATCATGCCATTCTCGGAAACCTGCAAGACATCTTTAACCTCCTACCTAACCTCACCACACCTCCTGCTTCCCGGCCCAACGGCAAGAACCAAGTAGAGAACAGTGAGCTTGCTCGAGCGATGAGTGTCAAGACAAACGACCAACTGATGACGATTTATCTGAGTTCCCTTGTCCGAGCCATTACAGCCTTCCATGACCTCATCGACAACAAAAATCAGAACCGACAGCAGCAAGAAGAGAAAGAGGGCAAGAAGGACGGAGAGAAAGAGAAGGACGAAAAGAAATCCACTGCCAACGGTGCTGGCAATGGAGAAAAGAGAGACGCAGACGAAAGCAACAGTGCCAAGGGAAAGGGAAAGAAGAAAGGCTAAACTAGTCCACAGAGATAGAACTGAGAATGGGGCGGGCCTCGGGCATTTAGCATGGCGTTGTGATGGGTTTGCAATATGGAGTGCGAGTGCTCCAGCTATATTGCAACAGCATTTCAGATTGGCTGATGTATAGTATTGAATGTATGCAAAGCCTGGAAAGAGAGAAATCGCATGCATGCCTTGTCGCGGTCAACCCAATCCTGGGATCTAGAATGCATGGAGTAGATCTCTCGTCTAGCAGGCATTTCAAAGAGGGTTCGTCACCCCTTGAGGCCATGTATGTGATAGATCGTCATCAGGTCTTTTCATCGTGCTTGGTCTTCTGCAGAGGTCGTGGCCTTTTGCATTCACCCAATAACCCTATGCCCTGTCAATATCTCTCCTATATTTTATGACAATCTTGCAGCGACGAACAAATTGTCCGTTCATAGGCAGACGCAAATACCACTTGATACTAGAACTTCCAGTTGCTCGGTGTCCTATTCTCAACTCACCCATACCCAAACTCCCCCCATCCCCCTCCCCATCCCGCAAGCTGTTCACGAGAAGCTATGCTCTCAGCCACGCCTGTCCCGAACAACATCGGCGCCGCTCTTGCGAGGACAGCGGCTAGAATGTGCTTACATATGGGCGCGCCGCCTGGTGATGGAAGCGTCGCTATTCCTCCAACACGCCAACCCACCTCTTCGGCCTCATGGATACCAGACAAGAAATTGTCAAGCTGATCTGGTCGCTCGCCGGCAGTGTCATCCCCTGCACTCATCAACCCCTGAAATGCATCGACACTGAAGGCCGGACAGCTGCAGTTCCACGAGTCCAGGCGAACCTCGTAGAATGTCGCCGAGACGCTCTGTTTTTTACGTCGTGTATTCGTCGTTGATGTCACGGCGCTGCTGGATTGGATGTAGAAGACTTCCCAGGCTGGATTCGTTGGTGACGCTCCACAAGCGCCGGTAGGATCAGTGGTGAGCCTGGCCCTGTCGTCATCTCCGTCTACCTGTATCCTACCCGGCTTTGGGACAAGACGCGTGACAAGCCCATGATCAAGGAGGTCCAGTGCCGGCAGTAAATGGTGTGGGAACAAGACATGCAGCGTGAGAAACACCGAGCGTGCTTTTGCTGTCTCTTCTGGCGAGAGTTGGTAAAGCCGGCCGCTGTTGAACCGCATGTGCGGGTGGGCTAGATCCGGATGTGTAGAGGCGATATTTTGGAACTCATTGGCAGACGGCCCGATGGGCCTTAGAGAACCCAAGGTCGATAGTAATTTTGTTAGGATTGAACGTGAAGTCAGCACCCCTGAATTGGACTGCAGGGTGGACGTTGCTGGTGCTGGTGCGTTCACGTCGCTGTTCATACTGGGGGGATCCTCGGGTCCCGCGCCATCATATGTAAGAGGCTGGTTTGGAAGAAGGGAAATAGTGGACCTTGGATGACCAGTCTCGAGGTATATGTTTCGATTGATTAGAAGCGTTATCAGAAATGCGAATATAATAGTCGGTCCCTAGGTATGGAAGAGAACACAATCAACAAAGTCTGATCGCGGAATATATTTATCATCATAGGTATCATTTTGTGTGGCCAAATCTGTGACCCGCCTCAGATTTTGTGATGACCGCTGTTGAGGAACTCACACGCGCACATTCTGCAGAATCGCCTGAGCTACTATTCACTATCAAATATGTAAACTCAGTGCAGTGAGTTAATGGGCACATACTGCGCTTCCCACAATAAAGAAAGCTAGCTACCTCTGCGGATACATCCATTATCTACCAACGAATCCAATCAATCTCTCGCTCAGCCTTGCCACCTTATCTTCCCAGCTTTCATAACACTGACCACACCCAACGGAACCTGCGACGCATCCACAATCTGCACACTCCCATACTTCTCTACAATCTGCGAACCGTAGACAGCTAGGATCCATTTCCAGTAAGGGGTCATGGAATGAAACGGCTTGCCAATACCCGAAGACGATGATCGCGAACCACGGCTCCTGGTGGGTAGCTTGTCGAGGAAAGCTGTAATCTCATTCGTTTCCAGTGCTGCGAACTCGTCGGGAATCGATAACAACCTCTCGTATGCCTCGCTCAAGTTGGCTGAGCGCTCTGCTCGGTATCGCAAGAACTCTTCGCTTAGCATGAATTCATCCCCAAAGTTGTGGCGGTTGTTCTTTGAGTTGGGATTTCGTCGCTGGAACCGATCCTTCGCCACAATGTAGTCTTGCTCGTCGAGGTCCAATGCCTTTGACAAGATCTTCTCTGGGGAGGCACGCAGCTTCTCTCTCATGCAGTGGAGCGGGACGAGAGGGTTTCGCAGTTCCATACCGCCCATCTGCACCGGCCAGTACCAGACTCCATCAGGAATCCCGTCAACGCCAAATCGTTCACTTGCAAGCGTATTGAGATGGTCAGTCACCGTACTTCCAGGGAAAACTGCCTTTTCGATCCTGACAAAGGTTTCGATCATGTTGTCGATATGCTCTCGACCAAATGCAAACGAAGGTTTCCCAAAGTTGTTACTAAAAAACCGCGCTAGATATGCATTGTAGGCTTGGATGTAGGACAGAATTGATGTGCAGTGGGACAACTGTCGCTGAAGCTCCTGAATATGTTCGTCGACCATAGTTTGATCAATGATAAACCGTGCGGATTTTGCATCCAACCGTAGAAAACCCCATCGCACATCACCTTTTGGGAGGACACGAGCGGCCTTGCTCGAAGGGTAGTCGTCATCGTCAAGGTCGGATTCGGTACTCGAATCTTGTGTATGTTGAGAGACTGTGCCTTGGTCAAAGATCACAATCCCGGTTTTTTCCTCGTTGAATTCAATGCCCATGACAGCCGCAAACGTCGTCATGGCCTCCCATCCACGAGCGCAGAGGTCCTCACTGCCCCAAAACCAAAAGTCATCATGTAGCCGATAGAGGTAGCTTTGAGTGGCATTGTTGACGGCGTAGTCCATGACGAATAGGATCACTTCTCCGAAGACGTCGCTCAGGGCGTGCGACATGGGAACCCCTTTCTTACGAACTTGAAACTGCCCATCTGCACCATCTTGAACAAACCGCATTGGAGCTTGGAGAAACTTGCGGAAGAATTCGAGCCACTCCGTTGTAACTCCGAAGAACTCCAAAACAGCAAACACAGTCCCATGCGGAAGTGAGGGCCCGAACCACTGGAAGTCTGAGCGGATCACGGCATGAGAAGCTCCAGGACGCAGGTGGCGTGCCAACGTAGCTTCGGTAATAAGCAGGTGTAGAAGGGCCTGCTTCGTTTCGACGGGGCTTTTCCGCGAGGATCTTGACACATCACCATCTTCATCACCGTATCCACGAATACCCTCGGCCTCAGTGATTGGAAGCTGTGTTAGGAAGTAGTCCTGCTTGTACTGGGTTCGTCGTTTTGCCTCCACGGTTGCTGATGATTGACTGCCTTTATCCCCGCCCAGGAAGTATTCTCGTCGGTCTCTGTCAACCTTGGGTACATTTCTCGCGGCCGTCTTCCACGCAAAAGAGTTGAAGAACTTGGTTAGACACGCCTTGAAGTGAACGGCGAATTTCATGCCGACTGCGTGAAGTAAAATTGCGTCCAAAACTTCTTCGTCCATGAAGATACGGTACTTCCCATTAAGCTGCTTTCGTTGGTGGACTGCGATAGCTCCATTGACTGTACTCCAGTTCCAAGTCTCAAGGGAGGCATATCTCATGTTCAGGACATCGGCAACTTCTTGAAGCACTTCCTTGTTGTTCTGAAAAGACTTGAGGATGACGCCCTTCTCTTCAGAAAGGAGGTCTGTCTGTAGAACGCCCTCGATGATCGTCTTGAGGTCAGAGGTATTGAAGAATTCTTTATCGTACCACAAATTCTCGCTGAAGGACTTTGTAGATTCCTCGATGTCTGTGTATGCACTCGTTACTGCCTTTTCGGACCTGAAGAGCTGTTTGAGGTAGTCTTTGATAACTGCCCGATCCACTTTAGCTTCGGAAAAGACAATGGACTCCCACTGGGCCCGTTGCTCGTGCATCTCTTTACGTCCAATGCTCTCAAAAGAGGAATCATCCAGTGAAGTGGATGAAGGTTGGCTGGGAGCACCTGTGGCGGCGCTTGAGAGCCATTCAGTCACAAGTTCGGAGAAGAATTGAGCATGTCCATGCTGCACGCTTTTAAGCTCAAGCTCCTGGAGCAGATCATTCTGGATCTCCTGCACCAGGGCAGGGGCAAAGGCGGGGTCTTTTCGCGCTTGTTGCAAGAAGAGCTGCTGATTTCGCCGCGTCCGCGAGGCATTAGAGGCGCTGTAATTGAAATCAGAGCCATCACTGTCAGACAAATCATCCATGACTTTGATCCCAGCTTGGCGGCAGGCTCCTCGAAGCAGAACTCGGGTTCTTTCTAGCTCATTGGTGACAGGCTTCGCATCCTGTAGGATGCTTCTCTTTGCTGTCTCATATTGATCCCGTTGCTTCTTCAGCTCCGTGATTTTGGTGGAGGTGACTGAACGAAGTGTTTCAGGGAGGGCTGCAGAGGCCATGATGAGGGTTGATGGGCACAGAAGCAGGGAAGTTCTATGATGGGAGGGTGGAGGTGGAATTTGACTTTGAAATGAACGCGAAAGGTCGCTGAAGCACAACTGTTGATCAAGACGGAGCACTCTACTATTATACTTAGGCGAGGCTAGCTGAATAGAAAGAGTCTGTTGACTGACTTTAGGGCTACATTTAAAGGGAGCTTTGGGGGATATATACAGACGAACTTGATGAGGCAAGACATAGAGGATTGGAAGCCAAATTAGTCCATGACTCAGTGGGACTCATGTGTGGCCGTGAAGGCGGGCGTTGAAGTAACATCAGTAGTGGTACTCCGTAGTGTAGTTAGAATTGTGGCCGACTGAAATAAGGCGGAGTGGCAGAACTCAGACCTTAGGGGTCAATAATTAGTTGTCGTAATAATAGGGCAGGAGCGCAGTGTCTGACTCAGCCATACTGCATTAGGTATGGGTGGTACCTAGTCCCATATCACGTGATATAAGAGAAAATCAGAATCAGTCATTTGAAAATATACGGTCGTCAGTCGCGTGTCGAAGCGCACTTTAGTTCCTCCCTTTTCACGTGCAGGTCTTCATGGTGCGTGCTACTGCCCATTAATCATAAACCTCTAGCATTCCAGGCCGACTGTGGTCCAAGCATGCGACTGGTGATTGAGAATTATATTTCTCCCGAAAAGCCCGCTTCAAAATGTGTCTAAGTGCTTCCTCTACCAGCGAGAGACTCTCCATCAGATCATGGACGGCGCGGACACAACCCCCTCCAATTCCAAGGTGATTGTTCAATGCACGGATCCAAGCAATCTATTCGATTCGGTCGAGCCTCGCCTCTCCTCCAGAAGTCCCCTCAAGAACCTTCACTGGAAGTCCCCTAACCGACCCCTGCGCTCCATCCCAAACCTTAATATTGCTCTGACTCGTGAGCAGACTGCAAACGGTTCTCATGCCAGTATTCGCCGCCATCAGATTCCTGGCTTGCGCGAAACTCCCTATGTCAAGCTCTACTTGCTACGATGCGACGACAAGGAAACGTACAAGGAGAAGGCCAGGAAAGAGGTTCGCCAATGGGTTAAGTCAGTGACTCCCACGGGGGAGTCAAAGTCTGCTCTCAAAACACAGGAGAATCACGACGCTTCCGAGTGGTTGATAGTGCACGTGGTCTTGTCAAATACTCCGGCAGCCAGTCAACCACGTTCCTCTAAACACATCACCTTGGAGACTGCCGAGAGCACCGATAGCGTTAATAGCAAATCGAAATGGTCTGGCAAGAGTTCTTCTACTATCTTCGACAAGTTACGGGCCGATTTCAGCAGCAGTTCAAAATCCTCCATCACCCGCGTGTCCCAGATTAGGCTTCTTGAGCCCAACGACAAGTCGACTGCGTTGACACCGGCTGAGCTGGAAGAACAATGGCAAGATTTAGTGGAATGCCTGAAGGCCTGCATCCTGCGATCGTTCGATGCTCGAGTAGCACAATACGAGCTTGATATTCGGGAAAGAGATAATCAAAGAAGTCTGCCAGGCTGGAATTTCTGCACCTTCTTCGTCCTGAAAGAAGGCCTAGCCAGAGGCTTTGAAAATGTTGGTTTATTGGACGACGCTCTTTCTGTCTATGACGAGCTCTCGGTAGGATTGGACACTCTCATCAAAGAAGCGTCGGAGAAGGGAGACGATGACGAGAACGGCGCACTGCTTCTCTTCTCCAAGGAATCCAAAGCCCTTCTTAGGGCCGCGCTGGAGGCAAACACTAAGGTCACCCCCATTCCTAGTCACAACGTCCCGATGCACCTGTCTCAACTTCTCGTGGCTGATCGTGCACATTTTCCTTTTGATGTCGACCGCCAAAGATATCGCGAACTAATCTTGTCCAACGAGGTATCGGCATTGGATCTGCGAGTGTACCTCTTTACTAGACAAATCGAGATCCTGCTCAGGCAGGCTGAAGCGCCTTCACCAACCGTGCAGGCTCCACAGAAGACTGCCATTAATCTCCACATTGTTGGGGATGTCGCAGAGCGGGCGACTCACTTTATCAACTTAGCTGGTCGTATTCTTCGCCTTGAGCTTTACATGGCCTGGGGCGGTCAGGAAGGTTTAAGCGAGGAAGAATTGCACAGTCAACGAACCGTGACAGGAAACATTGTTTCAAGCTGGACATGGTGTGCAATTTTGCAGATTCTTAGCAAAGTCACCCCAGCTTTGGGAGTTGACCTAGTGTACTGGACGAGTTCACTGTCGATTGACGCACTGGAACTTGCTCAGAATGCGGAAGCTGCACCAGAGACTCTCTTGTCTGATGTAGAAACGCATCTTCATCGCTTGTCCCTCGCTTCCAATCTTGGATCTTCTTCCCGCGACCAACCCCTTGATCGCAACCATAGACACAGCATGATGGCAGATAGCACAAATCTCCAACAGGTACTACTCTCCCGCCCTGGTTCAGAAAGGTTGCTGTTCTGGGTTTCAAAGCTGTCTCTAATGGCGAGGCGTGTCCTTCAGAACTTGGAGGCAGCTAAGGTGTGGACTGCCGAGTTGAAAAAATGCGTTACAATGGCGCTGAAGGGGCAGGAAACGCGCCTAGACTGTGATTCGGAAATCATCGATGATACAGGCGATGGCGAAAGCGATGGCGAAGGCCTTGCAGGGCTGCAATCACAAGTACTCAGGGCAGTGGCGATCTCTAGAACGACGTTCCTAGAGCTATACATTCTGCTGACAATATTTTCATACCGTCTTCTGGGTCGTACCAAAAGCTACACAGCACTGCATCAAGCTTTGGTTGATCTCGTAGAGTTCGAATACGCGCAGAAGAATTTTGCTATTGCAGCGCGATATCTTGGCAGCATCCTTGGACCCTTGCCTCGACCCTCTAGGCATCCGGCGGATAATCATCTACTCCGAATATATGCCGACTGTCTAAGGCATCTAGACAGACCCAACGAATATGCGAAATGTCTCATTTCGTGTTTGCAATCTGTGCCGCATGATAGAGTTCAAGCTTCTCCAGATTCGTCCAAGGACATCCAGCCCCTTCAAGCTCAGCTCTCGGAAGTGTTGAAGGTTGTCACCCCGATCACACTGCGACTGACAAGCATTTTCCATGTGTCGGATATCGCAACCACCATCAGACACCCAGAGGGCAAAGATGGATTCGCTCTCCAGATTGCTCTCCAAACCTTATCGGGGCCCTCGGCCATCCTTGCACATGAGATCAGGCTTAGATTGTCAGCAAAAGATGGCCATGAACCGCGGTACATTAACCTACAGTCTTCAGGCCCGGTACAGATCACGGAAAGAGCCACTGCTATAGTGCTTGAGACCTCGGTCATGAGCCAAGGCTGGTACAAGGTTGATGAGATTGAAGCTCGAATTGGTAACCTAAGGCTCCTCCATCATTTTCAATCTTTACATGAAGCCGATCAGAATGAGGAAGAGGACTCGAGAACGCCTCGGACGGCGGTTGTGCCAATACTTGTGTATCCGCATGATCGGTCATTTGCAATTCGGATCCGATCTTCGTCGACGCTGCATCTGTCCGAAACAAGGCGGCTGTGGATTGAGGTCCGACCCGGCCACAATCATATCACACAATGCAGGCTGCGACTCAAAACTGCTACAGCCGGATTGAGACTTAATGTTCATGATGCCCGGTTAATTGGCAGTGACCGATCTCCGGACAGCTTGCGAACGGCTCGCGAAGGGGACACGCTCTTAATGGTGATTGACGAGCTGACAGCGGAATCCCTGGTGGTCATCGAAATCCCATATACGTTGGAAATCCCGTCTAGTGCCTCGATTTCCATCCGGATTGACGCGGGTTATGAGACACAGCACGGCTCATTCAACCTTTACGAGACGGCGGCTGTCAATGTGCTACTTCCTGTAATAGTCAATGTGCAGGATGTTTACAGGCCCTTTTGCACTTACTCTCGCTTTACGATAAGCCCATCCACCCTCGTCCCGCTAACTCTCTTGAGTTGTCATTTAAAGGAGAACGAGTATTATGCGGTGGAGCTGCCCGACAAGCATCAGGACAGCGTGGTGGTGTTCCCAAGACAACCAGCGAGCTGGACTGTGCGGCTGGTGCCGAAGAACGAGGAAGCATGCAGGGCGACCCGCAAGCTTACTTTAGTGGTCGAGTACCAGTGCCTTGACGACGTGATTCTCTCTGCGCTCGAGGAGCACCTCAAGTCGGCGCTTCTATTGAGTGATTATGCGTTTGCGGCAAGGCTGCTATCGTCACATTTGGAAGACCAAGTTCGCGGAGCCTGGACCGAGCAAGACCTCGAGGTAGCCGGGCTTACACAAGAGATGGAGATTTGGGACAAGGGGGATCTGGACTGGCCCAGTGTGTTATGTGCGATTGATCGGAGTGATAGGGCGGGTTTGGATGCGTGGCTGTCGTCATGGCATGCCCAATCGCGGTCGATTCAACTGTCAGGAGCACAGTGGTGTCGACGCCAGCTCAGACTACAGGTTGATGTACCGCCGCCACCACTGGTTGTGGTCGCCAATTTACAGATTCAAAAGAAACCATCAGAGGAAGCGACCGCCACCGTTGGACAGCCGTTGCTAGCGGTTCTGGAGTTGAGCTTATCCAGGCCGCAGTCGGAGCCCATCGAAGGGGTCTTTGAACTTGTGGCGGTGGCAGATTCGTGGTTGATTGGAGGACGGCGCAAGGGGAATGTGCAACTCCAACGTGAGTGTGTAGAAATCCCAACAGTTCTCTTCCCACAACAGGTTGGGTATCTGCTACTCCCTACAGTCACAATCAAATGTCGAAGAAAAGTCAGGCGAAGTGAAAAGGGCAGTCGTGATAGCTGGACAGAGGTCAACAGTGAGGTATATAACACCGGACAGGGCCGCAGCATCCTTGTCATCCCGGATCTCCGGAGCACCACCGTGGAGGTGTTTGGAGCTGCTTCAGACAGTGGCACAGGGAGACTGGTAGGGACGAGACACCGGGGGCACCTGATAGGATGAGGAAGGAAATAGCTCACCCACCATGTTAGTGATGAACAATAAGCATTCAAAATCCGGAGTCCCTGGTAGCTTTTGAGCGATCTCGATTAGAACCCTGGGGGGTATTTTACTCGTATGCTCCTTGGAATGACTCGCAGGAGGGGAGATCTGCAGGGGCTGTCTGGTCGTTCCGTCATTGGGAGAGTTACGGCCCGGGCCGTAGACTAACCTCAAACGGTGTCGGGCAGTGCTACCCTGGACACGTTCCGAGATTCGGCAGCCGGTACCTGAAGAGTGAGGACAGATGGCAAGATGGCCAAGGCCATTGCCCTAGCTGAGATTAAGGCTCCCGTCCCAACAAAAATTGGCTTGGAGCTCCAAATTGTGGATGTGGATGTATGTACAAAGGACTGGACTCCCATAATCGCTTATAGTTACCTACTCCTAGGTAGCCACTCTGGATGCTTCTATGGAGTTATAACTTGCGGCACTCTCAGGGTTTGGCATTAGATACTTTGAGGGCTCTGCGCTCTGCACACCGGCACCGCACCCGACCGACCCCCCCATAACTACGACCACTGCTGGGCACTTCACGCAGCGACTGTGGGGTCATGCCACCATTCTGGCTACATAATCCTCGTGACTTGAGAGTATAGAATCGTCGCGTTCTTCAGCAGTGCTTCCTTTTGACCGAGGTCATGTGGACTGTTTCCGTGGCGATCGAGGGAAGATGGACGAGCATGTGAAGTTTTTTGATGAATTTCACATGCCGATTTTGAAGGCTGATTTGGTGAACAACTATGCCACTGGTGGAAGGGACAGAGGGCAGTTCGTAGCGATTGGAAGGGGCATGTGGTTAAAACAGCTGCTATTAGCGGTCGATTCGAGAACGGCTCGGCATGGTGTCGATCAAGGCAAGTATCGAGCAGGCCAGAGTTTCTCTGTGGGCTTCGACAAGCCGGCAAAATGTAATGTACTAATTATGTATGAGTTGGATGCGGTGAGGTTAGGGAAGGGACGTATGAGGCAGGTGAGGAGCTGGGTGGGAGGGAGCTTTGGGGGTTGGTCCACCCTCGATGCCCACGGCCCTTCCTACTCTTAGTCGAAGGGATAAGCTGACGGTGATGACCACCAAGTTGAGTAATTGAATACACAGACCCAGGTCCTCAGCTGGATTACTTACCCAGTGCAGAAGATTTCATTTTGCCATGGGAACCATTCCTTGAGGAGATTGAGGCCCAACAGTGACAAGAAGAGAATCCGATGGTCGAACCTTACCAGAAATACTCCGGACACGATGGGCACAAATCCGTAGCAAAGATCCACCGTGGACGACGATCATCTGAGCCACTACGCCGGGCAGTTGCGTCAGGTGAGCGATCACGAAGAGTGGTCTCGACTTCGACAGCCAGTATCCCGATGTGTATGAAAGGGAGCAACATGGAGCTCGAGATCGAATACTCCGTACTGCTGTAGTCAGTAGTGGTCACAGATGGCAGTAGAATTCAATTGTCAGAACAGAATTCATAGGGGGTCGGGACCAGGGCGCCCAGAGGCCAAGGATTGTGGCTCTCCAGCTGTTTGTGCCGAGTCCAGTGCTTGCTCGTATGTGGTGTACGGGACGTTTGTGCGACTCTGTCATTAGCATTACAAGTACTCACTCCGTAGGGTCGGAGAAAAGGGTGTGTGGGCGTAGGCACACCGGTAAGCGCAAGTGCTGGCACTGCTGGTGGGTTAGTTACTGGAGGTGCGAAGCACTGAGCTGAGTATTGTACTAAAGTACTCTGTACCGAATCCTCCCTCGGTGAACCTCGGGTTAATGATGGCATCTCACCGCCCACTGGGGCCGCTGTGAGAAACAGCGCCAGGGCCCATCACCCCTGTGCAGCGTCACCTGCCCTGAATTTAGCGCCTGGTCAATTGACGAGGGAAGTGGCCTTTGCGAGCCCAGGGCAGAGCGGACCGGCCAGGGACCAGGGACCAGGGACAGCCAGAGCCGCCACTGGTCACCACTTGACTACGCGTTAAAAGCTCCCCACCCATCGAAAACCCTTCGAGTTTCTGTTGAGAAATTCTGGAGCTGGACAGGAATGCAACAGGCCACAGCTGCCAACTGCCAACTGCGCTGCAAATGCACCACATCGCACCAATGCTACCACCGCTAAAAAATCCGTTCGCTCTCCGCCCAATGCTCTCCGCAATATTCTCTTTGTACATTATATAGCGCCTCGTACTCTGTAGACCCTCTCTCTTACTTTTCCTGCTCCTCCTGCCCTTCCTATATCCATCCTATATTCTCTGCTCTGGTCTGTAACGCGCCCAATTCAAGTCACTGCCTGCCCTGCAGTCAGCTTCCTCGGCCATCGGACTATTCCCAACAATTCTCTGCCACCCTCTACTACCCTCTCTCCGCCTCGCTCGATCTCCTGAGAACCTCGATCTCTGGTCTCAATCTCTGCCTGGCCATGGCGACCACTGCTCTGGAGTCCGAGGCTGCCCTTCGCCGCTTCGCAACCACCGAATCCACGCCCAACTCCTCCACCAATATCTCTCCTCTCGACAGCCCTAGAACCTCTCCCTCTTCAACATCGTTGTCTTCCTTTTCTGAGGAGGAGGTGGTAGTGCAGCAGAAGGGCACCGCCACTACCACCACAACCACCCAGAAAAAGACGCAGCTCGTCGACACATACGGAAACCCTTTTGAGATTCCTGATTATACCATCAGTGATATCCACAAAGCCATTCCCAAGCACTGTTTCGAGAGGTCGGCCGTTACCGGTCTCTACTACGTTGCTCGAGATGTTGTCTCCTTGTCCACGACCTTTTACCTTTTCCACCATTTCCTAACACCGGAAACCGTCCCCTCCACTCCTCTCAGGACCGCTCTTTGGTTTTTGTACACTGTCATCCAAGGCCTTTTCGGCACCGGACTGTGGGTCTTGGCTCACGAATGTGGCCATCAATCTTTCTCAACCAGTAAAGTCTTGAACGACACCGTGGGCTGGATCTGCCACTCTGCCTTGTTGGTCCCGTACTTTTCCTGGAAGATCTCCCATGGCAAACATCACAAAGCCACTGGCCACATGGAGCGAGACATGGTTTTTGTGCCCTCCACCAAGGAAGAGTACGCCACCAAACGGGGATATCTGCTCCACCAACTGGAAGAGCTCACCGAGGAGACCCCAATTGCCACCGCATATCATTTGATTGCCCAGCAGCTCGGCGGCTGGCCCATGTACTTGATCACCAATGTCACTGGACACAACAAGCACGAGGGCCAGCGTGAGGGTCGTGGAATTGGCAAGCAGAATGGGTTTCTCACAGGTGTCAACCACTTCAACCCGAATAGTCCTTTGTATGAGGCCAAAGATGCCAAGTTGATCCTCCTCAGCGATCTCGGTCTCCTCATTACGGGCAGTGTCTTGTTCCTGGTTGGCAGCAAGTACGGATTTGCAAATCTGTTCGTTTGGTACATTGCTCCATATCTGTGGGTGAATCACTGGTTGGGTAAGTCGATCTTTTGGAAGCTTCCGTTTTGACGGAGCAGGGTGCTAACATGACAATAGTCGCCATCACCTTCCTGCAACACACTGATCCCTCCCTGCCTCACTATACCCCGGATACTTGGACCTACACACGAGGCGCTGCCGCGACCATCGACCGAGAGTTTGGATTTGTTGGTCGTCAACTGCTCCATGGAATCATCGAAACTCATGTTCTGCATCACTATGTCAGCACCATTCCATTCTACCATGCCGACGAAGCCGGAGAGGCGATCAAAAAGGTCATGGGCCGTCATTATCGAAGTGATACCAGGGGCGGATCGCTGGGATTTCTCAAGAGCATTTGGACTTCGATGCGCTGGTGCAACTGGGTGGAGCCTTTGGAGGGTGCCAAAGGCGAGGATGCCGGGGTGCTTTTCTTCCGCAACCGCAATGGCCTGGGCCTTGCGCCTGCTAAAACGCAACAATAGAGCGATGCATATCGCGTTCAATGCATTGGAGTGACGATTTGATGGTTGGCCCCAATTGGGAGGTTGATAGAGCTGGCTGATTAGCACAGTTTGTGCCCGGCGCCCGGTGTTTTCCACTGCATCTTGCAAATGAAACTAGTGGGGATAAGGACAAGTATTGATGAAACACCTTCACGACCAAGATAAAGATAGAGAGCTCGAGAACCCGATAAGATCCTAGAGACCAAGATAGATGTGAGAAATCAGAGTCCCGCTAGCTGGGATATCCTTCTTGCTGCATTGAGTTGACACAGCCTAGTTGCCCCTCTCCAACGGATAAACGGGAGTTGATTCAATATTGCATTGTACTGTCCAACTAGTCCTTCAGAAGTCGCTTATGGTCAACAAACACGGTGGGATGGTCCTAAAGTGATCAGTCCCGTGTAAGTGATGATTCTGGCCGTTCCAAGGTAGGGAAACACAGTCGCATGATAGTAGTTTAAATGTACCTACAGTAGGAGGTTTGCACGTGCGCTAATCGATGGGAAGTGGATTTCACACGTTGTCATCATCCCCATACTCGTAGTTAAGTTGCAGTAATTAGGTATGTAATTAGCTGATTGGTGGTAGGTGGCAATGGATGATGCCTGTTCCGCCAACTACCCCAGGTCACGCATCGCCTCCCAATACCAAAAGTGTTTACGGCCTTAACCCCCCGCTGCCACCGGTGCCACCGCTCCCCTTTTGTGATTACATTTTCATCCTTGGACGCATGCGAGTAGGAGTCGTCAGTGCACCAGCCATTGCAGATGTGCAGTTGATCCGACGAGAATGTCGGGGACTCGGGGGGTCCTGATCCCAGGCGGCCCTCCCGGCCGTAAAACTCCATCCAGCCTCGCTGGGAGGGCGACGGGCCAACATGCCGCTGCTTTCGTTTCGTACCTATCATCCTTCACGAAATCATCCTCCGCTCAACGGGTGGTTTACAAGATGAAGCCCAGCTTCACTGCTGTCAATACTTTGGTTTGTTTGTATTGTGATTCATTTCTAGAGATCATGGCTCAAACTTCACGAGATCACCTGCTTTGACTAGAGATGGGTTATGTAGGATATGATACCAGACAGAATCCAGTGGCCATACGGCCGCATCACACCGTTGCGAGGCCTTTTAGCCCCAAGCCATCGTCGCCAAGGTTGCTCCGTACATCTACTCGTATGTCCTAACCCTTAGGACTCTAATGCAGGTATCATCTCTGCAAAACTGCTGATGAAAGCCTGCATCAACTGTGCACCGGACGACACGAGCCACCCTCGAGGTCAACTCCGAGCATGCGGAGTGTTTGAAATGATGGTATAGTATGTGTGTGTGTGGATATATACGTGCGTTGGGTGTGTTCCGCCTCATTCATCACCTCGAAACATATACCTGTCTGCCTGCTCCTTCTGCAATCTCCCTTATGCTAGGTGAACTATCACTTACATCTATTCTTTCGATTTATTTCCTTACTTCAGATTCTCCATCTAAATTGCCTCTCCACACGGGAGTCAGGCCCGTCTTTCGCAAGTAGTCTTTCGAATCAACCAAGATGGCGTTCGAAAGCTTTCTGCCAGCGTCCAGCAAAAGGCCAAGGTCACAGCACCGCTGGCCAAGCCAGTCCGCACAGCTTTTATATGTCATACGTGAAAACTTCAGTCTCTCAACCTGGCTGCTGATAGGCGCCCTCATACAATCCGCCATTGTCATGGTCATTCCTCGCTTGTATGCCTTCCTGCCAGCCTTCTTAGTCTTGGCAGCCCGCCTCGTCGACAGTTTGGCCATCACCTATGGGTTCAAAAGAAACCATTACCTCGACGAAGCAATCATCCACCGGGTTGCACCTCAGATTCCCGACGAGAATGGTATTTTCTCCGAGAATCCTTCCAACGAGAAGGTGGTCGTCTTTATGCTGGGCGCCAAATCGAATCACCCTCTCGGGGTGTTCGCACCACGCTTCAAAGAGACAGGCGACTTCTTGAGCAACATGACGAGAGCCCTGGACAAGAATGCGGTCGAGAACGGTTTCTTTGGCGGCTCCGCCTGGACCAACCAGGACAAGAACGGCGCCAGAGAGTTCTTATTCATAAGCTATTGGCGCAGCACCGAGGACGTCCACAAATTTGCATACCTACCTGTCCACCGCGAGGCCTGGGATTGGTGGAACGCCACGGTCGCGCAAAACGATCACATCGGCATCAACCACGAGATCTTCGAGGTCGACCGCCACCATTGGGAGGGCGTCTACCTCAACTTCCAGCCGACGTTGCTCGGCGCCACCACCTACCTGAAAAAGGGCGACAAGATGATTGGCGGCACAGTTGAAGACCAATGGATCTCTCCGCTCATCGACGCAAGGAAGGGGAAGCTGAGGTCCAGTGCTGGTCGATTGGGGCATGATCCCCAGAAGAATGCGGAAAAATACAAATTCGATGGGTATGGTGGAGTGCAGTAATAACTCGCTTGTTGAATAGGTGGGTACGCACCGAGATAAAAGAGGAAGACGTACTTGTCTGTCGATTCAGCGAGCAAGGCCTTGCTTAGCAATGTGTCCATGCGGATGCCGTGTATTTGTGGATATAAGACTGAGAGTGACTTAAATTCACCTGTAATAGAAATGAGATGAGTTGTGATGATTACAGCACTGACCTGCTCGGCCAGGCACTTGAATACCTTAGGTATCTGGGGATAATAGAAAATTCCAAGAATAGACCGCCCAACACGCTCAGTTTGTTCCAAACGGTCACGTGCAACAACAGTATCACGTGAAATGTGCTTCCAGTTGGTCAGCAATAGATTTCTTGACAGCGCTAACCACAATAGGTTAGTACCTTTACTCGGTACCTCGGTCCAGCATTTCTTTAGTTTTCCCCACCTCCACCTTCAGCTTCCTCCATATCCACACTGCCACTATTTCCTCCATTTCCTACCGCTCCTACACGGTCGTCCAGAGGCTAAATAAACATGAAGCTACTCAATTGGTTGCCGGTGATGATCGGTTAAAGACCCTGGAGACCTACATGCAGATTTCAGTATACCTGACAAGCCACCGACTTGCCGATATCTCTTCTATCTCTTCTCATTCCGTGGCTACTCGGCATTCCATAATACATAACTAACTTGCTGGTGTAGTCACCCTGCTGCTTCTAATATTTAACACAGTGGTCTACCTTGTTTTCCCTCATTTTGATGACTCTCTGCCCTTGCAGTACCCACTGCTCTTTCCCGATATACACGATCCCAGTGTCTTGGTTCACCAGTTCCTCTGAAGACCTCAACCTCCGCCTCCACCTCCACCTCCCCTGCCTTTGAAAATGCCTTACAAATCTCGCTGGACCGTTTCCGTCCCTGACTGCTCCTTACCGACCTTCCTTTTCAAATCTCCTACGCACGACTTGGGCGAGAACCGTGCCTTTTCTGAGGCTGCCCGTCCCGAAACTCACTACATCACCCGTAATCAGTTTCGTTTGTGGGCGCAACGGTTTGCCCTTGGTTTGCTCAGGTCCAAACACTTCAAGAAAGGGGACAGGGTGTTACTATTCAGTGGGAATGATCTCTTCGTGCCCGTGGTTTTCATGGGCGTCCTGTGCGCAGGCGGCATTTTTACTGGCGCGAACCCGACCTTTGTTGCGCGAGAGTTAGCCCACCAACTAAAGGACAGCGGCTCCACATACCTGCTGTGCTCGGACGCTGCTGTTGAGACAGGTATTGAAGCTGCTAAGCTAGCTGGCCTAGATCCGCGAGAGAGGGTTTATGTGTTCAATTCAAAAATATTCGATGGCGAGACCCAGGGGGTGCACGGCCTTAGATATTGGAGCGAGCTCTTCGCATCAGAGCAAGATGCCCGTGGGTTCCGGTGGGATGATCTAGCGGGGCCCGGCGAGTGTGATACGACCCTGGCTCTCAATTACTCCTCCGGTACAACAGGAGTACCGAAAGGTGTAGAAATCACGCACAAGAATTACATCTCTAACACACTTCAGGTCGCGCAAATGGCCACTCTATTTGCCGACTATAAGGCTCGTAATGCCCGAGCTTCGTGGCTTTGTTTTCTACCACTTTATCATGCATATGGGCAAACCTTCTTTGTCGCAGGGGCGTTCAACAGGAGCGTCCCCGTGTATATCATGCCCAAGTTCGATTTTCTGAAGTTCCTTGAATACACCCAGAGGTTTAAAATCACAGATTATCAGCTTGTTCCACCAATTGCAGTGCTTCTAGCTAAGCACCCTGCTGTGAAAGACTACGACTTGAGCTCGGTTGAGAACATTGGCTGTGGTGCAGCGCCTTTGGGAAGAGATGTGTCTTTGCAGATCGAGAACAGGCTGGCCAGTGGATTGAATTTGAAGCAGGGTTGGGGAATGACTGAGTATGGCTGATTCCTTGTCCCGCTGGCTTTGTCCACCTTGCTAATCCGCAATCTTAGATGTACGTGCTCTCTGCTTGGATGGGACCCCAATCAGATCTCGACTTCCGCGGCAGTCGGCGAACCAAACGCAAACTGTGAAGCCAAGATCATGACCGAGGATGGCACCGCAGAGGTCACAGAAAGGGGGCCCAAAGCAGTCGGCGAACTCTGGTGTCGCGGCCCCAATGTCATGAAAGGTTACTGGCGCAACGAGAAAGCTACCAAGGAGACCCTCACGCCAGACGGCTGGCTCCGAACTGGAGACATCGCTTACGTCGACGAGGACGGCAAGTTCTTCATAGTAGACCGAATGAAAGAACTCATCAAGGTAAAAGGCAACCAAGTTGCGCCCGCTGAACTCGAGGCCCTGCTGTTGGAACACCCAGGCATCGCAGACGCAGCAGTCATTGGCATGCCAACCGAAGACGGCGACGAGAAGCCTCGTGCCTTCATCGTCCGACAGGTCGGCCTCGCCGGCGAAAATCTCACAGGCCAAGAAGTGCAGAAGTTTGTCGAAGAAAAAGTCGTCAGGTACAAACGCCTGGCTGGTGGCGTGGAATTCCTTGACGCCATCCCCAAGAACCCCTCCGGCAAGATCCTCAGGAGGCAGTTGAGAGATGCAACGAGGGAGAGGCTGCGGAAAGAAGGCGCAAGGTTGTAGTTGGATGTCTCGAGTTGAGGCATCTCCCTCCCGGAGTACATGCTCGTCTCAATTGACCACCGGTTCTGCAGCTGGAGATCTCCGTGGTACTCCTCAAGATGTAGACACAGTAAATACAAGGTCCGATTCCAACGCTAGCCGATTGTCCCTTAGAAATACTACCCTTTGCGCATCAAAAATTCATTATCACATAGAAATTGTGTTCATTGAGAGGGGGAGGAACCTTTTCATTCGCGAAATTTCTAGCTGCCATAGTGTTTCCTGTGATGGTGGCGTGGTTAGAGAGCAGAATGGACGATACATCATCAGCCGAAATACCATTATGAGCATCGAATCGTATCATGCCGCAAACTGCCCAGCAAGAGTCTTTTCTTCCGAGGACAGGGCTGCATCCAATGCTGGCCAATGTGCTCGCCTGTCTCATGGGAAACACTTCATGGTGAGGTTTCACCCCAAGCTATGAATGGCTTTGCGCAGCTGCCAATACATCATAGGACTCTATTGTCAACCCAAATTAATGGTGGCAGGCCCGGTGGGGACTATTCCATATTACCACACTAACCACCCAGTTATTTAATGCGCGTCAGGTGAGGGGCGCATACCCTATCATCGTCATCAAACTTACAATTACAAGCAGTCCTAGCATGCATTACTTTTCATCATAATCTTCCTCCCGCCTAAGCGCAGCTAGTGCAATCCTCGTCTCCCTCACGATTTTTGCATCCAGGATATCCCCGTTCGCGGATTTTTGCCATTCTAGTTCCCGATCGTTCGTGGCGATAGTTAGCCTTTCCCTCTCTAGTGGTTCTAGAGCGAGGTTGCTGTTCAAATCCTCAATGATAGCTTTGCGATGTTCGTCATACCCGGAAAGTGGTGAGAGTGCGGATGGATCTACCGCCACAGATGCTCCGGCGTCCCGATAAGAGGAGAGAATATGCGAGATCAGAGCAAGAGTGCTGGATTCATTAGCCTTCAGGAAAGTGAGAACATCGGTGCCTTCTCTTCGCGCCTGTGTTCCTGTCATGAAACTGGTACTCGCCCTCACGAGCTGATTGGGGAATTGATTCAGAAATCCGGAGATTTCGGCGGCAATCACTCCGCCAACGGCGTGAAGCAGGTTCAGACAAAGCGGGAGTAAACCGCCAGCCCAAATCCGGTACAAGAGACCACAGCGAGGTCGTTGGTCAATGTGAGACACACCTCCGCGAGCGCGTTGAAGAGATTCAGTGGTTTTGGAAGTGGAAACGCGACTAAGTACGCCTTCCACTGCAAGCTCTTCTGCGACCAGTGGAAGCGAGGACAGTGAAACAAGAAACTGGATGCTAAGGTCAGCGTAGTCTGCCTGATCACTAGATTCGGGATCCCGGAGTAAATGAGACCACGAGTAAAGCAGCAGGCATGATGAAATGACACCGGAAGAGATCAGTCGCTCCGACAACTCAGCCGAGAATTGAGCAAGGAGTGGTAGCCTTAGAATGGCCTGGAAAAGGGTGAGAAGCAGAAGGACATCGCGAATCCCGACATGATTTGAACCTTCAGCTTCAGCTCCTGGTGTCCCCAGCTGCTGTTCTTGCAGAGTAGATACTACTGTCTTGAAACCCTCCGCAACTATTGTTGTGGCCATCTCCAAAAAGACCACATTCGCAGGATCAAGAACGACCATGGAGGCGCTTGTTTGCGGCAACTTTGTTGGTTTTGGGGTTCTCGTGTCATGATACTGGACAATCATAACCAAGATAGAGAGCATGGAGCGCCAGTACACGAGGTCGTCATGGACAATAGCTTCATCATAACTCCTATTCTGAGCTCTGAGCGCTATCCATGCTGGTTCGAGTAAGCTGGATAAGCTCGAGCCCTTGGCATCGGCCGATAACAATTGACGAAGCAGTGACAGCGACAGATCTGCTCGTGTCTGGAGAAGGGTTTCAAAAAAGGGCTCAGGGGAAAACACCCGAGCATTGGCTTGGAGGCAGTGACGAACAATATGCGCTAAAGTCACTTGGTCTTCCCGCTCGCGAACGAAGAGTTTGCAATGTTCCACACAAAAGTGATGAAGGCTACGCAGAAGGACAAGCTCGGAGTCGACGAGGGACAGGTTGTTATTTGCTCGCCGGAACTCAGCCGAGAAGGACTGACTCGGAGTTCTGCTTTGCCCGCCATCCCAATAAGGATCATGCAAGAAGAGTCGCGTTCCAAAGTCGACATCATAGAAGAAATTTGGTCCGTACCGTCTTTCAATCAGCCCAGTGCGTCTGATGTTTGTAACAGCAAGACCACAATACTTTGCCGAAAAGTTCTTTCGCAGATTTGTTTGCAGCGAAGCATTGTAACTAGAAACATCAATCGCATTGGCTGCGAGCCACTCAAGAAGAGGAGCAAAAGTCCTAATGGCGGACTTGTCTCGATTCACTGTTGAATAGTGAAGATGAGTTGTAGCCAGATCTGTCACGTGAGATGCAATGGCATTTTGTAGAGACTGGTCCATTTCATCGTCTTTGTGTAGATTTCTACTCTTGGTGATATAGTTGACGAGCTTGGAAAAGAAGTGGGTGGAAGATTTCAAATCATCGGTAACCCAAGGCCAGCACGACTGGGCCTGTAAGACAAATTGAAGCATAGAAAGAGCGACGACAGGAGACAGCGCTGCAACGTCTCCAAGCTCCTCAACTACAGTCTGCAGAAACGTCTTGCCACGAAGTGACCGAAGTGGCCGATCCTGTCCTTTGAGCTTCCTAGAGTCATCTGGCAAGGAGCCTGTCAAGATGAGTGTTCCTACCCATTGTTGTGTACTCTTGACTAACAATGAAAGGAGCCTCCAAACCTCATCTCTTGATTGGCTGGTCTGAGATAGTTGATCAATGTGCTTGAGCAAGTGGACCAGGTCAAGGCAAGGAGCTGATCCAAAGTGACGCAAGAGGGATGAGGGCTGATGCTGATCCACATATGTAAGCGTTGATTGGAATAAAGTGAGACAAAGCGGCCTATGCGATGGATAAAGCTGAAGAATTCGGGCAACAGCAGGTAGTCCATTGAACACCTGCGCCTCGATCACTGACAAGGGGAGGTTTCGAAGCATGCCGAGCCGGATCAACGTAATAGTCAATGACAGCATTGAGTTCAAATTGGACCCGTCACCGGCCCCAGACTTGGTGGTACGTTCATTGCCACAACCAGCAGCAAATAAATATCGTACAATCGGGATGGCTGGGAGGTCATCTATGCGGTCAGATCGAAAGGCAGATACTAAGAAATTGGCGGCTTGGCTGAAAGCATTGTTGATGTCAAGGGTTGATCCAACAGATTCGCCAAAATTGAAGGTGAAGCACAATATGTCAGTAAAGGATTTAGCTATCCTGGAGTTGATTCGTGCAAATTGCTCGCGGGACACGAACGTCCAATCCTGAATTTGTTGGAAAACGTTAAACATCGCCTCCGTTATTGCAAACAGCAAGGGACCTTGGACACGCAGAACTAGGGAGGGGCTTATAGTCGGTTCCCTCCCTGACCTCCTTCCCATGGATGTGTCTGGGCAACTGCGAGTGACTGCTGACTCAATGAGAGTTTGGTAAAGCTGGCTGCACTTCTCGAGGAAATCGTAACTACACAGTAGCATTTCAATTGTCGAGATGAGTGGTAACATCAGCCCAACTCCTGAATGATGGGAAAACAGACTGGTTCGATTGATGCTGGACCAAACTTGAGCTGGCCTTATCTTGGTAAATGCGACAGCAAAGTCCAGACACGAAACAAGGACTCTGCAATCAAAAGTTGCGGCGGATCGTCGACGGAAAGACTGCAATTCCTGCTCAAGAATCTCAAATATACAGTACGCAAAATCTGTACCTGGGGCCATGTGGGTGCTGAGCTCGTCTAATACCCGCACGCAGTGCTGTTGTGGGCCGCTAGTACCGTCAGGAACGATGTTACCTGTGATCGTGTGTAGAAGGGTTGCCGCAAGCGAGATGATCTCAGCAACAACCTCTTCTGGCGAGTCGACTTGGGACAGTGCTGTGGAGACCAGTCTTAGATGATATAGTTCCACCAGTTTGCCAAGGTATGCAAAGCCTGAGAAACTGTGCTGCCATCGGATGACGGGCGGGAAGGAATATGAGATGACTTGCCCAATCGTCTCTGCAGGGATGAGACTGTTCATCACGCTACCTGGTGTGGTGTTTTCAAGCATCAAGGTCTGTGATTGTGAGAGATTGAGCATATTGATGGTAGTGTTCAGCACAACCAAGTTCGCGTTCTCATCCTCTCGAATAGTATTGAAATCCACGTCATCAGTAGCTGTTTGGGTAAAAGTCGAGAGGCATTTCATGCGAAATTCAACGTAGTGCCTGCCATCTTCACAGACGTTAGTCCTAGCCAATGCTTTCGAAAACTTTAGAAAGGGCAGAGGCTCGTAAGGGAAACGCAGCGCCGCCGTATTGAAAAACCCTTCCTCCAAATCACTGTTCTGTAGTAGTTCGAGGGACGGATCGAATAGTAGTGGGCCTGTGGATTGCGTCTGTGACGTTGACATCAAAGCCAACTGGGCTGAAACGGACTCTGTGGTATAGCCTAGGAAGGTAACAGAAACAGCAACGAGTTCCTGCAAAGTCTGCAATTTATATGCAGAGAGCATCGTTGTTGGAGAATCGATATGTTTCCTCAAGTGGACGATATACTCGAAAATTTGAAGGCCAGCCATGGCACAATCGAGTAGCCAATCTGCCGGATCGATCTGTTCATTGGGGTTTGCTATCTTGTCCCAAACATCCTCAAATATACTCTGCTGAAGTGATGCAGTGCTGCCGCTGGAACCTCGCCTACCGGTGGCAGCATCAAAAGTTGCAACACTTTCTCCAATCCGTGACGCATAATGGTTTTCACGATATTCCTTGGCCTGAGAGGCGAGGGTTCGGATTTGCTGCAGAATGATCGCCCATGACAGAACGGCAGGTCCTGCTTGGACATTGTTGTGCTTTGCTTGCACCATGACCAATTCATGAAGCTCCGAAGCTGCGAGGGGATCAAAAAAGAATTCTACAGAATCAGTTTGCCGCAATAATGAGTTCGACAAACCAGTAGTCGTCAGACTGGATATGGAGGAGGCGAGAGCAAACATAGTCGCTGTGATGAGGGATGCAGAGAGCTGGATTCTTTCGATTTCAAGCTGCTGCTCTTCAAGTTCGGATGTAAACGTACTGAAAAAGTCTTCGGACTGCATGAAATGCAGCCATGCAAACAAGTCGGTCGTTGAAGCTCGACCCGGAAGACTCCTAGCTTTGAGCAAGAGGATTTCTAGGATCTCGGCAATGGTCTGCAGACGCGTAGTTTGTGAAGCCTCCTGAGCTGTAATGATTTCTGGAACCTCAAGATCCCATTCGCGATCAGTTCTCAACATTTCCAACTGCAACTGGATTGCTTTGATGTAAGGGTCTGCAATTCCTTGGTTCGCTATCCCTGCCCCGTTTTGAGGGACCTCTGTGACCAAATTCTGTAGATGAGAGGATGCGATTTTGGCCTCCGCGGGTAATAGGCTCATATCAAGGAGTTCCTTATGAATGCGGATCACAGTGACCTGTTGTCGCAGATACTGAAGGATAAGCCTGCCACGACGGGCATTTTGACCATCGAAGATCGAATCATCTCGTGGGCGAGCTCCAGCGAGAGACTGAGTCTGCCTGTCCAAGTATTCCGACCCAAGAGCATCCCTGAGACTTGCTATTTCAGCTACGGACAGTCCTTCTTGGAGCCTGGATTCGGGCCGGTATTGCCAGTCTAAGAAAACCACGCGGAGGGCCTCCAACTCTTCTAGTCCAGTTTGTTTACTCAGCCATAGCGCATCCGACTTAATCTCGTCGATGTTGTAGAGCGAATCTGAAGGAGGAACCGTGGCAATGGTTGTGTCGAATGCAGTCTTTGAATTGCCTGACGTGGAGGAGAAAGTGGGAATTGATTTCGAGAGAACTCGCTTAGGTCGTTCACCAGAAAGGACTTCCACGGCGAATTCAGATCTCTTGGTGTCGTGAGACAATAACGCTTCTAAAAGATCGTCCCAAGACCTGTTTGTCCGTCAGTGGTTTCTCTTCAAGGGAGTGCGGGAAGGCTCACGGAAGCATTACATCACCCGCAAAGCATTTGGCCAGGTCTGGGAGGTAGACTGGGCTCAAGGAGCCAGGAGCCATGCTTGCGGATGTCCTACGCGGTCACCAACAGGTGAGCGACTCGGTGGAAGATCAAACCCAACAATTATTTACAATTTACATGCAGCGCCTGTCATTCAATGTTGGACGCGTAGGAACGTGAAAAATGGCCGCATTTGGCTGCTTGATAGCCCACCGTATTCACTACGGTTGAGCACAAACTGAAATTGCGTATTGCGGTAATCAGCCACCCTCAGCCACCCAGTCGGCCATACCTAGGGAATCAATACTATCTATATCTTGGTTTCATTGTAGATGCTATATCACCATCGACAAAATAAGAAATCTCTTATGCATGGTCATGATGGCGACAGCTTGGCTTCCGGAAATATTGCACCTAAATAGCCTTTGCAAATTTGCAACTTCAGCCCTTACGGCAAGCAGCCTTGGGTTCTTTGAGCAGTGGCCATCGGTCTCCAGTCAGGAGCAGAGCCGTTCATCAGCAGCATAGAAGTCCATCATGTATCCAAAGTTTGCCGGTATTCTTCTGACATATATCTTACGGAGACATCAGGCCCCTTGCTTGTGCCTAACCCTTCACTTCCTGGACAGGTCTTACTACCTGAAATTTTCTAGCTGGGACGTGGTTTATAAGAGCTCATCTAGTTCTTCATATGACAGATTGGAGCATTCAGGTTGACATATCCAGATGTAAATTGTGCACGATATCGAGGCGGCACCAAAAATGAATGTCAATTTCGCTTCTAAATTGGCTTTCTCAGGGTTGAAGAGATACGGGAGAACAAAGCCCTACATCGTCTACATAGGTACTAGCATTTGCACAATCGCGTGAGCTCCCTGGGGAGAAAATTTACAAACAGCGTGTTCTCAAAAGCGAATGCCATGGAAGCGGCCTTGACACGCAATCGGGGAGTGGAAACTTCGGCCAAGATAGTGTAAGCTGTGGCCCCAATTGTGACATTGAAGACGAAGCAGTACACTAGAAGTAAGGCCACGGTGCCCTTGATCGCGCCAGGGGTTGCCACAACAGCTAGACCACCAGGGACAGAATGCCTTGAACAATTGACAGATGGAAGCTCGCTTGCGTGGTATATCCGGCCAATTGCTGGTGGTAGGTGCTATATGATGCAACGAAAGAGAATAAGATTCCTTCGATGTTCCATTAATTCAAATATCTACTTAGTAAAATGTGGTTTCTCTAATATCTATGCATCTACTACCATAGTATAATGCATCCATAATTCTGGTATTGATGTGGCGACTAATGTCATGATATGGTTTCAGAAATCAGAATCATCAGAGGATTCCTCAATGTCTTGCTTGCTGCACAGACGACCCTTGTTGTTAATAATCAACGCCGTCTTCGCCGCACCACTTAGGCCATGGGCGGACCTGATATGGTGATTGTAAGCTGGGGGGCTGGTCTGGTGAAGGTCTTCTTGCATTCTCGTGTTGGCGCCTAAATGACTATTGATGGAACAGGCTGGCAGGCAACCTTGTGATGACGATCAATGAGTCAGTGCTACAGCCTCTGGAATGCTTTGGAATCATGGAAAATAGGCTCCAGGAGGTCATTTGCCTAGTAATTTTCTATATAAACCAGAACGGTGACCATAGAGTAGAAGAAGACAGAAATCTCATCTACGCTGACTCGCCCGTACAATTGCACAGTCCAAATCCTCCAACATCTCGAGACTCTCGGAAGGCGCAGGCTTTTCTCGGATGGTGCTGGCTTCGCGGCACATTTGAGTGAGTAAATTTGAGGACTTCGAATAGGAAACGAATGAGATAGTTTGCTCTTGGTCAGCTGTAGGCAAGCCTTCTGCCGAGCAAGTCAAGGATTGCAAACATTGAGCCAAAGATGAAGCCTCTTATTCATAGATGATCGAGATAGATGGTAATGTAACTTCGAGTGCTTGGAAATTTGCCTTGCTCTCCCTTCGACTGTTGTCTTTATCAAGCATCATCTCCTGGGCTTCCGAGATGTTCTGTTGACCCGGGAGTTATCTTCTTCTAGAGCCGGCTCAACATTAGAGGAGTCAAAATCCCCGGGCGTGTTGTCCATATCCATGATATCTGGATAAATGGAACGCCGTGTCATAATGAGTATAGAATAGTAGGGCTCAAGGAAGGGAGGACCTGTAGGTATAAGGACAGATATGGACATGGTGGATTCCGGTGGAGGATAAAGAGGGTAAGTCGAATTTGTTGAGAGACCAAGTTCAAACCTATAAGGTGGAAGCTGCAGATGTCGGATACAGTTGGAAATAAAACACAATATTGGTGTGATCGAACTGATCAACGAGTGGGTGATCGAGACAGCAATAGTGTCTCGTTCGGCTCTGTCAATTCAAAAGGAGCATATGGACTTGTACAGAGGCGATATCGTTCGCCCGGTTGAGCAAAATAGGCCTATCACATACTCCCCTGATCTGTCTAAGCCCACGGATATTGTCGAAAGGAGAGAAGTGGCAACCGAAATTGGAGAAGAGTTTGATCGAAAACATGCTGTCTGATGCCCTCTACGCGACCTCTTAGGTTACAGTGCCGTTTGCTCCTGCCTACTGAACACATGTGCGACGGCTTCCCTGAAGAGAAGTTGTGCATAAAATCTGTGGAAGGCATACAAACTAGCTAAGAACATCGGCTTGTTCTGAGTCGGGTTGCAGACCATCGAGGCAAACGTGATCCTGATCACATCACCACCACGGGCGCCTGGTTTGTGATCTCGGTGGACGATGAAGCGGTGTGCCCCGGCAAAAGATGATTCATCAGATCCAAATGCAAAATCAACGTAGCTCGACTGCGCAGGTGTGTGTACTACATTGGTAGTTGCGACGTCCAGGCACCTGTCGACCAGTTGGAAAGCTCCAAAAAGTGTTGCGTGCAAAGCCGGTAGTGTCTTTTCATCTAACGCTTTTGATGACCAGATGATTGATTCTTCGCGCGATTTGGGAATGCCTGTGCATCATCGTTAGCAGAGTGGTCGGAACGGGTCAAGTGAACGTGCCAGAGAAATCAACCAAAGTACGTTTAACGGCACCAAGCAGGGCCCCTTCAGCAGCGAAGACCCAACCACCAAAGAAGCCTTTCACAAATGTTGCTAAAATTTGTTCATCCGAATACTGGGTCTTAGAGGGGGGAAGGTGGAATTGAATTGATCTTGTGTCGGATGTAACCTGATGCCTTCGTGGATTTACGACAGCTGAACAGGTTTGAGAATGCAGAAATGATTCCTCACTGGTATCATACACGCTGATGGAGGACGGTTTAACGCGGTGAACCGTGCGTGTGATCATCAGACTCCAAGCACCCAAAGCGAGACTGGATGAGACTGACGCCCATTTGATGAATGTCGTAGCCATTAAGTGATTGGGAGGGGGATTGCGCGTGAAGCAAAGTGCGACGGCCAGGAAAACGAACACATACGGGTTGGTAGTTAATACGATGGAATACGAGGTAGCCCTTCCAAGCCACGTCCATTAGTATAGTACTGGTAATATACGGGTTTCATGATGCCGTGCGAGATAAAGCGATGTGTGTCCGTATAGGAAAAGAGCAATAAAGAGCTTGTGAGCATAGAGATTGGAGTAGCGTAGTGGTATTGTATCTACGTAGGAGACAAAGAGTGTAAGACTCCGCTCATCTACCTGGCTAGCTAATGGACGCATTGGCGCCAAGGTCAAACAGCGGAGAGCAAACGGCCCGTATCAATGGAGAAAGCTTTGGGCAAGATGGAGATCACAAGCCTCGAAATAGATCGATCCTAAAGGGCTACTCATACGAATGGGTTTCTAAGCACATTGAATTAAGCTTTCATGAACCGCTGCGGATGTGCACCCATACTCCACCGTAAAAAGACAGTACTTGACCGTAGCAGAGCGATGCGGGCAGTCTGGGGAAACCACCTCCAATCTCGGCCATAATTTTGTTCCTCGATGCACTGCGTGTTAACTCACGAATTCACTGCAGTGGCACTCCCTCAACCGCCCACCCGAGTCTCGTCGCTTGAACAGGGCCACCAGACTTCGATCACTTGACTTATTATGTCTCCCTCGGCCCTTATCGATCACTCGCCTCACCAGCCCACTGCTGCCCCTAAGCGTGCCTCTGCGAACAACCTCGTCCTCATTGATAATTATGACTCTTTCACATGGAATGTTTACCAGTACCTTGTCCTCGAAGGCGCCACTGTTACGGTATACCGCAACGACAAAGTCACTCTAGAAGAGCTCATTGCCAAAACCCCTTCACAACTGGTCATCAGCCCTGGCCCTGGCCATCCAGACTCAGATGCAGGAATTAGTAAAGCAGCCATCCAGCATTTTGCCGGCAAAATCCCAATCCTTGGGGTTTGCATGGGCCAGCAGTGCATTATCTCAGTCTTTGGAGGGAAGGTTGACGTTACTGGGGAGATCCTGCATGGCAAGACCTCACCTCTGAGGCATGATGGCAAGGGATGCTACACGACCCTGGAGCAGGACCTGCCAGTCACCAGATATCATTCTCTTGCAGGGACGCATCCCACGCTTCCGTCGTCGCTAGAGGTCTCTTCATGGATTGCCAAAGGCCCAGATGGCGGCAATGGCGTGATAATGGGTGTCCGACACAAGGAGTTCGTGGTCGAAGGCGTCCAATTCCACCCCGAAAGCATTCTCACCGAGAACGGTCGAGTCATGTTCGATAACTTCCTGTCCATGACTGGCGGAAGGTGGTCAGAGAATACACACCTTGCTGCATCTGTAGAATCCGCCAATGGAGTATCAAATGGCCATCAAGCCCTGGCCAAGGAGTCAATTCTGGACAAAATCTACGCCCACCGTCGACAGGCTGTAGCTGCACAAAAGCTTATTCCTTCACAACGACCGCCAGATTTACAAGCTGCCTACGACCTTGGTCTGGCTCCGCCTCAGATCTCGTTCCCAAATAGATTAAGGAGATCTGCTTATCCCCTCGCTCTCCTGGCAGAGATCAAACGAGCATCGCCCTCCAAAGGTATGATATCGATCAATACCTGTGCTCCTGCACAAGCACGAAAATATGCGAGTGCTGGCGCCAGTGCGATCTCGGTCCTCACCGAGCCAGAGTGGTTCAAGGGTAGCCTAGAAGACATGAGAGCTGTCCGCCAAAGTCTGGAAAGCATGCCCAACCGGCCGGCGGTACTCCGGAAAGAGTTCATCTTTGAGGAGTATCAGATCCTCGAGGCCCGTTTGGCTGGCGCAGACACCGTTCTTCTGATTGTTAAGATGCTCGATGTCAAGACTCTAACCCGGCTATACTACTATTCGCGGTCTCTGGGAATGGAACCCCTTGTCGAGGTCAATACCTCCGAGGAAATGAAGATTGCCGTCGAGCTTGGGGCCGAAGTCATTGGCGTCAATAACCGTGATCTCACCAACTTTGAGGTTGATCTTGGAACGACTAGTCGACTGATGGACAACGTTCCTAAATCGACCATTATCTGTGCCCTGAGCGGCATTTCCGGACCGCAGGATGTTCAAGCATACTTGAAGGATGGTGTTAAGGCAGTACTGGTTGGAGAAGCGCTAATGCGTGCCACGGACACAGTCGGTTTCATATCAAGGCTGGTGGGTGACCCCGATATCCCGCCGAAGCAAAAGTCTCAGCGACCTCTGCTCGTCAAAATTTGTGGCACGCGAACACCACAGGCGGCAAAGGCCGCAATCGAAGCAGGGGCAGACTCAATCGGGATCATTCTTGCCCCTGGTCGAACACGCACCGTCCCTGACGAAGTCGCTCTCCAGATAGCACACATTGTACGAACCACACCCAAACCTTCTGCGCTTCATCCACCGCACTTTCCAGATCTCGGTGCCTCCGACTTTTTCGAACACGCCTCTAAAACCCTCGTGAGGCCGGACCGTGCACAACTTGTCGGGGTTTTCGCCGGTGTTTCCCTAGCAGACATCATTGAAAAGGTCTATAAACTCAACCTCGACGTGGTGCAGTTGCACGGCTCCGAGCCCATAGAGTTCGGGCGCTCGATCCCCGTCCCTGTCATCCGCAAATTCTCGCCCTCTGAACAAGGCCTGTCCGCCCGGGGTTATCACGACCTGCCACTTCTCGATGCTGGGGCGGGCGGAACAGGCCAACGTCTCGACCTACAGGAGGTCCGGGCACTGTTCTCCCGCGATCCGGATGTGAGAGTCATGTTCGCGGGCGGTCTAACGCCCGACAATGTCCAGGGTGTGCTCGAGGGCCTAGGTCCTTACAAGGACAACATTGCGGGTGTCGACGTCAGCAGTGGAGTTGAAGAGAATGGAGCGCAGAGCATAGACAAAATCATCAGGTTTATCAGAGCTGTCAAAGGATAGATTCATAGGTGGTTTATTACTTGTCTTGAATGAACATGGAGGGAATAGATCGATTCAATCTTCAAATTTGATATAGCTTGGCCGTGGAGATCAACGTCTTGTGTAGTAGATGTCCATCAAAAATCCTACCAAATGAAGGGCTAGTTTTGTCTTCTCCTCGCCTAAGTTGCTCAATGCAAAACCAGGTGGTACAGGTTCGCAGTTACCTGATTTCAACCTAGAGCACGCCAAGTTATTTCCACACTGAGCATACCGCGCTTCGGACGTCAAGCGCATCATTTCCCTCGCAGTCTTTGCCAGTCTCTAGTTAATTAGTTGGTTAGGGCCGGTCCGAGCACACGGGAAGACGAGAAGCATGGTTGTGCCTAGCATCACGGCTATTTCTCTTCCCCACCACGAATGCCACTCGTTTACATTTCCAAGGAGGATCGTCTCTGACCTGACTGATGGTAGCCATTCTATCGGGTTCAGGGTGTAGGCCGTAGCCGGTGGGAGACTGGTAGCTAGACTGGTATGACCCTGTTTTAGCCTCAGGAGAGTTTCATCGTCTTTCACTCTGCCCAATATCTTACAGTTTCACTCAGAGCTTCTGCAAACCTCACACATAGTACATCGAGTCGTTCATTCAGATTCCAGTCTCGCTGACCGTAGTCTATTGGACTTCTATCCTTCACATCACAGGCTCTACTGACGCTGGCATGTGCTCGCTCATCTCACTAGATGAGCCTAAAGTCCCTCATTCTCATTTTATTTCTTCTATCAAAAGCGACTGTCGTTCAATCCATCTATCCTCCTCTTCATTCCTGCTTGAGCTCAGCGTCAGGTTCCGTTGACGGTTGCTTTGACCCTTTTGAGACAGTACTGGCAGAGACGATCCCAGCTTGTTCTTAGACTGTGGATTCCCAGTCTGGCATTTGACAAGCGCACCCTGATTTGTTCACCAAGCCCATTCTCGAGCCTCAGCGCCTTCGATCGGTCCATATTTTACTCTTGTTTGAATTTCAACCCAACTCTAGACTATCCGTGAAATCCAAACTCCATCATGGGCCGGACTTTTGCCCGTATCAACCTTGCATCCACGAACGACTTCCCTGCTCACAAGAACGACAAGATCAAGGGATGGGTCGAGCACAATGGCGGGGCCTTCTCCAAGGAAATCACTGCCTCCGTGACACATCTTGTGGCAAGCCCCAGAGCTTGGAAGAGCTATGTTCCCGTTGGTGAGTATTAGTTCATTCCAGTTGATGAGAGCCCAAGTTTTGGAGATGTACCGCAGTCAGTTCCATTCGACAGGCGACAGGTCGTTGGACAATCAAGTTTCAGCACTCACTCATCTCCGGCGACTTGCATTCTAGCTGGCATCGTACTTGACAGGGAATCTTGGGGTGTGCATTGCTTCAGAAACCTTTACACGTATCCTCGTCTCTGGAGGGGTTAGATCCTCAATATTCAAAGTTTGCTTAAACCCGTCACTAACTCATAGTCCAATTCAAGTCAAGGAGGCGCGCCGACTTCGAACCATCCACATTGTGAGACTTGAATGGCTTGAGGACAGTCTCCTGAGCAAGAGTCGCCGTCCACTTGACACATTCAAATATGAGTACGAGCACCGCAAGATCCTTAAGCCGCCGCGACCTCGACAACGTAGGACAGCGGACGGCAGTCTGACTCACTGCTCTAGTGACGACGCAGACGGGGGAGTACTGAGAGCCGCATCAAGAATAGACAAGATCCAAGAACTAAAGATGAAGAAACAGCAATCTCAGGCACTGGGGAGGATCGGCAAGGCGGAGAGGCTCGAAGTATCAGGTAAGAGTTTGCCACTTACTGAACTTGTGAGGACTTGCTTGCTCTTCAAGGGCTAACACTCTGCAGCAAAAGAATTTGATGCTGAGTGCATCCAATTCGAAAAAGACATGGCTGCTAGTAAGCGTTGTCGCTTAATATCCGAGGTGGGTTGAGAATTGACCTGGTGACCAGAGAATTATCGTCCATTTGTCGACAGCAAGGGCTTCATCTATCTTTTGACCCTGGTCAGAAAGGACAAGTTGAGAAACAGGCTGGAGAAACATCGAGTCAAGGTGCGTTATGCACCATATTTCACCTTTGAGCACAAAACATCGTATGAAGTTTCGCACGAAAACCCACTCGTCCATCACAAAAGGTCACATGTGGACGCTCGGCTGGCTTGTGACAAGGCAATGCCTTCGATTGGAGACCGGGATTCAAGACCCAGCATGGTGAAAATTGCATCCAGCGAGTCGAAGGCCATCCTTCCCCCTTGCCCAATGCCCCTGTACTACTTCCCCAAGCCATACCCATATTCCGCATACCCAGTTCTGGCTAGTGCGCTCCCCAGAAAATTGACAATGTCCAATCCTCATCTTCGTGTTCGCATTCCGGACCCATGGGCTCAGGGTTTGCAGCTTTTCGAATACGAGCCACCAAACACCGGAGCTGGCCATGGAGACGCGAGCCAAAAGCGCACGAAAGAATACGCATGCTACACGATCTATAGCCGACCAGGTCACCGACATGTGGAGACCCTTGCACCTCCTGGAAGTACCTTCGACTTTGCTTGGAACATGTTTCGAAAAATATTCAAGCAGAAAGTGGGAGTGGACTGGGAAACGCGTGATATGGATCGGGAGGGAGAGCGGAAAGATGAGAGTGAAGAGAGTCGAATCGGGGGAGAAGATGGAGCTGATGATGGGAGGCTCTGGAATTTCTTTGGACCATTGCGTCTCAAGCAGCAGGCCAAGTCGGAAGAGGACCAATCTACCTTGAATGGCGGAACGGAGAGACGGCCAAGTGCGACGGTGGTTGTCAACACACCTGAAGTAGGAGAGGAGCAGCCGATCGAAGTCCAAGCGAGGACGCCAGACGGCGGATGGTGACCGATATTCATGGCCAGCTGTGCTTGACGGTGGATAACCGATATATTCTGGCTTGGCGTGAAGGGCCAAAGAGTCGCGAGAGGGGTTTGGCTACAACAAGAAAGGTACAGCAGAGTGATCTCCTGCATTTTGGAGCAAACGTCTTTGGATCGGAATACTTTTGAAGCAGGTGACGCGACTTGGTTAGTGTATCATAGATAGTCCTTCTTTCTTGAGGTTCTCGTGTATTGGGTCAACGCCCATTCGATATCGCCTCCTGCACCGGACTCGAGAGTGCCGGCCTTGATCTCGAAACATCGCATGGTCATTCTAGGACCAACTTCAGCGAGCTCAACATCTCGATAACTGGTTTGTACAAAAACATGGTGCCTGACTTGGATACTGTCCCCAACATTCTTGAAAGTGACCACACGAGTTCCGAGCCGGTGAGGACCGTCACGGGGAGGGAAGATGTGCTTGAGGACCTGCACGACCCTCTTTCCCAATCGGGTTGTAAAGCCTTCGAAAATGAGATGAGGATAAGACTCAGAGACGGTTCCTCTGGCAGAGTCGGGAATATCGGCCCTCAGGACGACGTTGTGGAGCGAGAAGGAAGCGGTAGGGCCATGGGGGAGATGAGAGATGGTCATGGCAGTCGGAGTGCCTCGGTGCTCGTGCAGTAGGATAATGTCGGTCAGGGCGGCAGATTTAGCACTGGCGACAAGATTGGGCAGGATGAGATTTCCTCGATTCAAACGAATGGAGGTGGGCAGCAGTAACCGGATTTCTTTCGAGAAGGCGGCGAGACGGGTGGAAGGGCTACGAGAGGTGGTGATGAGGGGTCGAGGGTCGGAGAGTCCCGAGAGCATAGAGTATTCATCGTCGATAGAGTCCTGAGCAGCAGCAGAGTCGGGGTCAAGGGATTGGTCGTACTTGAAGTCTTTGCGCAGAGATTTGTCGTTGGCGATGGAGGGGTCTAGAGGTTTTCCCGAGGCGAGGGACTGTTTGAGGAGAGCACGCTTCTCTGCGATGCTTGCATCCCGAAGTTGGAGCGCGCGACGATAGATGTAGTCACGGCGTTCTCTGGCCTGGCGCCGGAGCATGTTTGAGGTGCAGAGTGGCAGTGGCAGTGGTTGACGGTATACGAGATGATGCTGCCAAAATTGCCCTGGCAGAGTACGGAGTAATTATCGAGCATGTCAGTAAAATCAAATTTCAGAAAACCGCGGTCGGCAGACCTTCCCCATTGGTGCCAGTGTGCGCCGCGTCGCACCTGCAGTTTGCACATCCAACTCCAACTCGTGACTTCCTTTCCCCCCCCAGACTCTGTCCAGTGGCCCACTGACATCCTATCATGCCATAATAATCTCTCTCTTTTGTCCTACTGCTTCGCCAACATCTTTGAATCTACACCCTACCGTCCAAACTCCGTGTCCCTTCTCCCTTATCTCTTGCTCTGCGCATGTCTCCTCACTGCGCGCACCCACCCTCTACGTCGAGCCACGAGACTAACCGGAGGGGTTGTGTGGAACGAATCGATAGAAAACCCCGAACCTACATGCCATCCGAGATCTGGTCTTGATGAACCACAAACACGAAGAGAACCCCCTCTTCCTCTACCGCTATCCTCTCGCGCCATCCTGATCTCTTGCCCCTTTCTTTCAAGATGGAGGCCTTCAGCAATATGGGAAACCACCTGGTTTCCAACTCCGCTGCCGCCATCAATGCCACCGACGATGTATCCACCCTCGACCCCGATGAAAGCGTCCTTAGCCTGGCCCAGGGTCCCCGTAGACGCCAGCACGATGACGACGATGACGAGTCCGAGAGTGTGGAGGAGGACGATCTGGAGAGCCTGGCCAGCGCTGCCGTCGACGGGAAGAAACAACCCACTAAGCCCCAAGACCTTGAGCCCGAGAAGGAATTGCCTCCACATGCTTGCGCGTATGTTTGTCCTTGAAAGGCCATTGACATCGACATTGACATTGCCCCCAAACTAACGCTCTTTCAGCTATTGCGGCATCCACAACCCAAGCACCGTCGTCCGCTGTCTTAGCTGCTCCAAGTGGTTCTGCAGCGCCCGTGGGAACACCTCTTCCTCGCACATCGTCAACCACCTGGTCCGTGCCCGCCACAAGGAAGTCCAACTACATCCTAGCAGCTCTCTCGGCGATACCGTGTTGGAATGCTACAACTGTGGGACCAAGAACGTATTTCTCCTCGGTTTTATCCCTGCCAAGTCAGACACTGTCGTTGTCCTGCTCTGCCGTCAGCCTTGCGCCGCGATGCCTTCCTCCAAGGATATGAACTGGGACACCTCCAGATGGCAGCCTCTGATTGAGGACCGATCCTTCCTCTCTTGGCTTGTCGCTCAGCCCACCGACCAGGAACAATTACGCGCCAGGCATCTCAGCCCTCAGATGATCGCAAAGTTGGAGGAATTGTGGAAAGAAAATGCCCAAGCCACAATTACCGACTTAGAAAAGTCCGCCAACATCGATGATGAACCCGCCCCCGTCCTCCTTCGCTACGACGACGCCTATCAATACCAGAACGTGTTTGGCCCACTCGTCAAGATCGAAGCCGATTATGATCGAAAGCTGAAGGAAAGCCAGTCCCAGGATAATCTCACCGTGCGCTGGGATGTCGGCTTAAACAACAAACACCTTGCAAGTTTCGTTCTCCCAAAGTTGGAGCTCGGGGATGTCAAGCTAGCAGTCGGTGATGAAATGCGACTGAAGTATGCTGGTGAACTGCGACCTGTCTGGGAAGGCGTGGGCTATGTCATCAAGATTCCTAACAACCAGTCTGACGAAGTCACCATCGAGCTACGCTCCAAAGGCGATCACAAGTCTGTCCCCACCGAATGCACGCACAATTTCACCGCCGACTACGTCTGGAAAGCTACATCCTTCGACCGAATGCAGCTGGCCATGAAGACATTTGCCATCGACGAGATGAGTGTCTCTGGCTATATTTTCCACCGCCTCCTGGGCCACGAAGTTGCCGCTGCCCCCATGAAAACTCAATTGCCCAAGAAATTCAGTGTCCCAGGCCTCCCTGAACTCAATGGCAGCCAGATCAATGCTGTCAAGTCGGTTTTGCAAAAGCCCCTAAGCCTGATCCAAGGTCCTCCGGGGACAGGAAAGACGGTCACCTCCGCCACCATCATCTACCACCTTTCAAAGACCAATGGTGGGCAGGTCCTAGTCTGTGCCCCATCCAACGTGGCTGTGGATCAACTTTGCGAACGAGTCCATCGCACTGGTCTCAAGACCGTTCGAGTCACTGCCAAGTCACGAGAAGATGTTGAATCACCGGTGGGCTTTTTGTCCCTACACGAGCAAGTCCGAATCAATGACAGCAATGTTGAGCTTACTAAGCTCAACCAGCTTAAGTCGGAACTGGGAGAATTGTCGAGCCAAGATGAGAAGAAGTACAAATCCCTGACCCGGGCTGCAGAGCGAGAAATCCTCACGAATGCCGATGTCATCTGCTGCACCTGTGTTGGCGCTGGTGATCCGAGACTGGCCAAGTTCAAGTTTCGAACCGTGCTCATTGACGAGTCCACTCAATCAGCTGAGCCCGAGTGCATGATTCCATTGGTTCTTGGCTGCAAACAAGTGGTCCTGGTAGGCGACCATCAACAGCTTGGTCCGGTCATCATGAATAAGAAAGCTGCCAAGGCTGGACTCAACCAGTCTCTGTTTGAACGCCTGGTCATTCTTGGGTGCGCCCCCATTCGTCTCAATGTCCAGTATCGCATGCATCCATGCTTGTCAGAATTCCCTTCGAACATGTTCTACGAAGGATCACTTCAGAACGGAGTGACCATGCAAGATCGCCTGCGCAAGGACGTGGATTTCCCGTGGCCTGTGGCCGAGTCGCCCATGATGTTCTGGTCCAATCTTGGTAACGAAGAAATCTCGGCCTCGGGAACTTCTTATCTCAACCGGACCGAAGCGGCCAATGTCGAGAAGATTGTCACGAGGTTTTTCAAGGCTGGCGTCAAACCATCTGGGATTGGTGTCATCACTCCGTACGAGGGCCAACGCAGCTACATTGTCAGCTCGATGCAGGCAAACGGCACATTTAAGAAAGAACTATACAAGGAGATCGAAGTCGCGTCAGTGGATGCGTTCCAAGGCCGAGAGAAAGATTTCATCATATTGTCCTGTGTTCGCTCCAATGATCATCAAGGAATAGGCTTTTTGAGTGACCCCCGCCGTCTCAACGTCGCTATGACTCGAGCGAAGTTCGGGTTGGTGATTCTTGGTAATCCCAAGGTCCTTTCGAAGCACCCGCTCTGGCATTATCTCTTGTTGCACTACAAGGAGCGAAATTGCCTTGTGGAAGGCCCTCTGACCAATCTCCAAATATCTCTCCATCAATTCAGCCGGCCCAAGCAGTCCTACCGTGGGCCTCAGCGATACCAAATGGCTTACAATCACGCGAGTCACATGGCCAATGGTATGATGAATGGGCGAGCTCCTCAACGTGGGGAATATCGCGAGGGTGGCTCGGTTGTAGGCTATATTCCGGATGATGTGTCGTCGATTCATTCTTCCGCAATTGGCGGCGTTGGTGTCCCTGCTGGTTACCCTCCCATGTTCCAAGGGTTTACACCCGATAATTGGCCCTCGGTCTCGGGGGTCAATGGCCGTCGTCCGAATGGCGTCAAACCAAGACCTTTTACTGCCAGCGTGGCGGGTGAGTCGACGGTGGCAACGGAGTCGGATATCACTGGTAGTGGTATTGGAGGCGTCACGCTGGACCAATTGTCCATTCACGATACCAACAAGCCGGCGAGCTACAACCAGGCCGATCGTTTGAAGAGGTACGTCGAGGGGGGCGGTCCCAACATCGGGTATCTTGGGAATCATAAGGTCGGCAAAGGCATTCACGAGGATGAGGATGCAAGGAGTGTATCGACTGCTTTTGCTAGCCAAATTGGGGGTGGGTACGACTGATTGAAGCATGGATGACGACGAAATCTCAGTGACAAGAAATGAGCTCAAGATTGAGCCAGCACACATACTCTTACAGTTATTTATGATGCAGTCATCAAACCTCCGACGGGTTCTATTCAGCCGAGCCCTCCTACCAGCTTGGCTGTTCTTCTTTGGAACTGCCAATGAGGCGGCTCAACGTCCGTCGGGTCCAGCATCAACACTGCGACTTGTGCAAGTACCGCCAGTACCTGCAACGGGATGTTGTCGGCCAGAAGCATGACGGCCAGCTTCAAACTGATGGAACAGTCAGAGAAGTTCGGAGCTAGTCTGTGGAGAAGGGCCCTGAGTCTATGCCGGGGAGCAGGCTCTGCTTGAATGACAAGGAGAATCGTTTTGGCCAGTATAGGGGAGGAATGTCTTTTGCTTGAAGCGAGGGGCTGTGGCGAGGAGAGCGATGGAAAGAAATCTCGTGGTAGATGTAGAGGGATCAGATTGACAGATCAGATTGTGTTCATGTTTGTGCTTGTCATTTTTACTTCTTGGGCGAGGGTTTCCGTAGCCACACACTCGTTAAGTAATTAGGTAACCTTTCATTGAGTGGTCAATATTACTTGACCTTCAAGGGTGACATTTTTGTATTAGCGATCGAAAATAGAGTACAATCCAGCTACATGGCTAATGTAACTCTAGGTACCTACACCTGAGCGATTTTGGAAGTAAAGTGCCAGCTTCGTGGCGGGAATATTACGGGTACACAGGTAACTTGTCATATCGACCTGGTACCAGGGCTCCCGGCAAATCCCAAGTCGTTCGTAATATGGCTTAAAGCGTACTAAGTGTCGTGTTTTCTTATATCCCGAGCACCTCATACCTTGCCATCGAACATCGACGCATACGCAGTATTGGCCATGGATCCATTGTCTTGCACAAGCATGCAAGATCCAAGTGGGCGCCTTGGCCGAATTTCTTGCAATCTGGCAGAATCAATCATGAGAACGCCAGAGCCCCAAGAACACAACATACTCGGTAGCTCTCGTATTGATTTTCTCGCACCAAATTTTGCGGAGTGACGATTCAAAGACAGGGGTTTCTCGATACTGGTGCGACTGCCAGTGTCTACAGTAGTTGCTAGCACCTGTGGTGCCACTAGTTTCCACTAACTGGCACTAGCTGCTTTAGTGGCCCAATGTGGTTAGTGAAGGGGCCTGATGTTGCGCTGCCTGAAACAGTAAGTGCCAAACCCCCCCGCGGCATTTTGCTCAAATCACCCACTCAACACCTAAAACATCGATCCCACCCTCCTCCTGATGTTTGCTCCTCAATTTGGTGAGGCCAATTGCGGGCCTAGAACCTACTACTATTTCTCCGAACGCATCGACGCTTGAGTTTCGGATCATGGGTCTTCCGACACAATGAGTTCCAGCTATCCGCGGCTGAACCGTCACCATCTCCTTCAACTGGCCATTTGGTGACAGCAGCGGCGTAGATCAGCTTGGAGCTGATCGGGGCCCGCGCGTGCCCTGACGTATCTAATGGTAGGGAGGTAGGTCATGAGCATTTTCTCCTCTATTTTCAATTCTGCATCTTATACAGCAGCTGTTGATCGTGGTCGAAGAGGGTTATTCTTCACAAGGAACGCGGGTGTGACGTGCACCTGGACTCGACCGGCACATAGTCTGAAAAAGAAGCACCGAGCAGGAAGTCGAGACGGGAAGAGCAAGACACCTGAAAAGAGAGAATCAGGCTGGTTGCACAAGAGTGATCATGGCTGTTGTCGAAACCATCCCCAACCAGCATGCTGTCAAGACAGCATTTGAGCATCCTATCTATGCATCAGATGGCTCGGCTCTACCCTTCAGTGCCTTGTTCGATAATCACAGTGAGAGCTCAACTCCACCCGACCGAATATTGGTCATCTTCATTCGACATTTCTTCTGCGGGAATTGTCAGGAGTACATCCGGAGGCTCTCTTCGCTCGAGTCTCCCTTCCATCCTTCCAACAAATCTCATTCGGCTGTAACGACTCAAAACTTCTCCAAGCCAGCAAAACACCCACTGCCTTCAGTCATCATCGTCGGCCCTGGCCTGCCAACTCTGATCGCCACGTATATTCGTATCACACAATGTGCCTTTCCGGTCTACTGCGACCCAACCACTCAGCTATACGATCTGCTAGGTATGCATCGCACGCTTTCCCTCGGCCACAAATCTCCTGTCTACATTCAGCATTCTCTCTTCAGCGGGGCCGTCAAATCGGCATTACAGATTGTCCGTCGAGTCGGCAATGGCGACGCAACGGGTGGAGGAGACTGGAACATCAACGGTGGAGAGTTCCTGTTCGTTCAGCCTCGGCTGCATGTCAACGGGTCTAAGTCACGGTCACCATCGAGATCGGCAGGTGGAAGAGCACCATCCTCGACCCGAGCCACGGCTTCTAGTTCCGTATCGAGTTCAAGTTCAGGATCGACGCTGGGCTGGGAAATCTCCTGGTGCCACCGAATGCTGAATTCGCGTGACCATACCGAATTGCATCAATTGCATTATAACACCTGCTTCTCTCCTGCAAATTCTTCACGGACCCCATCTCCCCCTCGTTCGATTCTCGTCAATGGTAATCGCCAACCTCAGCCTCAGCGATCTCAAACTCTTCCTATTGCTTCTACGGAGTCGTTTAAGAGCTATTCGAATGATTGTCAAGGCTCCTGTCCCGGCCCGGATATTCCTCGATCGAGGGACGAGGTCCGACATCATCGCTCACAGTCTCCCGCCGCTGGGAAGCGGCCCAATAGCCGGAGTCGTTCGCGAAGCACAAGCACTGGAGCCAGCACGATCGCAAGTATACCCAGACCGAGGTCATCTGCGTCTCGAGCCATGAACCACCACCGAAACGATTCGGAAATTTCAGCCTCCATCAAAGAAGCCCAGCCACGCAAGAGCTTTTCAGATTCCATCATGGAAAAGGTGGGCGGTTTAGTCCGAGCCAAGTCACTCACATCCAAATCATCAAACCGGCACACTGCAGATGACTCCAACATTGTACGTAGACCTTCAACTCGATCACAGAATCATGAACCACAACGACCCCGAATGTCACTAAGCCTTGCCCGCGCCAAATTGGCCTTGAGAGCAAACGCCGAACCACTCTCATCTACTCCTAATACTAGTAGCTTTCCGCGGCCTCCACCTCCTCAACCAGAATCCGACTCAAGCAGCGCCTCCCGGCCTGGGGGGTCTACTGAAGTCAGAAAACTGATACCTACGCCCCTCCGCCCTCGTTCTCGATCACGATCAAAGTCCCGATCCCAGTCTAACTCGAAGCGACCGACTTCCTTGCGGAACGAAGACGAGATTGACATGGACGAGAATGGAATCATGATCGTCGATGGGGTTGAATTTGTCAACGTTATTTCAGTCCAAGCTCGTGTAGATGCAATTGCAGCAACTCCAAACGAGACAAAGCCGCAACGAGCAGCCCCTAGCAGTGATAAATCACTTTCACAGCAGCGGGTGACGGAGAGGCAACAAGCGCCAACCCGTTCTCAACCACTACGAAACCAAGGATATACACGTGGCAGCGTTGGGTTGAATCTCCTGACCGACCGAAGCACGGCGGCGGTCGCGGCAAGACTCGCTGCCACCAGCACACCTAAGATTGGCACCGGTGAAGCTCTTGGGATTGTTGGTGAAAATCCGCACCAAGGGTACCCCCTCTTGCACCACCATCAACAGCACGGTGGGTTCAGGTCCAGCATGACCATAGGTTTGACGGCGAGCGCACCCGCCATCTCTTCGCATTAAGCAAATTGAGAGTGTTATGTTCTCAACTTCCGTTTTCTCTTGTTGCTGCGTACGTAGCTATCTCTGATTTTTCCATGATTCAATAGCAACGGGCAAGCGATGGCGTCCTGGTCTCGTTCTCTTTCTTGATGCTGCAGCATCAATACTGCGTACCTGAGCTTTATGGCCCTGTATCTGATTGTTTTGTTACATCTGCGACCGGAGCGTGGAAAGATGTGGACTCGATGAGAAATGAATGATGTTGAGTGCCCTGTCCAGGTCCATGAGGCTATCGGAAGTAGCTAGGACAGGCAACTCTCGCTAGTTCGAGATGTGAATGTGAGATGGTCGATGTAAGCTGGATCAATGATTGGCTTGCGGATCCGGGTGAGCTCGCGGGCGAGCCGACCCAGTGGTGGTGAGCCTTGAGAATGTCCTCACCAGTGATACGAAAATCCGAAATCCGTCTGCACACATCTACACATCTACAGATTAAATCCTATGTACATATCACTGCATAGATACATATCAACCCCATTTTATCCATGGCGCAAGATAAGCCGCACAGGGATGTCAGACCAGACCTGACCTGAACGAACGAGCGGTTGATTACTAAGGGTAGCCCTCGATGCTACCAGGACTGTATGCGTCTGACTGGAAAAGGAAAGTTCCATTTGCAGCATCAGTCAGCATCTTCCCGTTCCATCGTTTGAGACCCTACATATGCTACTGCTGAGGCTTTCAAAGTGTCAGCTTACAGCCGTGAACCGCAGCCTAAAATTCGTATTGATTCTCGATGTATAGTCATTTTGACGCTCGAAAACCCCACAGTTTGGTCTCATCTGTTCTGTCCAAGGGTATCAAAAGTTATCTCGTAGGCGTTTCCATGCCACATGTTGATGCATCTATACAAAATCTCGCTTTGACGAAGCTTCCCATCCCCTTGAGGTTTAGTAAGTGTTCGGACCCGGCAGCGTCACGTGTCATCGTTTCAAATTATGCGCCGTTGGCTATAGGTGGAGAATTTGGGGCTGGTATAGACATAGCTGATCTCAAATGGTTTGTGGTTCCGTGACCAAGGAAGGGATCAAGGGAATTGTCGGGATTCGGGAGATGATTGGATCCACCACAACATGAACGAACCGCGGATGGAGTCTGGACTGCCGTGTAATGTGGCGCTGAGGAGAATGATTCCAGGTGCTGTGCATCATAATTAGGGTGCTGCAACGGAGTCATACCGAGAGATATATGTTGAGGATTTGACTGATTACTTGATATCGGAAACGCCGGATAAACAGGCTGGTGCACAAGCTGGGAGATCGGAGGTGAAATGCTGCTATTTGGGTCAAAGCCAATGGTATTTTGGAGCATTGAATCAAAGTTGACAAGAGGAGAGATGGTAGGCGTCGGCTGAGGAACTTGGAGGGAGAAATCGCTGGGGCCTGATATCGAGGCAACAGTTGCTTGACCGATATTGTAGTCAGTGCCACGGGAGGCGTCAAAATCGACCCAGCTGAAACCATTGTCACCTAAGTGACTGTCGGAGAAGTTCCAAGTGCCGTTGGAATCGTCAGGCAGAAGCTCCCAAGGCGCAGATGTGTCGACGAAATCGCTGGGAGGGTCAGCAAATGGATCGGATGTGTCAGGAGTGACAGCCATAGGAGCAGAGGGTGAAGAGATATGGGAGCAATGGGCCGCCATGGGCTGATTGGTCCAAGAATGTTGTTGGATGGGATAGGTGAGATAGATGGCGTTTGGATTGAGGTCTTCGGGAAAGAACTGTTGAAGTTGCTGTTGGGAGATGCCGGGTGTGCGCGAAAGGAAGAAGGTTGGACGGCCACCCATGCAAGACCTAGAGTGTGTTTCTGGGACGAAGGAAGGATTTGGGACGAAGCCTTGACCGGTGTAGGCCTGTTCGGCGAAATTTTTGACCTGCTGTTGGGTGTGATTGATGGAAGTAGCGTTGTTGGGATGGTCAGGACAGTACAAACAGGAACAGCCAGAGCCACAGGAACAAGCGGCCATCAGAGGATCATTGGCAGATTTGGCAGATAGTTGTGGCTGGTCGGGGACCAGAGTGGCATTGGCGGGGAAGGAAGAGAGATTTTGACGGTGTCGACAGCCACCAACGGGAGCGGTGGGTGGAGGAGATTCGGGTTCCTGCTTGGGTTGTTTCACTGTCGTCGTGGTCGTGGTCGTTGCACAGCACGACATGAGGTCGAGGGTTGGAGGCAAGCCTTCTTCTCGTTCCTTGTTTTTTTGCCTTCTCTTGTTGTATTCCTCCTCATCGATCTGTTTCCCATTGGCATCGGCCCAGACCTTTTTGAGGGTCATTTTATTGCCGTCAGCATCCTCCCAGACGGGTTTTGGGGTTGAGGAGGCATCGCGGTTGAGCAACTGGGGGCCGTCGACTCTGACGATGACATACATATCCTGGGTGCAGGAACAGTCGCGCTGGCATTTGCACGTCTTTGAGGTGCATGCACAGTTTCTGGGACACTGACAGCCACGTTTCTGCCCTCCTGAGGGCCTGCCGGGTTGATTTGTCTCTGAGATAGGCCTTGTTTTGCCATGGTCGCATTTGTGGACTCGATGACCGCGCTTACAGGACTCACAGGCGTACGTTTTGCCATTGATGTGCTGGATGGCAGTAATGGTGGGCTCGGCTTTGGTGGAAGACTTTAGTTTTTTAACCTTTCCATCTTCAACCCGGGCAGTTTTGGGCGGGCTGGAGACTTTGTCGGAGGATTTGGGGAGCATGATCCATACAGGGAGTCGACAGAAGGCTGTTGATTCGTATGGCGGTGAGATGCGAGCGAGGAAAGGGAGTGTGAGGAAACGGGAGGGGGGGAGTAGTGAGGAACAGTCAGATGCGGGTTGTAGATCTTGAGTTGGATCGTTTGTGCGAGACGTCGGAGTGAGTCGTGGACTCGTGGGTAGTGGAGGGGAAGGAGAGTCGTATGAGTGGTACGAGGAAGTCAGTCGTGGTCAGTGAAGTGCTCGTGTCTGCTCTGGGCGCGCCGAGTGGGATGGTGGGTTTGGGCTAGGGTTCCCAAGGGTGCCAGTGGTGGAAGGGTTCGTGCCGACAGGGATCAACTTATGGGCGCTAAGATGATCTGGATTGGCGTGGAGGGACGATGGGTGGTGAGTGGGATTTCGATTACTTTGCGAGTAGGTGCTGGACAAGATGATGCGTGTAGTAGAGGTAGTTGAGGTGCCTGAGACAAGTAGTTACTTACCTGAGGTCGGTACCCTGTATAGGAGTGGTGGGAAGAGCATATTGCAGAAACAGTTCTTCTTTCAATTAGACGTTGGAGAGGTACATATTCGTTCCAGGCGAGTCACACCTGATGGAGATCCCTAAGGTGTGTCCGAGGACATCAAACAACCTACCCGTACAGGTCAGTCCATGGGCGTCAACGAGGGCTGCCTCTGGCCTATTCTTGTCCGCTCAGAGACCAAGGGTCCCCAACAGAACCCTTGCCAGAATCCCTGCATCCACATTCCTCAAAGCGTGGAGTAGACGCATGGCGATGGACTTCTGCGCTTTGCCTCGATCTGCACGTGCGCTGCAAACCTCACAGCCATCACGCCTCATGCCGCGGTGGGATTCGTTGGTTACGGTCCCTAATCCAAGCTTGGTGCACATGAACGACCTACGGGTACGGTACGAGGACTGCACGGAGTACTACTGTTGTGGGTAGCCTAGCTCAGCCTTCTAGCCTTCTAGCCCTTCTAGGGAGGCCCTCGTCCAGTAATTACGAACGAGTAGGAGTACTGTCCTATGTACTCTGTCTAGTCTGCACGACTCCGTACTCCTTACCAACCCCAACTTCCAACGCGTCTGCTTCGACAAGACTTTTTCGTTTGCTACAAACAGGCAAATCTATCCCTTGGTTGCCAACTTACTTCGGCAGCTCCTTCACCTTCACCGGTCATGACCGACGGCAGTAATAAAACCTCAAAGTCCAAATCTTCGCCATCGAAATCACAACCACAACCACAAGCCCAACCACCATCTCAGCCTCACCAAGGTAGATCCTTCTTACCTGCGCCCCTTCGACGCCTCTTCGACCAGTTTCCCCTCCTCACCTACCCAGCAAACCCGCTTCCTCAGCGGGCACCCACCATCCGCAACGAGAACGTCCTCTATATCTTTCAGAAGACCGACCCGAAAAGCCGAGATGCCCCCTCCTACAACCCTTCCTGCCTGAAATGGCAAGCTTATCTCAAATTCAACGGCATTCCACTCCGTACACGCCCTTCCAACAACCATGCATCTCCCTCTGGTGCTCTCCCTTTTCTGCTTCCTGCTGCCATCGACCCTCAACGGCCCCCAACCCCCATTCCTGTCAGTCGGATTCCCAAATGGGTAGTCTCTCAGGGAGGCAAGGAAGAGCCTGTCCATCTAGGACAAGATGCATATATCGCTTTGATTGATCACAACATCAGAAGTGCCTGGCTCTACTATCTCTACCTCGACCACCATAACTTCCGTGCCGTCGCGTGGCCCATGTACGTCGCCTCCAGCTCCTCCACTGCCGCCGTCCAATTCAGCCTTGCTCGTCAACTGCAATCTGCGGCCACGGAGGAATTACTCAAGACAAACCCCGTCATAGATCCTGCCCACCTTTACCAAAAGGCCAAGGATGCATTCCGAGCACTGTCTATCCTTCTGGGCAATGACAAGTTCTTCTTTGGCCAGACCACTCCGGGCCTCTTTGACGCGAGCCTCTTTGCATACACGCAGATCATCCTGGACGATGACATCGCTTGGCCCTCCACCACTCTAAGACTGGCATTACACGAACACGTGAATCTGGTTCACCACCGAGACCGCTTGATCCGAGGCTTCTTCCGCTTAAGCAGAGACCGTACCGACAGCGTAGCACCTCGCCCCTAAGCCTCACCTTCACCAACTACTTCTTCCTCAGAATTCCCCCAAACCACACCTTAACTCCTATCCATTTGACCGACCGCTCACCCAGCTGAGATACCATATTTGGCTCGACCCTTACTTCCTGTATCTTCTCGATCACTTCCAGTCCGTGCTTGGCAGCCTCTGCCTTCACATCTTGTATAGTATGGGCATAGCTTGCTGGTCGAATCTTTTCTCCTGTCCTCGGGTCGACGAACCCAGCCTGACTGGTCCTTCCCATCTCCGAGTGCATGTTGGTCAGTAGGATGAGCCCGCCTGGTTTGAGCATGTCGGATATCTGGCGAAAGAAAAGGTCGGCGGGAATGTGCTCGATCACAAGAGTCGAAACTATCGCATCTGCCCACTGTTTCAGATGCGGCGGTACCGATTGTTCGATCAAGTCCAGGACCTGTAATTGGAGCCTGCCATATGCCAGCCCGTCTTTCAGTCGCCGCCTGGCCACTTCTAACATGCCAGAACTCACATCCAGGCCCACCACTTCACAATCTCCCACTTCTAACAGTGCTGCCGTGTTGCGCCCAGTGCCACATCCCAGGTCTACCAACTTCCAAGGCTGAGGGGCTTGAATGGATTCCAGCAGCGCCAGCATCCGAGGGAGAAGGCTCTTCATCTGGAGGGTGTCAAGTGCCTGGAGAAAATTCCCATCTGTGTCGTAGACGTTGGCCCATAGATCATAGGCTTCGGCCGTCTGGAGATAGCGGATTGAAGGATCTTGGACTTGTGGGATCGCCATCCCAGGATAGGCCCGGAGCTGTATCTCTGTCGGTTTGCTGAACCTGTACAAATATATCTGCCGTAAGTATGTGCCCCGTATATGAGAATGTGTACACCAGGACGGCTGTGAAAAGAGTAAGGGGACCGAATCTTCACACGTCTGATCTTCACTTCTTCCTTGAAAACTTCTGTAGCTTGGAAGACCGCAAATTATTTCATTCTGCTATACCCCGTGCAATCTTGGGAGAACGGGGAATTGGGTGGGCGGCGCAAAACCTCGGAGAAGTAGAATTATTCAGTTCGGGTGCGCCTCCGCAAAGCTTCGTCCCAAAATGAGTCACGACTCACGACAGCCATACCAAGCAATTCTAACCCCATCCAATGTGTTTGCAACATCAAGTACAGTTAGATACTATCTCTGTAATTGAGGTCCATGCATAAGGTCTAAGTAGTGTGGCTCTCGTGGCAGTCTGCGACGCTGATCTTGTAGCCGTACCCGAATGGAATTCGCATACAATCGCCCCATTTTGCTCCTGCTGGAATACAGGTGTTCGGAACATTGATTCTATTGTTCTTCCTGAATTGGTTTCACCCGTGACAGTAGGCTATCCGAATGCGAAGTCGACAATCCATACAATCGCTGGGCCAGTGCGCCCCCCGAAAACTCCCAGCATGGTGCAATCCAAACGAAAATCCCATTCCAATGCCATGTCAAGCGGGTATCTCTAAACTTGGCTCCCAATGTACAGGCTGGTCATATCGCTCCGACGCCAAACACGCCCCCGCCTTCTCTCAGATCCTCTACCAGGTCCTGTACGTTGCTCAGATGCTTGCCGAGGAGAACCTGCTTTTCTTCGGTGGTCCTGGTCCCTGTGCTGACGTCCGGACTGCTGCTGCTGTTCTCGACTCCGTTAACAGTTTCCCTGCGCCGATCGAACGCGGCAATCACATCTTTTCCTCTGCCTCCAAGAATGGCTGTGTTGGTTGCAGACGTAGATACGCAAAGTTTGGGCGCTGGTGTCTCGGGCATCAAATAGAAATACAGAAACTCGACCAATTTCAATTTTACTTCTCTTGATGTTCCGCGTGCCTTGAACAATGAGGTTACGACGAGGAGGCCATCGATGGCCTCGAAAGTTCGTGCGTTTTGTGATTGGTCGAGGAGAGAGGTGACCAGCGCCATGATGGTGGAGGATTGAATGGCGGGACAGTTGGATGGGTCGAGGAGATCCAAAAAGAGCTAGTATACCCTCGTTAGCATACGCAGGTCCGCCGCCGAGGAAGAGCAGGAGAATAGCCAGCCTTACATTCATGTAGATTTCTTGTGCGAAAAGCGCACGCGAAGGCGGATGCAACAGTAACACTCCTTGAATGAGATCGAGTGTCTGGATGACCAACAAGTCATGCGTGCCATTGCTTTCTTTGCCTAGCAGCCGCTCGAGGCAGGCGACCAGTCTCATGGCGATATTCCATTGGAAATTCTGCTGTAGCTTGAAGAACTCTCGAAAGAGAGGGTCGCTCGGCAGATCAGACAGTTTCTTTCCACCACTAGAAGAAGGCGAAGAGCCGAGCAGGAGCATTGATTGCCTTTTATTGGCGATGGAGGATCTGGAAAGACAAAGTTGGGCCACCAATCCTTCCAGTTGACGCAGTCCTTTGCGGATCTTTTGGGGGGATGCTGATGACAGATAGTCGAAAGAGTGGGATAGAAGAGTCTCCATTGTGATATGTGGCTACGTGGGAGTAATGCTCAGTGGTAAGAAACCCTTGAATTGGGGGCATTCGTATAATGGAAGTGGAGGTACCTGCGAGAACTCGTCATGTACTTGTCCGAGTACATATGACTTGGGTGGAGAGAGAAGGCACCGCTGGTTGTCAGGGCCGCAACAGGCTAGATCCAAACATTAGGCAGTGGACGAGAGGTGGGGTTCAGAAACTAGGGTTAGCTAGGGGAGTTATTTCTGCCACCGCCTTCCATCGACGTGGCATGTGACACAGCTCAGTAGCGCCGGCAGCACGTGTCGACCTCTGAATGCTGGTTGCGGGAGACTTCTATTTCCCCTCACAAAGAGGCAGACAGTGTTCCGGAGAGATGCTAGCTCATCGGTGGAAATGAAGGACCTAACAATGCCATACAAGTTATCAAATGACTAGACACGTACGAGTACGTTCGGAGCGCGGAGTCCACGCGGGAACCACAAAGGAGGATCTTCTCAGTCGGGGCACTTTTGGTGCCTGGAACAAGCCTCGCCATTTTCGTCATCTGACGTAAACAGCATCATCACTGGCCTGCACATGCCCAACCTGAAATCTACAAGTACCTACCCGTGTGTGTCTCGTACACCCTCCTCGTATCCGAGTCTGATGCGGCTGCCTACTTGTAACCGCCGACTGTAACTCACTGGAGTATCAGTCGCAGGCGTCCAGCACTGCCATATCATCTCAACACTACCTGCCTACCTGCCTACCTTAGGCGCCTACCTACCAAGGTGTCGTCCTCATCTGCCACGTTCCCTTCCACCTTCACTTTCCCTTCGACCGTCACGCATGTCAACTATCACCGAGAACCCGGCGTCCCCCAACGCCATACCCATTCGTTACAGCTCTGCTGGCGTGCCAAATGGCATTCAGCATCAAGCCTCCAAATCCGTACTCAAGCCTCTCCCAGAAGATAGCTGGATCGCCCAGAAACATCACTCCTTGCCGCCTCAACTGAGCCCTCCTGTCTCTGACCCGCCAAATGGGCTCAGTCGAAGACACTCCAAAAAGAAGTCACTCCCAGAGAATCTGACACCGAGAAAGATGGGCGATTGGACACCACAGAAAGAGAAAATCATTCTCGGCCCTTACGACTACCTGTTTGCCCATCCCGGTAAAGATATTCGATCGGCTCTCATCAAGGCCTTCGATGCATTCCTCCACGTCCCCTCCAAGTCTCTGGACATTATCACCGGAGTTGTCGGCATGTTGCATACATCTTCCCTTTTGATCGACGATGTGCAGGACGGCAGCCAGCTACGACGAGGTATCCCTGTCGCCCACAATATCTTTGGAACCGCCCAGGCCATCAACAGTGCCAATTATGTCTACTTCCTTGCTCTTCAAAACCTCCAGCACCTGACAAACAAGGATGAAGCCATTGAAATCTTCACCACAGAGCTGCTCAACCTCCACCGTGGCCAAGGCATGGATTTGTACTGGAGAGACACTTTGACCTGCCCCACCGAAGATGATTACTTGGAAATGGTTCAGAACAAAACCGGCGGTTTGTTTCGTCTGGCAGTCAAGCTAATGCAAGCGGAATCCGGCGAGAAAGGTCGCATCGATTGCGTCCCTCTCGTCAACTTGATGGGCCTAATCTTCCAGATCTGTGACGATTACCTCAACCTCTCCTCAACGATATACACCAAGAACAAAGGCTTGTGCGAAGACCTGACAGAGGGCAAATTCTCCTTCCCGGTCATCCATTCCATCCGAAGTAATCCAGGGAACCTTCAACTCATCAATATCCTAAAGCAAAAGACCACGGATGATCAAGTCAAGAAATATGCCGTGAGCTACATGGAGAACACCGGTAGCTTCGAATATACCAGGCGTGTGGTTAAGGAATTGAAGGAAAAGGCAGCGACGTTGATATCTGAGATGGACGCCGGCTCGGGCAAAGGCGATCAAGTCAAGTTAATTCTGGATCGCATGGACGTGGAGTAAGCCTCTATTTCTCATCTATGCATGGCGCATCTGGTCATGGTCGAACTCCCCGAAATACCTGATCTTCAACACCGCCTATCCATTCTTTGTAATAATGAAGTCTACGACGAAGGGCTGTTTTATTGATGCCAAGCACGGCTGGATGTTTCACCAGTTGGCTGCTTCATAATTTCAAATACATTATTTGCTACTTACTAGCCTGGGCAACCCAGAGATCCACCTCCCATCTCCCATGTGATGTATTGAACTCGTCTTCATCTCTGTTGGGCATAACCGGGGATTGGGTGAACCAAGTGAAATCCGAGTATTGGAAGAATCTGACCGGCCGCAGCGTCGAATAGTAGCTCTGAGAGTTTGGTGGCCTTCTGCCGTTGCTTGCGAGGCTCTCACCCCTTTATATCTTTCTCGGGGATTGGGGCCTCTTAAGGGCGTTTCGGCCACAATTTGCTCAGAGGCGGATACATCCGTCCGTGCGGGTGACGTCCGTCACAGAATAGCCGAAGCCCATGCTTGTGGACCATAAATCGCGGAAAAAAGGATGGACCACCTTCCAGTCATCTAGCGAATTACTGCAGCATTGTATATTCCCCTTTTTTTCAGCAAAACTCTCGACATGGCCGCTACGGTGCAGACGCAGAGCTTTCCTTCGGAGGAGGTCCTGAGAATCGCAAAGGAGATCCTAGAAGGAAATGGAATGCTCGCTGGGGAGGCGGAGATAGTTGCCGACTGCCTGGTAGCAGCTGATCTCAGAGGAATTGATACCCATGGATGCAACAGACTTCCTTCATACATGGAACGCATTCGTCAGGGAGTTCTTGACCCCAGGGCTAAACCCACTCTACATGAGGCTACCCCGGTAGTGGCTCAAGTTGATGGACACAATGGATTTGGCTTTCTCGCTGCATCATTGGGAATTGACAAGGCTGTGGAAATGGCCAAAATTTATGGCATCGGAATGGTTTCCATAAAGCACTCCAATCACTTTGGCATGGCCGCCTGGATTGTACAAAAAGCGGTCGATGCAGACATGATGTCATTGGTCTTCACCAATTCATCGCCGGCCTTAGCTGTCTGGGGAGGCCGCTCAAAGCTTGTAGGTGTTTCCCCATTGGCGTGTGGTGCACCAGCTGGAAAGACGAAACCCTTCATTCTAGATATGGCTCCCAGCATCGCTGCTCGGGGGAAGATCTACAAAGCGAAACGAAGAGGCGAAAATATTCCGTTGGACTGGGCATTGGATGCCGAGGGCAATCCGACCGATGATCCGGAAAGAGCTTTGGAGGGCGTGATGCTTCCAATGGGCGGGCCTAAAGGTTCTGCTTTGGCGATCATGATGGACGTCTTCTCAGGTGTCCTCTCCGGTTCTGCATTTGCTGGACATGTCACGAATCCGTACGATGCTTCGAAACCCGCGGACGTGGGCCATTTCCTAATCGCGATCAAACCAGACCTGTTTTTCTCAATCGAAGAGTTTAAGGACAGGATGGACTATCTCTACCAGCGAGTCGTCGACTCTGAAAGGAGACCAGGAGTCGGTCGTATCTACTTTCCCGGGGAAATCGAACAGATTACCAAGGAATCGCGTGAGGCCAATGGTATACCATACTCTGAGTCGGAAATCACGAGTCTGAACGAGGAGGCAAGAAAGGTCGGTGCCCAACCTTTGAGGATGCCTTCATGAAGTGGGCATTGGCGTCGAGCTGGAACTTTCAAAGGTCTGCTTCTTAGTCACACGATCGTGTGCGTGGACCTGAAATTAGTATTCGGAGAAAAGTGAATTCTGGTGCAATTAGACATTGGACTGACGTCCTCCGTTCAGTTTATGTGTATCTGGCTTTCTCTCTACGGATGCTTCACGCGTCAAGAGAGGAAGCGGTTCCCGCCCTCCCTTGGCATTCCTTTGAGTTACAGTAGATGATCAGTTCGGCTTCAAGACGCATCGGAACCATCCTGATTTTGAACGGACCTCAGTCCCCGAATATCGTTCAGGCTGTACCTGCTCAATGTGCCACGTTCGGCAGAGGCAAGTAGATACCACAGCCTCTCCAAGCGACCCCCGAAAGCTTGTCGAATCAGACCAGCTTGCCTCAGGTGTCAGACGAGAAGGATCAAGGTACGTGTCGGAAGACTCTTAGCAAGCAGACTTCATTGTGGTTTGTACCTCGTCCCTGCCAGCGCTGAGAATTGATCACTTGGAGAGATGTTTACTACTTCAAAATCTCTGCAAGCAGACTGACGTGTTTCTTCGACCTTATCACTGTCATATTTGCAAGTTCCAAGATACTGATTGCTTATTTTAAAAGTGCGACGGATCTATCCCCAAATATTCTTCTTGCCATAAAGCTGGAGTTGGATGCATAGATGGGAAGAAGACGTACCAAGAAGGAAGCATCTCAAAAAGGCAAGCTATAACCTCCATGCAACACATCAGCCATATGCGTTAGCGTCCCGGCTTAGTGAAGCTGTGTCCCTTCATGGCCATATTCGCCGCCTCGAAGAGGTCTTACGTAAAAAGTGTCCCGGAATCAAGCTTCAAGAGTTGTCTGATGACAGCAATACTGCGCTCTTTGCCCGTCCTAGGAATCAATTGAGTCATGACAGTGGGCTCCTCGAGTCTCCAACAGCACACATATTCCAGGAAAACCCCCAGGGTGCTGTCGAACATCGAGACTCCAGCTTCAGTGAAAGCTTCAATGACCTTCTACCTGTGGGGAGTAGAGCAACAGCTTGCCAATGCCCTGGCACCTGACCCATTGCCAGCAGAAGTCGGTGGCCATGCCATGAACAAGGTCTCAAATCGCGAAATAGCTCATGAGATAGGCCTGATACCGCTTTCTGCTGGAGAGAACAAATACGTCGGCCCTTCAAGCGGATTTCCATTTGTCAAACTGGTCTTTGCGAGGGCAGGGAAAGCTAGTCCTGGAATTATTCATTCCCTTGCGCGCCATTATTCGTCAGTTGATAGGAAGAATGGTTCATCTTTCAGTGTTGGGCCCCACAGAGATCCCCTAATCTGTCGACAAAGCTTTGAATCTGTCGAGGACATACTTTGATGCTGTGCAGCCTCTATACCCCTTTCTGCATGAGCACAATCCTTACAATCATATCAAAAAGTTGTATAGTGACCTCATTCAAAGCTCCTCTGCTGATCACTTCCAGGTGACAATGGTATTCGCTATCTCTTCTATCATATTATCGAAAAGTGTCCCAATCCCGTACACGGGCGAAGGTCTCTGCACAACTGTCATGGAGTACATAGATCAAATCAATCTCCAGAGCTAGGCCAAAGGTCTGCAGTGCCTCAGTCAGCCCATTTGAAAGAGAGATGCGCACTCGGATGTTCTGGGTGATATACAGTATTGACAGAGCCCTCGCAATGACACTAGGGAGGCCTAATGGTGTGCGGGACGAGGGATGTGATTTAAGAGTGAGTCTACGCTTCCTTACCGGATGAACACACGTTGCCATGGCAGAGCCAAAGTATGGTCAGACAGTCATGATGTGTCCTTCATAGACGCCCAGCTCTACGGAATATTTCTGTCCTGTCACATTCTATGAGCTAGTGAATTCTACAACCAGAGGATTAGCCTTGTCCTTTGAGAAGAGAAATTGTCAAGCTTTTGTCGGCTATCTAAACCTAGCTCCCTTCCGGGATAGACTACGATTCCTTCTATGAGAACTCCGAATTCGCTGCTTTCGCCAATTTGGCGGAGAGGCATATCACAGAAATGACTCCAAAGGCCTGTCTTGCCCAGCTGAATTCCGAGATCAAGTATATCTTGCACAGTATTGCCACAGATGTACCTAGGTACACTTACCCACAAATCACTGATATCTTGACCTGGTAACGCGACCTAGAAGTGCGATTGCAAGTGGTTTCAGCCGAGAAACTCCAACTGAGCGGCAAGAACGAACACTTGACCAAGTTTTGTCGAATCCTGCAGGTGTCATGAGATCATGTTGCTGCTGTTCCGGCCCACTCCTCGCATTCGAATGCCTTCAACAAAAGCTTTCGAAAAATGCTATCAGAGTGCCGATCTTGTGATCCAGCTTTGGAAGGAGCTTTATAACTCTGATCGAATATCATATCCTTGGACCACCATACGATCGCTTTGCCTCAGTTCAATCACCATGCTGTGCTGCATCTGGATGGTTCCACAGTTCGCGGCGTCAGTTAAATTTGACGACTTCACCAGTACTATGCGATCATCCTCCAATATTCTTAGTGCTTGCCGGCGAACACTGGACCGACATCCGCCGCAGTCGCAACAGTCTGGACGATTTGACCACTGCAACGACTCGCTGGCTACTGGAAATACGACTGAACAAAACCTCAGAATAGCGATGTAGCTGGCAACGGCATTTCCGACTATCGAGGTACAGGGACGACTGCTCCTCAGAGGCAGAGCCTGATACAGGATAATGCAAACGAGCTGCCAGAGTTTGACTTCCCTGTGATTCATACCTATATCAGCGGTGAAGATTTTGCCCTATTCGTCGGTGTACCGGGCCCGCTTTCCAACGACTCCTCATCTACCATGGAAGGGGTGTTCAGCGGATAGCAGGCATTGTTTGATTTCAATCTTCAGTGATAATCTCTAGTCGAACAAAAATGGTTCGTTTTGATATTGGCATTAAATGTCCTTCATTCCAACAGTTACGAAAATTTATCCACGAAAGCAGTCTCACCACCGTTTTACATGCATTATACGGCAGAACAGGTGATGGAAGCTTTCTCAATGGTATCTTCAATCCTAGCCACCTGAAAACGACAAATACTTGGGGAGAGGGGCTTCCCTCGGAAGTCATTCTCGCGTTGCCTCGGGCTGCTGAAAAGCGATGCAAAGCCAGCCATGTTCAGGTTATATCTTCGAATTCAAGGGGCAGGAAAGTATTCTGGACTTTTCATCAATGCGCATATATTTGTCCGCACTAGTCCCTAGCCAATCAACCAGGACTTTTTCTGCGCCGCTGCCTTTCTGTAGCAGGGGAAACTCCTCCTGGCTCCTGACCTGTGGATTGGAAAATTTCGACATAACAACGAGTGGCTGCAGTGGCGTCTCAATCTCGGACATGGGTAGAACGGGGGTCACACAAGAGTCACTATGATCAAATATCTCTCGCCATGCCGCCTGGGTTCTCCCTTTGAATCTGTCTCGAAAGATTTGCTTCATTGTTGGCCAACCTGTTCGATCCCATTGTTCTGGAAGCTCTGCCGAGTTGAGCTCGAGACCATCCAGAAGGATCTTGTAAAACTTGGGTTCCTGAGATCCCACCGCCATATACCTCCCATCAAGCGTTTCGTAGACTTCGTAAAATGGTGCGCCTCCATCAAGCAAGTTTTCCCCACGGGGCTGGTTCCAATTTGGGGTGCACAGTTGCTGCCTGGCGAATGTTGCTAGATAAGATGTGCCATCCACCATGTTCGCCGACACAATTTGACCTCGCCCAGTGAGAGATCTGTGAATCACTGCGAGAAGTATTCCGACAACACAGACAAGCCCTCCACCGGCGAAGTCCGCTAGGATATTCGCTGGAGGAGCAGGGATCTCATCTTTCCTCCCCAGAAGTGACAGCACACCGGATACTGCAAGGTAGTTTATGTCGTGGCCGGCTCGTTTGGCATAGATACTACTGCGATCCGGTCTGAAACCATATAGGTGTGCATATATCAACTGTGGGTTTCTTTCGCAAAGTACTTTCGGACCGGCTCCTAACCGATCCATTACACCGGGTCGGTATGGATCAATGATGATGTCTGCCACATCCGCCAATCGGACGAATGCTTTCCGGGATGGGTCTGATTTCAAATCAACAACGATCGAGCGCTTCCCTCGACAAAGTGTGTCCTGTGGTCCGAATACTGTGGATGGGCGATCCACTCGAACAACATCAGCGCCGTGGTCGGCCAGGACAAGCCTGACAACCATGAGCAAGCTGGGATGGCAATGTACATCTTGAGACGATAAACAACTTACCCGGCAAAAGGCGACGTCGCCGCTCCTGCAAGCTCTAGAACTGCACTCGGTAGAGTCTTAGCATCACTCGTCCTATACTTAGCTGTCTTTCCAGCACGTACCCTTGAGGTTGGCCAACGGTGACAGCGTCATTTCGGTGATAGGTCTGACACGAGGATCAGTAGGGTGATTAACTACGCCATGATGAACCATGAGACTATAAATCTCAATTGGCCCCACATTGACTAGGATCGCAAGCGATTGTTGAATTGGTATATATCACTGGGTGTCGAGTAGCAGTACGAGTAGGAGTAAAGAGCACTCGCAGCGATGTTGGAATGTATTGAGGTTCCCCAACATTGAACAACCAACCCCAACTTTCAGGCTCGGGGGAGCCTCACACCCCCGCGAGTTCCCCACCTCCAATAGCTGTCGCCCATGGACGGAATGGAAGTTGGGCACGCATGGGCCATGGCCTCCTGAGACCATATTTGAGCTCTGTGCGTTGTACATAAGTTGTACATTTGTATCGAGTCTACTAATTGCTATTTCGTGTTCATGCAACCCTCTCCGAGACAGATCTCTAAAGAACTGCTAGGCAAGGAATATGAAGTTCTCTTCCCCGGCTGAGATTGCAATCCCAGACGAAGATATTCTGACCTTCCTCTTTTCAAAAACCAAATTCAAGGATGATGATGTGGTATGGATCAATGGGGAGAAACCACAGTTAAACATCACCCTTTCTCAGGTGAAAAGGCTCGCTGGCGAAATAGGCCAAGGACTGAGAAATCTTGGAGTCGGCGAAGATGGTACGGGGACCGACATTGTGCTATCGTTTGTTGAGAATCAAATCTTCATAGCCCCTGCGTTGTTTGGTGTTCTCTGTGCCGAAGGAATACATTCCACCTGCACACCTCTCGCTACGCCTTTTGAACTTGCTCGACAAATATCTCTGTCATGCCCCAAAGTGTTGATCTGCTCAGCTCAGACCAGAGACATTGCACAGGCTGTCCTGAGCCGCAACAAGAGTACCTCGACCCCTATTCTCCTTCAGATGGATTCGGAGAAACTGGATCTGGTGGTCCTTTCGAGCGGAAGGTCGGTTCTTGGCCAAGGAGAGCTTCCTTGGAAGCGGTTGGTGGACCCACTTGTTTTGCAGCGAAGGACAGCATGTTTGATCTATTCGAGTGGTACCACCGGCACACCTAAAGGTGAAGTTCTCTGAGAATTTCAAAGTTATACAAGAGTCTGACAGGATAGGCGTCGAGCTTTCGCATGCGAATATGGTGGCCAATCTTTGTCAGATGGGGCACTACTTTGGACCTCGTGCTGAGAAGATCCGCCTGGAAGGGAAGACACCAAGAATGACAGCCTTGCTTCAAAATTCGGTTTCAGTGGGAGTTCTCACGCACAACATGATAGCTGTGCAGCATGGGATGCAGGTCGTGATGATGGCAAAATACGAATTTGAGACGCTCACGAGATACAGTAGAAAATACAGTTTGTCGGTCTTCTTTCTGGCACCTTCAATATGGAACCGAATTGCCAACGAATGGCCCGTCGCAGATTTCCAGAATATCCGATGGGCAATGAGTGGAGGTTCGCCATTGTCGTTGGCGCTTCAAGAACGAGTCAACAAGGCGCTAAAAGCTGGCACTTATCTCCTGCCGAACTGGGGAATGACAGAATTGGTCTGTGGGGCCACTCAGATAGACCCAGACGTGGGAGATAATGAAGGCAGTGTTGGAAAACTGCTTCCACGTATGGAAGCGATGGTCGTGGGAGAAGATGGGCAGAGCCTTCCCAGCGGTCAATCTGGCGAGCTTGTAGTCAAAGGTGAACACTCTGTCCCGGAACAATGATTTATGAGCTGATGCAATCAGGGCCCAACGTTATGAGAGGTTATTATCGAAACCCCACTGCGACAGAGCAATCTTTCACTTCGTCTGGGTGGTTTCGCACCGGAGACAAGGCAATGATAAGTGCGAATGGCAAGGTTTTCATCGAAGGGCGATACAAGGTAACAACCATCCAAAATTGCGGATGTAGCATGCTAGTACTTATCAAGGGCGCAGGAACTCATCAAGTATAAGGGAAACCAAGTTTCTCCGGTGGAGTTGGAATCGGTAATCAGTCAACATCCAGCTGTCGTCGATGTTGGCGTGATAGGAGTTCGGTTACAGGATGGGAATGAGCTTCCTCGAGCGTACGTCGTTCAAGGAAGAGGTTCAGACAGCTGCACAGAACAGGAAATCATCGACTATATCAAGCCTCTTCTGAGCAACTACAAACAGCTGAGAGGCGGAGTTGCCTTCGTGGCTGAGATCCCGAGAAATCTCAATGGGAAGATCATGCGGGATGTTCTCACACAATGGGCGCAGAGCGAGAGCGCTAGGCTTGGGGATCTAGAACATGCGCGGTTGGCGAAGTTATGAGGATCTTGACATTAACACTTGGAAGGGAAGTAAAGGCTGGAGAGGAGTCTTGAACACCTATCGATATGGGTGTCTCGATGAGCGGGAGCAGCTTCGGCAGTAGAGAGCGCTGTTCAGTTGAATAATCAGTGACAAGCCAGTTACCATCATCAGCCGGCAAGAGATTTGCATAGATAACACCAAGTTTGGTATCAAGGAAAAGGGAGGAAGCATTTCCACGACTGTTAGAATGGTCTGGAACTGCTCTAAACTTTGACATACAACTTCAGTTTGCTCTTCGTCATGCGTGCCGCTCCCAGAAAGCCGGCCCCGAGGATGATGACAACACCAGAGAAAATTCGAGTCCCATCATAGGCCATATTCTGGGCTTGAATGATAGCGCCATTAATTGGTGGGCCGGCGAGGGATGAGCAACTGATGGCGAGAAAGAACACGCCCATGCGGCCACCAAAGGTGGTCATGTCCTCTGTCATGCTGGAGATTACCACAGGAGGCATCGCAATAACAGCGCCCGATGCTATTCCGTAGAGCACCACCACGATGAGAAAAGACGCCGTAGTTTGGACCTTCAACCATACCAGGACCAGGATGCCACAAAGCAGTAGAGCAGGAGCCTGGATGTTGAGGGGACCAAGAAGATCCGAGCAATATGATGGACCTATCCGTCCGACAAGACTGGCGGCGTTGAGGATAGGAAGAATGTAAGCAGGTTGGAGCTTGCTACGATTGAGAACATTGCTGCTCACAGCCCAGACCTCGATAAACCCGTAGAAGGTGTACAAACCAAACATTGAAAGAAACAGCCCAAAGATGTAAAGGGTGAATTCAGGTTGTCTCAAGGCTCGGTACTCCACCAATGAACCTCTTCCTCTGGGAGGGAGACGTTGTCGGGCAAGAGATATGCTGATTGCCAGACTGGCGAGAGAAAGAAAAGCTAGAATGCGGGCAGCCCACTGGAAGTTCCAAGTCGAAATCAATGCTCGTGCGGCAGTAGGAAGCACGATCCCAGCAATGGACGCTCCACTCGACACAAGGCCAACCGCGATGCCACGATGTTTCACGAACCAGGTGCTCGGTAGTCCAACAGAGGGCACCAGGAGAAGTCCCAGGCCAAGTCCCACGCACAAGCCCTGCGAGAGCAGCACCTGATAGTAAGAAGTGGCCAGTGAGAGGAACATCATGCCGATGACGACGAAGAAAGTCCCCAGCAGTATCATATACCGAAAGTAGCCTTTGTCAAAGCAGATCCCACTCATGGCGCCGCCGAACAACAGCAAGAAAGTCTGTAGAGAGCCAATCCATGCAATCGCTGATGGGGCCTTGTTGTCCTTGATGCTACCACTGGGTGACGTGTAAAATGTTTGGAAAACGCCGAACGAGAATATGGTTCCCCATGCGTTGAACATCAAGAAGAAGCCAGCGACGACCTGCAGCCAAGGGCGAATTCCAACATCGGGTAAAGGGACCTGCGGCGGAGTAGCTTCAGGGGGTAGAGATTCAGGATGGATGCTGGCACTGGCAGGATCGCAGATTCTTGTCTCAGAGCACGGCGTAGAGCTGGTGAGCTCAAAGACATGAGCTAGAACGGTCGTCAGTCAGTCGGATTGGTTTGTAAACCACAAGGAACGGTCATCCTCGGCGATTTTCATGCGTGGACTGACTGACCTGGGACATCAGTGCTCTGCATTCGGTCGAAAGTGCCAGCATTCCGTAGAATGTGGGCAATTGGCGCACTTCTGAGTCGGACGCCAGGCCATTGAGGCCGAGGGACTGTCGATACGTGTCGGATTTGGGCAGCCAGGGAATGAACATGACCTTGAGTTGAGCGTCAAGATGATGGCTGGAGCTATTTGGTACTGCGAAGACTACCATCTCCGCCTTCCCCAACCCTGAACAGGTCAAATTGCTCTGATTGTGCGGGGATATGCGCTCCAGGCCGAAAGCTCCTCGGCAAAGTCGTAGCTGATGGGGAGCCGCTCATCTCAATCCACGCGGGACAAAGCCCATTGCGAGGAGGGGCCTGCTGACGACCAGTGGTGGACCCATTCTCGAGCAACAGCCTAGTCCATGGGTTTCTGCAGATTCCAGTATTGCCAGCGTTGCAGTTCGAGGCCTGTCCGTGGGGGAGCTGAGTTATGTAATTACGAGAAGGACAGCCTCGCCAAGGGCGCAAAGCCAAGGCCGCCGAGTCGATGTTCGTGGCGAGGCTGGGCTCGCTCTGGAGTTCATCGGCTGGTACAAGCAGTCTGTGAAGACCATTGGATTTGAGTACGAAAAAGTCTACATTAGAGGCCAATGAACTAACTGGTCGCTGCGAAAGGTTACGAGTATGCGTGCTAACGTCGATGTAGTAGAATCTTATGCTGGCTACTATGGTCCGTACGTCGCAGATGCTTTCACGACTGCTGACGATTCCGAATTCCACAATCTTGCTGGCATCAGCCATATCACCCAGCCCTGGACATTTGGATATGACCTGTTATGTGCTCCCAACGTGGATCAAGATTCGACTCCAGTGGCATGACTCCAAAGGATTTATTTCCTATCCACAGTCGAAGTCCTTCTTTGTTCCTCGTCATGAGGAGCCAAATGGTGTTGGCCGCAATTCTGAGGCTGGTGTGGTCGCGTTCTGGGGCGAGGGGCGAGGGGCGAGGCCTGACGTTCTACACTGTATCTCTAGCACACAAATTGCCCCAACTTTGCACCAGGCTCTGCATATCGCACGCTCGAGGTGGGAAAACAGGGGTTGTGGAAGTGATCATTCCAGAGAAGCTCGAGTTGAGATTTGGGTGAAGATCAAGATCAATTTGCACATGCTGTATGAGGGTATTTGGGAAAACTTGACTCGAGGCTAACGGCTTGGGCTGGGAAAGCCGGGCGCTGTGAATGGAGACATGGTCGGTCAGTCCACAAGCGGCGGGGGATGTCAAATTGAGATCGGCAATCTCGTTAGAGAAGAGCTTGAAATGGTCCCAGGTGGCATTGCACGGGGATTTTGGATGGTGGGGCGGAGCAGGAGATTGGGGTTGAGAAAGAAGGATAGTCAAGACTTTTATAGGGGGACATAAGAGAGGATAAGCTCGCCGCTAGACCGGGATTACGAATGCTGCGGGTGAGATATAAGCCGCGCCAATGACCCGAAGCTTTTCAGGGGCAGGGCCAGACGAGCCGCCCGAGTTTGGGATGTCTGGTGAGTGGAACGACTTGTATCTCAACAATGATGGGACTTTGAGATCCATTGCAATAATGCCAATCACATGAGGGATGGTGCAGATGGGCACTGATGATGGAGAAAGGAGCTGACCTCGAGGATCAATCAGATAACTAAGACCACCCATTGTGATCGAAAGGGTGCCCACGTAGCCTCACTGCTCCGAGGCATCCTGTGCATCCTCGTACACACTCGTAGATCTGGAGGCCAAGAGGCTAAGGATAGGTTCTTTGCCCGAAGCCCCAGGGACCGAGCCCCTGGGAGTGAGCGACAGGGGCGCCGATGTAGGCGGAGTTGGTAGTGGAGAACAATCATTTAGTGCACAAGTGGTGCTTTGAGCTAAAGAGCTTACAGTAAGCCCGATGAAGCGTGTCGAGGGTTGAAACCCACAGAAACCCTAGAGAGTAGGTGCTCGGTACGAGCGTTCTCGGTACGTACAGTAATAGCCACAGTCGTGGACAGCGCGAGGTGCTCTCGGTAGGACCGCTGGTCCATGGCACGGTAAGAGTACTACTGGACAGCAAGTGAGCAGAGTCGGGAGTGCTCGTACACATTTAATGGTCGACATTCGCAATTCGCAATTCGCAATTTGTTGAGTGTGCCGTGTTCACCCACATGTACGTCATGAGTCCCAAACAAGCCGCGAACGCTTGTGAGACTTGAGTACAGTTACATACGAGTAGGCCCAGGGCGGTTCAGGGCAGCCAGCATTGGCGTCAGCAAATGTCGGCGGTCGCCCAACACAGCGTCTCGTACAGAGTGATGGGGATGCCGCCAGGGAGGGACCTAGTCACTAGTAGTGATAATACGAAATAGTCGAAACTTCTTCTGTGTGGTTTCGTAGAAGAGGATGAGAATCCTTTACTCCTTCCGGCGGGTGGCGTAAGCGTGAAACGGGAGTAGATACCGAAGACTCCGTACCTCATCATTGAGCAGGACTACAGATATTATTATGAAGTGCAAAAAAAGCATGCAATTGACATCTGTCATGATCGAACGGTGACCATCCGACCAAGTAGATTTCCCGACAGCGCTTGAATTATAACATGCCCGGAGAATTGGCCGGTGAGTGACAGAAAACGGATGAAAGTGGCACATGGCGTCAATAAACAATAAGCTTCAGCCCCGAAGGTTGGAAGGGAAGGCAGTAATTATGATGGAACGGTACGCTGGACGCCGTAGCAGAGAGCCCATCTGGTTAGGAGGCAGCCCGCCTGGAAGTCGAGGTCGAGGAGTCGAGGGTGCTCGCGGCTGGAGTGGTCCTGAGCGTACAGTACGAGTACCTACGCACCTGCGCACCTGCGTACCTGCATTCCGCATTCTGCATGTCCCGCCTGGAAGTTTCAGTACGGGCAGGTGCATACGGATCATAGGTAATAAGTTATTCCGTAGATGCTCACCAAAGGAAGGAACTCCCACGCGCACCGCTGCAGTGGCGGTGGCAGTGGCACCAGTACAGTAATTCTCCCAAAATGCGGAGGCAATCCATCATCTGACCCTCACCATTAAATTATCCCGTGGCCATCCTCAACGCATGGCACCCACCCAGGGCCACAACTGACTACGTACTTGCCCTCGTTCCTTTCCATGAGGACCTGTTCGAATCCTTCTGTGAGACTGTGACTGACAGTGTCTGGGCAGTGCTATTTCCGGGCTGTTGGGCGACACCAACTTTGCTTGATTTCGCTTGTTTCCATCCACCCCCATCCTTCTCAGGCCGCCTCCCGCATTGCGGGATTGCTTGGTGGTCCCAAGACAGCTTGAAGAGCTTGATCGAGTCAAGGCTTACGCCCAGGTGCTTCTCCTGATCTCCTCATCTCCAGTTTTCCGCTGTTCTTGCTTTGGCTCACTCTCCACCCAGACTCAGAGTGCCCATCCTCCTGTTTCGGGTTTGCCCATGATCGCATTCGCCTCGCTCGACTGGTCTTCGTTTGGATTTCCTCTCTCACCACGCCCTCGGATTGGCACACCATGGTGTGCGCGACGCTCGCAAAAAACACTAATGCCTGCGTCCAATTTCCACCGGCGCAGCCATTAGCAAGCAAAGTCTCCAGCCAGCCGTCCCCGCCGCCATACCCATTGCGGAATTGAACGCCCTCCCTAGGCCAGGTCATCGTTGGCGAGCCGTACATCCGTACACATTGACGGTACTCCTGCAAAACCGCTGCATTCCCTCCTGGTGGCTGATACCGCCTCCGTATTCAAAAGATTACTCTATGGCCGATACCTCCTTCTACAGGAGGCCCCAGCGACGGCGGCTACTCTGTGTTTACCATACAAACCGCCTGGCTACCTCTAGGTCTCCCCACTGTGCTAAAATGAGACACCATCCCCCCAGACCTAGTTAGTTGGGCTTTTGCGGCCCTCCTACTCATCAATCCGCACCAGTCCCGGTCCCATGCAAGAATCCGACATGGGTTGGAGCGTTCCATCTCAGCTTCGTGCTTGAGATCAGGCTGGCCAATGCCGCCTTCCGGAAAGGAGAAGGATGTTCTACAGCAAGACTTGATATACCTCACCCGCCCTCCCGTCTTCGCTTCGAACTCTTCTCTCTCTCTCTTCCAAGCTTCCTCGTTGAGATTCAAGTCACTCCTTTCATTGCAAGCACATCTGCTTGCGTCCATTCGTTAGAACATGCGTTCCTTTCCTGCCCTTCTCACCGCTGCCGCCCTTGGCTTGGTCGCAGCGAACCCCCCCGCTTCCGATGTCGTCGTGACCGTCACTTCCACGCGCACGCACACCTTCTGCCCCGTCACCCAGCCAATCACCTGTCCAGCAGGTCCAACAGGCACTAATGTCAGCCCCGGAAATGGCGGTCACTCGGGCAACAATGGTGGTCAGGGTGCTGGAGGCCAGGACCCCAACATTGGCGACGTCTGGCAGTCTCTCTGGGACAACGCTAAGACCGAATATCACGGCCAGTGGGATGACTGGAACAACGTCCCCCCAACCAGCTCCGCCACCACGGCGGCTCCTACATCAACTGGAACCAATGGAGGCGGTGACGGCGGCCACGGTGGCGGCTCCTCCACCACGGGGTACTGGAACGGTACCACCACGTCCGGAACTTACTATCCAGGCAGCACCACCACCACCACGACCAGCGCGTCTCCTTCTGCGACCTTGATCAAGAACGACACGGATATCTGCAATGACAACCTTCACCGATCCAAGTGGTGCGACAACAAGAGCATCGACTCCGACTACTACAAGTCCGACTACAGCACTGGCGTCACCCGCAAATATGTCTTCACCATCACCAACACTACCTTGGTCTTCGATGGCACCGGCCCCAAGTTGGCTCTTGCCATCAACGGCCAAGTCCCAGGTCCTGTCATTGAGGCCAACTGGGGTGATGACGTTGAGATTACTGTCATCAACAAGATGCAAGACAACGGCACCTCCATCCATTTCCACGGCATTCGTCAAGAGGGTACCAATGACCAAGATGGTGTGCCTGGCATAACGGAGTGTGGCATTGCTGGAAACGGTGGAAGCCGTACATACAAATGGCGTGCTACTTCATTCGGTACCTCCTGGTATCACAGCCACATGTTCACTCAGCTTGGTGATGGTATCCGAGGACCGATCGTCATCCACGGCCCTGCCACTGCCAACTACGATTATGATATGGGAACTCTCATGCTTGATGACACGTAAGTTGGCTGACCCGTCTTCTGAATATTGGTCAAATCTAACCTTTGCTAGATTCACCATCCCCGCTGCTGCTCAAGCCGCCAGAATCGCCCACTTTGGACCTGGTGGAACTTTCAACACCCTCTTCAATGGCAAGAACAAGAGCCCTGATGGCAAAGCAGGAGAGTCGTTCGGCTGGTCCGTCAAGCCAGGCAAGAAGCATCTGTTCCGTATTATCAACAGGTTCGTGATATCCCACCTGTGGCTACCTTCCTTTTTACTGATTGCCCGGCAGTGCTGCTCAGAATTCCTTCATCGTTGGATTCGACAAGCATACCCTTACCGTAATCGCCGCCGACTTCATTCCCATCAAGCCCTACAAGACTGAGACCGTCAAAATTGCCAACGGACAGCGCTACGACGTCATCCTCGAGGCTGATCAAGCAATTGACAAGTACTTTGTTCGCGCCGTTCTCCAGACTGCTTGCCCATCTGGCGGTGCTAACTCTGGCCTTGGTGTCGCTAATGCGGTCATCACCTACGAAGGGGCCAACTCTACCGCCAGCCCAATCTCGCAGACAGCCATTACCAACGTCACTGCTGCTATTTGTGAGGATGAGCCGCTTGCAAGCTTGGTTCCTTACAACGTGAAGCCCGCCGGAACTCTGTCCACCTTCCAGGGCTCCTCGTCAACCATTCCCGATGGTGCCCTGACCTCCGTCGCGACCAACGATGACGGCACAGTCTTCCAGTGGTTCCTCAACAATGCGGTCATCAACGTGGATTTCCACAACCCGACACTCCAGACCCTTGCCACTGGATCCAATAACACCATCAGCAATGCCATCACCCTCACCCAGAAAAACGAGTGGGTCTACTTCGTCATCCAGAATCAGTTCTTCGTTGCTCATCCTATGCACATTCACGGCCATGATGTGTCCGTCCTCGGTCAAGGCCAGGGTAACTTTGGCTCGGCTCAAGCAAGCTCCTTGAACTTCGCAAACCCCATGCGCCGCGATACTGTCATGTTGCAAGGTGGTGCCGGCCCCGGCCAACCGACCGGATATACCGTGATTGGCTTCGAGACCGACAACCCAGGAGCCTGGCTTATGCATTGCCACATCTCGTGGCATCTGGATGGTGGCCTTGCTTTGCAATTCATTGAGCGTCCTGACGACATCACCTCCAGCGCGTACGTCAACAAGCAGACCTTCAAGGATGAATGCTCTGCCATGACCTCATATGAGGCATCCAACCCCCAGGGTGCTAAAACGTCGGGTCAATCTGGTCTCAAGCGACGTTATGAGGCATTGGACATTGAGCCATTCCACGCCGGTGCAAAGATGCACATTGACAAGTACCGCAAGCGATATGCTGCTCACGGCCACAGACACTAAATGCCCACTTCCTGATCAAAATTCTATTGCATGCAACAAGCCGTCAAGTAAATAATATGGAGAGAGCTGGGTAATGGGACACATGTACGCTAGTTTATAACTTTTTCTTCGGCCCATGTCCAAACTATGTTCGTTGTAGAACTCGAGAGGCATTTTTAAACTATTGCGATGAGACAGTCGTCGCCGTTCATTTTCTCTTCGCAAATCTTCCTCCGTGGGTGGCGTGGCCAAGCAGCAATGCTTTCATGACTCGCTCCCACAGGGCTTGTTATTGGATTCCTGAATCGGCCAGCAACACATCGTTCCTCTTCCCCAACTGCCCCACATCGAAAATCCACCATCCTGAACTAAGTGAATGTGGGGGAATGGGGAGGTGCCCTGGCAAGTTCCCGGCACGCACTTTCATCTCTACCCCTCCACGCATGGTTCGGTACTTCGCATGGAAACTGCCCCAATGAAAAAGGATGAGGGGTTTAAGTAAGTTATCTACCGATTACAAGCATGGGGTCTGGAGAAGTCATCCCAGGCAAAGCTGATCATCCTACGCATAACCTTGAAGAAGAACATCTCGTGCCTCGAACGTTCAACCCGCCCTATTTCCGGTGATGGCCTATTGACACGAGCAACACCTACTTTCGCAAGCATCAATGGCAACGACCACTTTTATCCCACAGCTGAGCTCAGCAGAACTCCCGGTTCTGCGATTATGCATCTTGGGCGCACTTGTTTTGCCCTTGCTTTCCGCCGTTGGCCTCTACCTCTGGGTAACGCCGAGCAGTTGGAAAGATTCTCGGCGGAAGCATTTACCACCTGGTCCTCGCGGCATTCCGTTCTTAGGAAACTTCTTCCAGCTTTCCGATGCAGAGACATTCCGCTTCAAAGCGCAAGCCTGGGCCAAGCAATATGGAGACGTCTTCTACACCAAAATGGGCGGCTCGGACTATATCTATCTCTCTTCACCTACCGCAGTCAAAGAATTGATGGACAAGAAATCGGCAATCTATTCTTCTCGACCACCAGCGCCTTTGGCCAGTGACGTTGCTTCGGCTGGTCGGCGACAGTTGTTCATGCCATACGGGCCAAAATATCGCGTGGTGAGGAGAATTGCGCATTCATTGCTCAATATCACAATCTCCACAAGCTATCAGCCAATCCAAGATCTCGAATCAAAGCAGCTAATGTTTGATCTGCTACATGATCCGGAGCACTTCTACGACCACAACCGTCGCTATTCGGCTAGCGTCATCCTAACAGTTGCGTACGGTCAACGGATGGCGGATTGGAACAATCCACTAGTCAAGAAGATTTATAGCGTTGTGAACAACTTACAACAGTTCTCAGCTCCCGGAGCGTTCCTGGTCGATACCTTCCCTACTATTCGACACTTTCCTCAATGGTTGTTTGGAAATTGGAGGAAGTTTGGTGAAAAATGCTTCGCTCATGACTCCGTCGTTTATCTGAAACTTTGGGGCGACCTGAAGAAAGATGTCGATGAAGGCAAGGCGAATTCTTGCTTCGCAAAAGACTTTTACCTCAGCAATCCTGAGAAGGTGGGTATCGATTCGCTGCAGGCGGCCTATCAGACGGGGGGGCTTGTCGAAGCCGGTTCAGAGACAACCTCGGCATTCCTCAACTCTTTTATCCTGGCCATGGTCCAAAATCCCCATGTCATGAAGAGGGCACAAGAGGAGGTGGATAGAGTGATTGGAGAGGATAGGCTGCCCACGTGGGAGGACGAACCTAACTTACCGTATCTGAGAGCAGTCATCAAAGAGTTGCTGAGGACGAGACCACCGAATAAGTTTGGAATGCAACATTATACGACTGAGGATGATTGGTACAACGGGATGTTCATTCCCAAAGAAACTGTGGTCGTGTTAAATTGGTGGTAAGTCTGCACATCTTCCTTCTGCCAGAGCAACGTGCTCACCCATCCTTTAGGGCAATCAACTATGACCCGGCTCATTGGGACAAGCCTGATGAGTTCAATCCTGAACGGTTTCTGGGTTACGATCTTCCCGCAGCTGCATACATCAACATTGCAGACCCCAACGAAAGAGATCATTTCTCGTACGGTGCGGGTCGGAGGATCTGCCCTGGCGTACATGTCGCCGAAAAGTCTCTTTACCTCAACATCGCCCGAGTACTGTGGGCATTCAACATTTCCAAGAAGATCGACGCGAGGGGGGATGTAGTTGAACCAAACGCGGCCATGGTACCAGGGTGGATGACTATCCCACAGCCATTCGAGTGCGAGATTACTGTCAGGTCCGCCAAGAAGAAAGCTCTCATCACAAAAGTTTGGAACGAAGCACAAAAGGGCCTGGAAGGTACCTGAAAGGAGATCTGGCACGCTTTTATTGTTTATTATCGTGGATTCTTTTTCATGTCATACAGAATCCTGTAGCGCTTTCGCTCCCGCCTAGAGTCGATCCATACTCGTTTCTGCAAATGGGTAGATAAGCCTCGGCACCGGCGAGGTTGATGAGGCTCAAACATTTACTCCGCAGTTTCCCCGTGTATGACGTCTTCCTATTTGTCTCTGAGAGGTGTCAATTGTAAAACGGACGAGATGGATGTAGATCGTGCGACAATGTTACATTTTCGAAGACAAGATTTTGGAACGCCACTGACAGAATACTTATCAAGCATCGGTAGCTTCGGCTTTGCCTTTCAAGATTAAAGAGCAGACCGTAGAGGGCGATGCGAACTATAGTGCACCGACATTTCCCATTCTCCCTTTCAACAAGTATGCTGCGAATCCCATATTGGTCCCTAACCCAAGTTCCAATTTCGAGTCTGCGTTCCTCTACAATCCAACCGCAATGCAATAGTGCTGAACGAAACCATCTTCCTGCTGTATAGAGCACAAAAAGCTTCCAAAACTTCGTCCATTGGCCTAGCTTGGTCGACGAATGGAGTGGACTTCACACGGCTAGATCGACCCATATTATACGCGACAGAAGCTTGGAAGAGATAGGAGGCACCGAGGATCCCCGCCTCGTCCGAGTGAACGGCACATTCTATCTTACATACACCGCTTTCAACAATGTTACGGCACAACTCTGCATGGCAACCTCTACCGATCTCTCGAACTGGACCAAGTCCCCGCCTTTGTTTCCCGGCTTCCAGGACGTCGCATACTCTGATATCGATGTTCCGTCTCCTCGAACCAACCACACCAAGTCCGGTGCCATTGTGAAAGAGCCAACAGCGGATGGGTTGTACCATATGTACTTTGGAGACAGCTTTTTCTACCATGCAACAACCCCTGATCTGCATAATTGGACCGCTTTACCTGCCGAGGAATACTTCGCCGGGCCTGTCAACCAATGGGAGAATAGGCTCATCGAGCCTGGGCCGGCACCCCTCAAAACCAGAGATGGGAAATGGATCCTGATCTATAACGGCATGACAACTGGCAGAATAGGATATCCACAGAATCAATACTCGGTCGGGCAGATGCTGATAGATCCATCGGGGTCTTTTAGAGCAGATTCAAATGTCAGTCAAGACACATACCAACCGGCAATTCGAGAGGGTCCAGTCGCAAGGCTTGAAAGGCCGATTCTAGCCCCGGAGGCAAGCAATGAGCAGACTGGACAGGTGAATCAGGTTGTTTTCATAGGCGAAATAACCTCCGGGTAGTATGTCTACTCTGTTAGAGTATCTGTCCAGAGGGACAAACCCCCTTAATGGAGCCAGGCTCAGTGGGTCAAAATGCGATGTGGAGGTATCTTTGAATATATGACTTCGTTCTCGTGTTCTAGATCTTGTACGTCCGCGGCAGTCAGCGTAAATGTCCATGTCGGATCCTTGTTTGCCACTTGTTGGGCCACTGAGAGTCCGCGTATTACCAGTCGCGAACTTCACGTCGCCCTTCCCTTTCCACACAATCTCCACTTTAACATCTGAGGTCCTGGTCTTGCATTGCTGTGCACTATTAAGCTTGCTCTGAGAACATGGCTGAACTCTACTGCTGGTTACATCTCAATCAGCCTAGTAGACCTAACATGAACTAAAAATACGTAGAATCTCCTGATTCAAATATATGATACAGGGAGGTATGTCCTACTATATAATCAAGATAAACGCGAAACGACTTCGCCTTGAGCCTGCCTTGCTTCTATTGATCCATTGACATGTCAATCGATATTATGCTTTGCCCTGCACGCGCCAGACGTCCAAGAAGGAAAATCTATCGTCGGGTAGTTATGGCTCTCCTCTCGCTGCGTGAATCAATCCGCCCCAATGCTTCTCTTTCAAGCAATTTGCCCTCGGACTGCACCCGGAAGGGCAAGGCTCGAGTGCGTGTCTGCAAAGAACCCTGACGGATTCTGCTCGATCTGACTGATATGAAATCCTTCTCCAGTATCCTTTCCTTCCATGACAAGTCCCGTAACGAATGGTCCCGTCAAGCATCCCGCGGAGTTCAGAACGGCTGGGTCGTCATTTATCCGTTTGGGATTCGGAAATGAAATTCGTGGTGGACCAGAAGCGCCCGAGGCTGCTTCGTGAATGTGAGTGGCTGAGCTCGCCGGTGAACTAAACTCGCCTTTGAAGTTGTGTAGCGTGATGTTGTAACATATCATGTTGGCATGTGAGTTGATGCCGAAGTTGAACAAGCCTGAAGCACCTGGTAGACCTCCAGTAGGCGTTGTGCCGTTGACAACTAGCTCAGGTACCGCGTGGATGAAATGGGTCGAAGTAAAGTGAAATAAGTCATTGAACTTATTCGCTCCGAAGCCGGCCTGGTTTAGGTCAATGTTAAGCTGAAGCGAAAGCGTGCCAGTGCTTAGATCCAAGGGAGCAGCACCTGCGCTGAGGACAAGGGCCACAATGGACGAAAGTATAGAAATCTTCATTATGATGCCAGATCAAGAGAGTGAAGGTGTTGTTTAATGAGCGTACTAAGAAGCGAAGGTATTAGAAAGAGACGAAGTGTAATCGACTGTTCAACAGTATGCGGTTTGACAAAGAACAGGAAGTGTTCCACGCCTTGCCTTTATACCGGACCTGCTATCAAGTTCAGGCGTAGCTAGGCCAAGCCGCATACAGGAGATCCCGATGGAAATCGAGTAGTCCTTGCCTCAAGCTGATACATAAGTGTGTTCTTGGCCTAGTTTCACGGTATCTTGGCGCGAGAACATCCGGCCCAGTGCCAAGCAGGCCGAGTTCCAGCAGCTTACAAGTGCCTTGACTTAGGAAAATGCTAGAGAGCTTTCAGTTCAATTTGCCATGATATAATTCGGGGTTCGACAGACCGGCGCAGACTTCGGCTAGCCGGTGCGTGTTGTGGTGTCCAGCTGCAAAACATTCAATTTCCGGTTTTCCAAATGCTGTCGACTTTCAAGATCCCTATAAGTTTAGCCCAAATAGGACGCCTTTTGTCGAAGTACATTAGTTCAAAACAGGTAGCGCTAGACATAGATTTTCTCGAGTAATGTCGTCCTCGCCCTCGGTTATAGGACTGGCTTAGACTATGCTAAGTCGCTGGAGAAGCGAGGTCAGCATCAATTCTACTGTCCTACTCTATTTCTCATCGATAATATTACGAAGTAGGGAGGTGAGCCGATAGAGAACAACGCCCAGTCACGTGATCAAAATCGGATCCGGCGCACCAATGCACCGTGAACCATTGCAACAGTACAACAGCGTACGTCATGAAGTGTAATACATACCCTCATTCTGTTGAAGCCATTTGATAAGAGCTAGGTCGAGAACCGCCATCGAACCCAGTTTCTTTCATATCTTGGAATAGAGTAGGTAAATACTCGCCTCCCCGGATCGACCGGAATTTGATTTGCCTATTCGAGTAATAATTAAAGTTTCTACGAGTCGTGGCCTCCGGCGGCTAATTAGCTGCGTGGCTCACACCCGTTATCATTCTCCTCAGATCCTCCGAATCCCCTATCGGGGTACTAGCTATCTCCATGCTCCCAGTGGCACGAAATAGATTATTTTCTCGTCCGCATCACGAATGTTAGCCTTGGACTAAAACCAGGTCAATTCATGGCTCCTTGCCTTATCTTTCGACTCGAGTGCGAGGCTAGTAAGCTTCGCTGCTCAATATTGGCGTAGTGATCATAACTACTACTGCCACACGCAAGTCTGACCGCGTCTGGAGTCACGACGTGAACTTGAACGATTGATTGAAATCGACCTGTCTACCGTTGCGTCAGAATGGGCACCGTCGAGGAAACTCCTCCGAATTATGGATCTGAAATTATTGGCTATGTCGAGCCTTGGATTGGCGATCCCGGACAGTCACTTGCCGTCAAGGTAAGTTAGCAAGGGTATCTGTTTCCAGCTTATATCGCAGTGAATTGCTTATGTTCATGAAGGCGAGGAGAAATTCCTTTAACTATGAGCTATTACCAAGATCGCAGCTAACGAATTCGTGAGCAAAGGTTTCATCCACCGAGTTAGAGTATTCGTATCGAGTGGTGCGCGTAATACAAGGGGTAGACATTGCACATTCCCCTCGAAAGCGGCTGGAAGACATCGCCGAAATCCCTTGTGGGACGATCAAATCCGGTCGCTATCAACGAGCAAGACCAGGCTCGTACGCGGAGATCAAGGATGTGACTCTTCCTTCAGATCAAGGCGGCCTTGTTGTTTCCATGTATTTTCAGGCCCATCTCCCGCAGGCAGAGCATGTGCAGACAATTGTGTCAAACCTAAATCCTGACGAGAAGGTTGGATTTGCAGTGGTGATCAGTGTCCAAGGTACCGTCGAGGTCTGGATCGGAACCGGGACATCTGTGGAAACTATCAACACCTCCTTTACTGTCCTACGCCAGCGATGGATCCAGCTTGAACTCTGCGTTACTGAGATTGAAGGTGCCATCACTCTTAAACAGCTATCTTACATTGCCGAAAAGACCCCAATAGGTTTTCAGGATGTATTCACCTTCAGCAGTGCTGCCATTCCCGCTTCGCCAACTGATCTGCTCTTAGGCGCAGCATACGCGGAGGGTCCTAAGTGTCTGTTCTCTCGACCCACCAACTTCTTCAACGGCCGTATTGACGGCTTCTCTATTACCTTGGAGGGGAACCCAGCCAAAGTTATTGCCAAATATGACTTTTCCGCGAATATTCCAGAGGACACGATTCTCGACTTTTCGGGCAATGAGTACCATGGCTCGCTGGTCAACGCTCCAACCCGAGCAGTCACAGGTTATGATTGGAATGGAAGCGAGGTGGACTGGACGCGCGCAAGGTCCGGATATGGAGCGATTCACTTTCACGAAGACGACCTTGACGATGCTCGTTGGGAGACGGACTTTCACATTAACTTACCAGCTATGGCTCGATCCGGCGTGTATGCGGTGGAATTGATATCATCGAACGGAAAAGCTACAGATCTTGTTCCTTTCATTGTTCGCCCGACTCCCAGCACTACACACGCTATTGACGCTAAGGTGGCTCTAGTGCTTTCCACGTTCACCTATCTGGCGTACGCGAATGAGAAGCTAGGAGATCCTGGCCGCCCTTCTCTAGTTGATGTTGGACCGGGGTTTGATGCAGCCATGACACCAAAGTCGGAAGACTTTCATAGAATGATCCGGCGACAGGACCTAGGCCTATCCACGTACGACGTTCATAGAGACGGATCAGGGGTTGTATTTTCATCAGCTAAAAGGCCTATTTTGAATTTCCGCACTGGGTACGTCATGTGGGCATTCGACCGGCCACGCGAACTGAGCGCAGAATCGATGATGATAGGGTTCTTAGAACGAGAGAAGATTCCTTACGATGTCCTGACCGACCACGATCTCCACGTCAAGGGAGTTGACATGTTGGCACACTACAATACTGTCTTGACCGGCTGTCATCCGGAGTATCCGACGTTACAGTCTTATGATGCGTACGAGCAGTACGCGAAGAAAGGCGGCAATCTCATGTATCTCGGGGGTAATGGATTCTACTGGGTCACCGGTGTAGATCCTGCCCGACAGTGGCGGTTAGAGATCCGGCGGGGTGACCAAGGGGTCCGTACTTACACCCTACCAGGAGGGGAACGTTTCCTATCGGTCAATGGCATGCAAGGCGGCCTCTGGAGGTCGCGGGGTCGTTCCTCCCATGGCTTATTCGGTGTCGCATTTAACGCCGAAGGCACTGGCCCTGGGGTACCATTCAAGCGTACCGAAGCGAGCTTCAGCCCAGAACTCGCATGGATGTTTCAGGGCATCCCTGCAGGCGACCTTATTGGTGAACTCGGTCTCGGAGGAGGAGCAAGTGGCGACGAGATCGACTCGTACGACATAGCATGTGGCAGTCCCACGAATGCGGTCGTAGTAGCCACGAGTACTGGGCATCCTGACTCTTTCGGTATCGGGCCTGAGTGCACTATGTTCCCGATCCTAAAGACACTTGGCTCGCAGACTAACGAGATCCGTTCGGACATAGTGTACTACGAGACAGATGCGGGGGGGGCCGTGTTTTCTGTGGGAAGTATCAATTGGTTCTGCTCTCTCGGCTACGACGACTATCAAAACAACGTCGCACAACTCACTGGAAATGTTATTCGTGAGTTCCTCAGAAGAAGCCATGAAGGCCATTGAGGTTTAATCAATAGCCGGGCGGAACTATTATTTCAAAATCGATTGGCTCTTCTTTCTATTTTGGTATATAGCTCTGCTAAACAAGATGGCGAAGATCCTATTTCCGAATTGACCAAGGAGATATTGGTCAACAGGCTAGACATCGAGTACAGTGGACTTTATACTAGCCCAGTCACATAGGTTTCTACATTATTGAATTGCGTGCCCTTGATCGCAGATACATTGCAGGTAGATTGCAGATACCTTGTAACCATATGAGCTATTGTTCTGAGCTGCCCAGTTACTCGACTGCGCAGTACAAGAATGGTATTTCCCATATCGAACCAGTATACCTCAAAACATGGCCGAGATCTTAAGAAGGCACAACGAGAGTCTCAACAAACCGCCAGTATCGGTTTGCACACATCTTCCGCAGGCTACGGCCCCAGACGGTCATGATCAAAAAGGTGAATGTACATGCAAGGTACAGAAAAGCGGATCCGATCAATGTGTTCTGGAGACCGCTTGCCTGCAGCCACGGAGTGATGCCATAAGCCATTCCGTAACCCATGGTATTGCGGATTATCATCACGAGAATAAGGGTCTCCCCAGCGATGTCCTTAAAGCAGTCGACGTTGTAGGCCAATGCAGTTGTTGCTCCTACCACCATGCCGAAATTGAGGAACAGAAGAGCAAACATCAATCCGATGAAATGCACCTGGGACACAGTTAGACATAAAAGATGATTTCATAGACGAAGGGAATTGAGTATTAAGCACACCTGATGAGCCGCGCCAACCCCCCATAGAATTAAGCCTCCGGCCGCAATGAAGCCGGAGGGCACGAGGATCCAAAGTCGCTGCTCTGGCTCTCGGATTCCCTTCTTGCATTTCGCCAACCAGATCGTCAGTCTATCGCCTCCCCATCCAGCGTAGGCCCAACCCACAAGGGAGCCGAGAACACCTATATTGTTAGGACTTCAGTCTAAGAGAGAACCTGAGACGAAGAGAAAACTTACCAGCAAGGTAGGACAGCCCAACCATATCGGACGCCCACCCATAGCCGGGACCTCCCAGAACGAAACCGACCGTTGCGTTACCGATTTGATATAAACATAGGGATGCACCATACAGGAACCCAGCCCAGACAATGTTTGGAAAGAAGAAAAATATCTGTAGAGGTCGGTACATCATGACACCCAGCTGTTTCACAGTCGGTCGGTTGGGAAGTAAGCGGAAAAGCTGAAGCCTTCGCCGATAGGTTCGAGGCTCTGTAAAAGTTCCGGAGTCAACAGTCACAATGTCTTCTTTTGCACCAGCTAGTTGAGCTGTGTCACTTGCTTCATTCGCTTTATTACCAATCTTGAGGACTCCTTCTGGTGTTTCGTGATCGATGCCTTCTATAGCAGAACGGAAATAGATTGTCTCTTCCATGCCAAAGAAGATGATGACAGTGGTCACCGAGACGACGATTGTCCCAAACCAGATGGCGGCCTTCCATTCCAGATGCTTAGTTATAAACCCAGCCAACAATGGGGCTAACGCATTTGAGCCGAAGAGAATGAAGGTGTAGAATCCTATATAGTTACCACGTTCGTGGGCGAAGAATAGGTCCGGAACAGAAACCTCTGGTAGTGACTCAACAGGTGCAACAACGAGACCGATCAGAATCCGGTGAGCCCACCAAATTCCTTTAGATGTCGTGTAGGCCGTCCAGACCATGGGCCCAATGCACAGAAAGCTTGAAATGATATATACTCCACGCCTTCCATAGGTGAGCGCAATGGGCTGCCAGATTAAACAACCCCATCTTCCTGCATGTTAGCATTTATGTGTACATCAAAGGAGAGAAATTAACGCCCTGGGCTAGAGATTGGACGAACCCGGCAAATAAAAACATTAGACCTGTCCCTGTATTGAGATCCGCTAAAGCTATACCGGTTTCTTCTGAGATATTGGTCAGAATAGAGTATTGGACAGTGGTCGCAATTCCAACGCCGAAAACGTAGACGTAAACCATGGTAATGCTCCAAAGCTTACGAGCCTTGGACCAGTTGAGTGGATCTTCTGGGTCGGCACTGGGCGTCGGATTAAGGATGATAATTTCTGTGTGCGCGGCATTTCTAGAATCAGTATTGACCAAATGAATAGTCCCAGGAATGCTTGTTGGAGTAACGTGCACCATGGTGAGTGAATAGGAAACGGCGTCTCTAAGATGAAATTCTAAGCAACCTTGGAAGAGAAAGAAATAATGTAAGAGAGCAGAGCTGGAATGTTGCTTCGATCTACTTGATATAGACGTGGGCTTGTCAGCTGCTTGGATGATTGAATTTCGTGAGCTCTTCATATCAAACCAAACCCTGAGTCGATGAGTCGAGCGCTTCAAGGAGTTGCAGATGAACCCAGTGTCAAGCCTAGTATCGAAGTGGATTACTCTTAACACCTGTCCTTCTCCAAGTTGTTAGCCAACCTATCTCTGGCCCCTAGCTTTCTTGACAAGATAAAGAAATTACCCTGTCTGGAATAATAGGCTCTAATAACTTGAAATGTTCAATCACTAAGCACTAGAGCTTGGGCCTAGAGCATGAGTTCGCTTTCGCGAGGATTTTTAAATTCCTATCTAGGTAATTTTCGCTTAGCAAAACTCTAAGTCCAGGGTTCCCTATCTACGTAAAAATGTATCTAGTCAGGTCGGCTGTATGAGGGGCTAGAGACGGCTGGCGGTGACTAAGTGGGGAGTAGACTCTGGAGATAATCCAATCCAGTGGTGTGGAGTGTCCCGTGAGGCTCGCTACCTTTGGGATCATGCTCTTGCCACCTCATTCAAAGTCACAAGCATAGCTGGGGAGAACAACAACGGTAGTTATTCTTCCTCCTCGATGGGTAAGTTATAGCTACTTCGAAAGGGGGCTAGGAGTCTTTTAGTGAGCTTGAGGCTCAATTGAACGGGATGAGCCATCTCTCTTGCAGCATCAGAATACACGCCCTAGAGTTAGTCTTCTAGATTACTTCACCAAGTGAACCTGTTGGCATAATTCGCTATCTATGCCAGTACGACTTTGGAATAGAGCGCCCCCCCAACCTTTAATACAAAAGGTCACCAAGGCCATTGACTAGACGTTCTACAGACCCCATACGACATTTCCAAAATACTATTTTCACTCTCTTATCTTGGGACCGCGCACTTCACTAGCTATCTGTGTTAAATAGTATAATAGAGTAGTCTCACCATCTATAACTACTACAAGCATTAATAAAATGATTTCCGCCTCCGAAGCAGGCCTATTCGACTATATTATCGTTGTTGATAGTAACGCGGGGTGTGCGGTGGCAAGCCGGCCTTCTCAGTGGTTACCTAGCAAGAAAATCCTAATAAGAAAATCCTAATTATCGAAGCCGGGCCTAGCGATATAAGTAGTTGTCGTGAGCTAATCCTGAAAGATCGTAATGAGATGCTAGGCACTGAGGTGGACCTCAGATATACTATAGTGAAAAGCCCGAAAGGTCGCTCTTCCGGCAGGCAGGCTAGATCTCTTAGACTTCATTCAGATAGTTAACCAATCTGCAGGGTATAATTATAATAAGCACACGAGAGTAAAAATTGTCGGAGGCTGCTTGAGCGATAATGATACAGTTTGCTTAAGGACCACTGGGGGATGATGTATATACTTGCAAGAAGCTCGGTTGCAAAGGCTGGTCATCGAGATGTTCCAGCGCTGCAGGATCAGCCACGGCTCACGACGTATCCAGCCGCTCATCCTCGAGTATTACTGGATGTATCCTATAACTAACCTCCACATCACTATCCGTTCTAGGCTCTCTCCTTGCTACTCATGGGACTATTACCTGTGTTGATTATTGTTGTTGTACTGAATACTCTCCGACAATGGAGGTGGTCGTGGCTAGGAGGACTCACTCGACCTAGCTTCTCTTCAAATAGGCTCTAGTCTCAGCTTTTACAAATTATAATACAGAGGTATTTTGCATTAATCTGGAGTGCGTTTAATTGACTCCAACCTCCGCCCTGCGACATCGACCCTGCCACAACAATTATCGGTTAAACTAACTACTTCCAGGTAGGATAGTTGACTCCGACTGCACTCGCGATGGACCTTAGATGCTACCGCAAAGTAAGCCGAAGACGAGAGACATATAAAAGGGCCATTCTCGAAGCTTCTCAATCCGACCTCGTGGAATTATTTATGGGCAGTGCTGTAAATTAGTGCCGACTACTTTTGGTCGCCCAAAATATTTCGACTCAGCATTAAAACTACTTACAGGTAGTAACTCATAGAACATCTCGTTACGAATATAAGACTGGCTTGAGCATGAAACTAATACATCTCACGCTGGTATAAATGTATAGTTGAAGGTTTTTAGCCACTAGTTCATCTAGCTCAACACATAGTATATAAGTGCAAAATCTGACTTTAAATGCTCAAGGTGGGTCAATTCACTCTTGTCGATTCACTCTTGTCAATTTAATTTATATATTCTATGCTAATCTAATGCGATCTTTCCAAGGTAAAAGGGACATATAAATGCCTACGGGTTGTTTCAGACTTACTGTGAGCAAAACTTACTTTCCGCCACATCACCATCGACCATTGCCTAGATAGTATTACTCTAATATGTACTACTCATACCTTTTTGGGTTATCACAGGACCGCTTTTTGATGTGGGACAATTCTTAATATTGATACCACTAAGCACATTCCTGCTTGTCTTAGATTTATGATGAGTAATATCTCGACACAATTCTATTAGTTCATGTTAATACATCGGATCCGTGTCGGAGTTGGATCCGGCTTCCTCTTTTCGCCACCGGTAACACTCGTGCTATAATACTTCAGGAAGAGACGATTATTAGCGAATGGCATCCAGGTAACAGGACGCAGCAATGGGGGTGTCCTTTATCCGATTATGCTCGATAGATTCCAACGAGAAATTAGGTTTTCCATGGGCTACAGGTATAATGACCTTTCTAGCTCTCGCAACATACTGTATATCCATCTGTAAAATGGTCTGCGATTTCGACCACGGCAGAAGCGAGCATTAATCCAGCTATCGGCCTTCCAAGAAGCTAAGTATATTTCTTCAGTACAACTTCTTTCACTGACTTCCTCGGATTCTACTATTCCTAGTCTATATACAGCCTTACGCTATCGAGAACTATATCGTCGACAACAACCTGGCCTTCTATCTACTAGCTACCTTGAATGCGGCGTCCACGTTCGGCGTCCACGTTCGGTAGAGTCAGCTCCAACTCAATCGCAGATTACTCCCGTTTCGCCATGTCCAACTCTTGTTTGTCATCCATCAGCCGCATCCTAACGAATGCAACAGTTTAGCAGCCAACATCAAACACAACAGCACTTCCTCCTTTAATTGGTGGTGGGATATTGCCCGCAGGAGTGTTAAACAGCAGGCATTCGAGGCGATCTACCAAGGGTCGATTAAACTCGGCTCTGTAATTTCCTTAATGTCAGATATCGGAATTTCTCCTTGAATCTTTAGTAGAGGGTACATTTCGGGGAATATACGCTTACGATTGACAGCCACTTGTCTGCTTGCAGAGTGCTAAACATTCATCCTGGGTCTGGATTGTGGTTACCGCCTGGATCGGAGTGGGCGAGTTTCCAGCAGGTCCAACGGGTGCAGAGCCACAGGTATTGGCACGTTTTCGGTTTCGGCCTTGAGGTGATGCTGTACCATCTTGAGGTGCAGGAGGCGGAGTGACATTCCCGTTAACACTCAGGGGCTGAGGATTGCGTTTTCTATCATTGTTTTGTGGTGGAGGCGGGTTCACGTCCCTATTGCTGCCCTGCGTGGTCGGGCGACGGGCTTTGCATTCGTCAAGGAAATGGCTATAAGAGAAGTAAAAAAGTTCGCTTTCATTTTGGCTTTTTTCCTATCAGCTTTTGTTTTCCTCAGGAAGTATCTTTTACTTGGCGAGCCGGTCTTAAATAAGACAAGAGACTGTGAACGGCGAGCTGAAAATTGGTGTTTGCTAGTATGTGATTTCTTTTGGTTTATGATTTTCAAAAGTTTTGAATGATTCGTGTGGAATAAAAAGATTGAAATAGGTTGTAAAATAAAGTAAACATTGGTAGGTCTCGGATTGATGATAGTAGGAGGCAACCTAGCTTCAATCTAGGACAATCCATATTTATAGCTAAATCCCTTTCCATCATACCGCCGTGATAATATCACTATCTAAATTCTCTAATATTAGACTTACGCAATACTTACATAGTATAATCCGAGCTGCAAGTAGTTCTAACTAAGGTAGGGTTCCTTGATAGAGTGGACAAGAGAGTGCTAACCAGGATGATAAAGGGTATCTTTAATCGTCGGACTATATCCTAAATATAGGTATAGGATTACTAACGAAGTTAACTAACGTAATCCATAAGCTAGTGGAACACATAAGCTAGTGGAACCCTAATCCACTACCACCCATTAACTCACCCTTTGCCATCAATATCTCCACCACCATAAGCTCTATTCATTTAGAACAAGAAGGGAGGCTTTCTATGGCCATTAAAGCCATATAAGAGGGTAAAATCGCTAGTATTAGGGCCGTAGCGTACGCGTACGATGTCCTATACGTAACATTAACGCGTCGACTTCGGGGCGGCGCTCCCTAGCGTAGTACGCCTACTAAGACTCGAAAGCTTACTTAGTAGGAAGAAGAAGTCCTAGTACGGTGGATATTAGATATAGATTCGCGCGGATATACGCCTAGGGTAGGCGACGCTAGTAGGAAAGCGAATATACTACTTACTAAGCGCGTTCGTAGTACGCTAATAACGCCGTTTACTATCGGTATTAATTAGGCTACGAACTTCGTCCGTTGACGCTCCGAATTACGTTTAGATTACCTTAGGAAGAAGGACTCGTAGCGAGCTCTCTATAAAGACCCTAGCGTTATCTAGGCGTAGTTTAAATTAGTACGAAACGTTATCGCTAAATACGAGGTAGTAGACGATAATATTTAGAACTTCGACGAGACGGACTTCTAGATAGAAGTAATCTCTATAGCTCGGGTTATAACTAGCTCCGAGCGACGTAGTCGGCCCGTCGTTACTTAGCCTAGTAATCGTACGTAGACGACGGTAATCGAGACGATCGTAGTAGACGGGAGAGTATTAGATCTATTAATTATCTTCGCTAATAAGGTCTACTAGGAGTAGTAGTTCTAAGAGCTTTAAAGCGACGAGTATACTAACTAGAAGCTTACCGTTAGCGAGACGGAGTAGACGAACGATAAGATAGGCTTATAGTAGCCCTAAGAGGTCTTCGAGTCGTCTACTAGGCGCTCGAGGCGAAGTAAATACCGATTACTTATTCTAGATAGCTACTATAGCTATAATATACTCGAATTTAATAACTATTACACGAAGTACGATATTATCGCGCTTTATATACCGCTATATGCTTCCTACTTACTCTAGCCGCTTAACGTAGCGTACTTCTCGCCGCTTAAGCGAGTATACGAAAGGCGAATTAAGGAGCTAATACGCCTAAACTAATACTACGTCGATAAGAACGACTTCCTACGCCTATATATAGCGGCTCGCTTCGAGGCGTTCACGAAGTATAACGCGAGGGTAGGCTTTCGAGTAGCCGGCTTAGTATCGTACGATCTAAGCGTTATACTCGATTAATTAAGGCTAGTAGGTTTAGAAGTACGCCCGTACGCTTAGGAAATCGCTTAAGCGGAAGACTATTCTAACTCCTAGTCTAACTAACCTAGCCGCCGTATAGATAGCTAAGACTACTAATGTCAGAGCGGATGCCATAGCCCCTAGCGATTAAGCTAAAAAGACGTGGAGTATCGACACTTCGTGTCGATATCTCTGGCAATCCACTATATATACGTACTCCTTGGCATCCCGTGACAACTAAGTACGCTATTTACGCGTTCTAACTAGCGTAGGAGCGAATTACGGAGCTAGAGGAGCTTATATAAGTAAGGAAGAAGAGGAAGACGACAAGGAGGAAGTATATTAAGAACGGTAAGCTACTTAGTACGAGCGACGTACGTTAAGAGTACGTAGACGAGTCCGACGAGGAGGACGAGGATACTATTTTTATTCGCGTTGCGGGCGCTCAGCGGCGTTGTAGGCGGTGTAGTACGATAGGGCATAACGCTAGGACGTGTCAAGCATTAAATATAACAGCTTAATGGCGAATTGGGTGCGATTTAGCGTCGGTGTGGTTAATAGAGCAAGCAGGAAGAGTGGTAGTGGTGGATTAGTGTTCCACTAGCTTGTGTGTTCCACTAGCTTATGGATTACGTTATAGTATTTTATTAATATATATTACTACTAGTCGTTTTGATTAGGAGCTTATAGCACATACACTCACAACTCTACACTTGACCTTAGGCATTTTAGTTTAAAACAAAAGATTTAAACGGTAAACACTAAAGGCAACGTCGATTACGTGCAAGTCCAGCAGGTGCAATGAAGACTGTGTTCAAGAATGCTCGCTTTTTCACCGGTAGTTCTGCCGCCGCAGACCACTTCGATGTGATCGAACATGTCGGCTCGTACTCTGGCACGCAAGTAGCGACTGCCGAGAAAGATAGTGCTGAAGTGCTTGACATGAATCAGCGTACATTGGCTCCAGGTTTCGTCGACGGGCATATGCACTTGTTGATGTTTGGTTCGTCGTTGCAGAAAATCAGCCTCGATCACTGCAAAACCCTTCAGGACATTCAGGCTACCATCAAGAATGCCGCGAAGCAGGATAAAACCTTGCCACGGATTCTCTGCCAGGAGTGAATGCACTTCATGACCGACTCAAAGGCATTGGCAAGTGACTTGGACGGGCTGGACGAGCTTAATCGACCCATCTTCATCGACTCTAAGGACTTACACTCGACGTGGTGCAATTTAGCAGCCATGTCAGATATAGGCGTGAAAGACATGTCTGATCCACCAGGGTGGCAAATCCACCGTGACAAGCAGGGTAATGCTACAGGATTACTTAGTGAGGCTACCGTAGTCACCATTGTGTGGCCTCACCTTGCTAAAGTGGCGTCGATGGAAGCAGAGAAATCTGCAATCAGGTAGCTGTCAAGACATATAATGTAGCGGGATATACGGGTATGGTGGAATGGCCATAGACGAAAACGTATGGGAAGCCCTGCTTGGACTGAGGTCACAAGAGGAATTGACGATACGCCTGGTCATATATTGGTTGATTTATCTGTCCAAAACTAACGAGGAAAGTCTAGCTCAGGTTGATCGTGCGATCGAATTATGGAAGTAATATAATTTGGACACTTCGCCCAATTTTCGTATTCCTGGAATTAAGGCGAGCGGCGACGGTGTGATTGATACTTGCACTGTCGCATTATTACAACCGTACTCCTCTAACGGTGTCAGTTACGAGCCACTATAGAACGTGGGACACCTGAAAGCAGTTGTTCAAAAGGTAGACGCTGCGGGCATATAATGCGCACTACATACCATTAGAGATACGACGATTAAAATGATCATCGACGTGCTCGAGATAGTTGCATCTAGTGGTCGCCGGCATCGCATTGAGCATCTTGAGCTTACCTCGCCTGGGGACGCCAAACGGCTTCAAGAGGCTAGCATCACCGCGTCTATTCAGGCAGTCCATGCCGACCCTTCGATACTGCGAGAGTGGAACAATTTGCTGGGAGAGGAAAGAAGAGGCCGGGCATTTACATATCGAGAAGTTTTGGACGAGAGGGTGCATCTGGCGCTCGGTACGTATGCTCCCACTGCTCCAAATCTACCTTTGCCAAATATGTATACTGCAACAACTAGACGGTCAGCCAGAGAGCCATCCTCTGATGAAGTGGTCAATAAGTACTTCGCGCTGCCTTTGTTGAATGCATTTACTGCGGCCACACACGGAGCGGCGTATTCATGCTTCATGGATAATATCACAGGCAAGCTCGAAGCTGGAAAGAAAGCAGATTTCATTGTTCTCGACATGGAATGGTCACCAGATGACTTGCTGCAGGCGAAGGTGCTACAAACGTGGCTCGGCGGGAAAAGAGTCGCACCGTCATAATTATCTCTGACCACTGATAAGATATGATGATTTTATATCCATTGCGGAAAATCATGACAGAACGGTCGAAGCTTTGGCTAAAATATCGTGCATATACTCTTCCAATCGTTCTCCATCAGTCAAGACGAGGACGAAGACACCCTTCTCACCTTTTCATCAATGTGTTCTGCAAGTCCTCCTGCACTGTCTTTTGCGTCTTGAGCTGTTTCTTTGCGCAGTCATCGCGTCCTTACTGTTTTCTTCCACCGCTTTTGGTAAGTCGGCGTCGATGTCCTTTGTATCGTCTGTGGCTGCTTGTAATCTCTCCTTCTGGGCCTCGAGGGCATCTGTTGCCGCTTAGTTGTTTGCAGACAGGGCACGGTCTGATTGATCCTCACCATTACCCGTACTCTCGCACGACTTGTTGCCCGACAACATGCTTCCTACCTTTCCTGCACCTGCACCGAGAGCTCCTCCCGCAAATTGTATTGTGCTTCCAACACCGTCACCCACTCCCTAAACGGTGCCTAGGTATCATTAGAGCCTTCCCCCAAGTATAGAATAGGTTATGGCTTGCCTGCCACACCCTCACCGAGTGTTCCGACTGTGTTGCCAACGGCGTCAACTACGCCTTTAACTCCGCCACCGACCGTACCACCGAGGGCTTGGACTGCGCTTTGTGTATTCGAGGTGATCCCCTTGGCTTGGTCTTGAGGAATCTTGCCTGCAACGGCAGTCCTGCAACGTTATAATCAGCCATTTTGGTCCGTAGCTTTGTCATAGTCTCACTGTGTTTGATCTACAAGTTTGTTGGCTTTTGGATCACTTGGAAAAACGTCTAGATCATTAACTCGATTTTCTGCTACCTTGACCATTTATGAGCTGCGAATAGTGGTAATGATATCACCTCAGGCGAACGTTCAGACGCAGGCGAAGAGCAGGGACACCACATCATATCGTGTCTGGCCTACCGCATGATCATGACGTGACGTAAAACAAGATGAGTCTGGTCATGACGATATCTCACAGCACGCATCTCAAGCATTTCCAACGCAGCCGTCTAAATGAGACGAGGGGACATGAGGTAGACAGCGATCACAGCTTGAAATAGGTCATTGCTGTCACCAAGAACTGCGGGCTGCAGAGGTGTGATGAATGGACAAGCTTCGCTAAACCTTCCTCCAATTTCCACTCATATTATTCTCAATCGTCGTGTCTGTGGTGACAAGTTTAACCATTTCCTTGGACTCTACACTCAGACACCTTAATGAACAGCTTGTACCGTCGTCTTATCCTGTTCAACTTGCTGCTCCGACATGAAAGGCGCAGCAAATCCATATGTCTTATACCCTTGTGAATAGTCCTTACCCTCGACCCGCTCTGCAATTCAGATTAGCAACTCTTCCTAAAGCAATATCGGATGTAAAAGTCAACTCACCACTATCAGGTGGAAAATTCTCTCTTCTATGTCGGTAATATTCTTGTCTGAGGTTCTCCCCGTCGCTTTTGCCATGGTAAGTGGCATAGATCATGCTTCTGCTGGTGTTGGTTCGATTAGGTCCACTCCGGTGTGCAAGGTGACTACCGAACAATAGCATATCACCCGGATGCAGAGGGACTTTTCTCCACACATGGCTATCTTGCCATGCTTGAGAGATGGCACCGCCATGTGACAGTTCCACGTCCATCTTATGTGAACCTGGAACAACTTCAATACACCCATTCTCTGGCGTTGCTTCGTCGACGGAGAAGTTTGTAGTCAAATGTTCGATCTTGCCGATATGGTCATATGCAGGAGCATCGAGATGTGCAGCGAACCCATTTCCAAGGGGCAGCTTGTAATTGATCTTGTCCTTGAACAAGAGCATTTCCTGCAAGAAAATCTGTGAGCACCTTGCCATCTGTGTGGACCTCTTGGCCTTTCGAAGGATTTCTGAAGCTAAGGAATCAACTCACATCCCCAGAAATGCTCTTCAATATTTGCGCAATAGCGTCTCCACAAAGCAACTCCTTGAACTGGGAATGATAGTCGACAAAGTTCTCCGTCCTCATCAGTTGTCTTTCTCCACTGACATTCACCTCATGATACGGCATCCATTTCCCCTTCGCAGCCGGCCACTCTTTGACCTGTTTTGTCCACTGCTGGAGGTCCCTTGGGTCAACAAGACCATGTTCCTCCGCTGGGAGCAACAAATATCCATCGCGATGGTATTGCTCGATGAGTGCCTGTGTCGGCACGAAGGAGTTCATTTCGAATGGTTGCCAAGAAATATGTATGATATGAGTATAGAACGGCTTATCCTCAACAAAGGAGTCTGGCCCGATGGATATCTACCTAGGTAGGTATTACCTATCACTTATCGCTATCATATTGTCTAACACTGCTCCCTTTCTATGGTTTAAGTAGAACCAACCCGCAGACTTCTTGTGAACCATCGGGCTTCGTGCCGCAAATACACGTGACCCCGCTCTCCACACCCATTGGACAATCCCATAAAATTACTACATCGATATTCGTGCCGACGTGGACCATGCCATCGGCACTCGTCCGACTAGACATTCCTCAGAGTTGGCACATTACCCATCGCATGCTGTCCAGACGAGTGGAGAATGATCCAGGAAGAGGCCACAATGGGTTTCTCTCGAGTCCTCACGACTCGCGCTCGAACCCACCGAGTCTGTTTGTGCAACACAGTCCGACTTTCTCGGCTCACAATCCGCTTCCGAACCCAGGCAGATCTACAAAGAAAGGCCTCACGGGCAACACTTCACTAATAACAAGGGTCATAGCGACTAGAAAGGATAGATATATATTCTCGAGTGCACTCGCTTCATCTCAGATCTCGCCATCTCTCATTTCACAACTACATACAACACCAACCACATACACACCGCAGTACACAGTCCATATTTCAAGTAAGTAGAAGTGAATCCAGGTATAATGCTCCCCTCAATCGAAACCCACGCCGAGTCTACAATCAACCACCTCTTCAGCTTCATCACCGCCCAAGGCCACACAGACTACATAGGCGAAGCGGTCTCGCAACTCGAACACTCTCTCCAAGCCGCCCAATTGGCCGTCGAAGCTGGCGCGGACAATGAAACCATCCTCGCTTCCTTGCTCCACGACGTGGGCCGTTTCATCCCCGCCGCCGACAAGATGCCAGCCATGATCGCCCCTAACGGCACCTACGTCGGCCGCGAGTCCCACGAGGTCCTGGGCGAAAAGTACCTCCGCTCCCTCGGCTTCAGCGACAAGATATGCCAATTGGTCGGTGCGCACGTCATGGCAAAACGATACTTGTCCGCCGTCGATAAGAAGTATTACGATGGGTTGAGTCAGTCGAGTAAGACGACGTTGAAATTTCAGGTGAGCCCATCCAGTTCTGTGTTGTAACCTTTCGCCGCCTGTGGTTGCTTCAGCGCTATGGCACAGTAATCTGAGTGATGGATGGCTAATGATCACGCTTGAACAGGGTGGTACATTTACCGAGGACCAAGTCCGCGAAGCAGAGAAGGATCCTCTTCTGATGGCCAAACTCGCCGTCCGCAGATGGGATGATATGGCCAAAGTGCCTAACCAAGAGACTCTGCCACTGAAATACTATGAACAAATGGCTAAGAAGAGCCTAGTCGGTAAGATTCACTCATCCTTACTAACTTCACGCTGAGAGTACTAACCTTGCCCAGAATCACGATCTGCATTTGAACTTCATGGTCGAACATACAAACTCCCCACACGACCAACGGTAGCAATATGTATTGATGGTTTCGACCCGGAGTATCTGTCACGGGGTATCGCCGATGGAATTCTGCCCAATATGGCAGCGATGGTCAAGTCCGGATTCTCGACAATCGCAAACTGTACCATGCCATCCCTCACCAACCCGAACAATGTCTCCATCATCACAGGTGCACCTACATCCAAGCACGGTATTGCAGGAAACTTCTTCCTGGATCGAGCCACTCGTGAAGAGCACATGGTCCTCGACGACTCCCTTCTCCGTGGATCGACGATCCTGGAGCAAATGTCGAATCGCGGTGTACGTGTTGCGGCAGTCACAGCCAAGGAAAAGCTTAGAGCAATCATTAACCACGGCCTCGACGTTAAAAATGCTGGAGCTGTCTGCTTCTCAGCACAGTATGCTTACAAGAGTACCCAAGAAGCCAACGGCATCGAGGATGTTGAGAAATGGCTTGGCCGGCCCACACCAACTCAATATTCCGGTGACTTGTCACTCTTTGTGCTCGAAGCAGGCATCAAGCTTCTCGAAGAGGACAAGGCTGACCTATTCTATCTGACATTGTCGGATTATGTGCAACACAAGTACGCTCCTGGAAGCAAGGAGGCGAACGAGTTCATGTCGGGAATCGATCAATGCATTGGTAGATTGATCGAACTGGGCGCAGTTGTTGCGGTGACGGGTGATCACGGTATGAGCGACAAATGTAACGCGGATGGCACCCCCAACGTCTTATTCTTAGAAACGGAGTTGAACAACAAATTCGGTAAGGACTTTGCCAGAGTGATCTGTCCGATCACCGACCCCTTCGTGAAACATCACGGCGCGCTCGGATCTTTTGTGCGCGTGCATTTGAATCCGAAAGCCACCGTACCGGTTGAGGAAGTTCTTGAGTTCAGCAGGACCTTTTCACAGGTCATAGTTGCTCTCGACGGCAAGGCGGCAGCCGAGAAATTTGAGATGCCTCTGGATCGTGAAGGCGATTTTGTCGTCGTTTCGGTGAAGAATGCGGTCATTGGCAGTCGGCAGGAGGAACACGACTTTGCAAATCTGAAAGGCCATCGGCTCCGATCGCACGGCGGCCTTTCCGAGCAACAAATTCCCCTGTTGAGGTCTTTACCAACCAAGGACCAAGCTGGTGATCGACAGTGGCACAACTACGATATTTTCGAGATCCTTCTGAACTACTGAGCTATTTAAGTCGGCCACCCATGTAATGAGACACCCGTGTAATGTGACACGCTTTTTTTGGCGCGTCCCAGTACTGCTCCTTCTCTTCCATATCCAACTACTCTACCAATCCACCTATTTATACGATAAAATGGCCTCAAATCGAGAGATGAGAATGCTCCAAGCGATATCCGACTACTAAACTCGTCGATACACTAGTATTCGCGCTGCTGCGGCGGCTAATGACGTTAGTCGAGTTAGTCTTAGTCGTCGACTACAAGGTGGTATTTCACGAGTAATTGCTCGTGAACCACAGTAACTACTATCAAATGAGCAAGAGCAAATACTTGTAGGGTGGATACTTGACCTTAAGGTACAAGGACACCCTCCTAGCTTTACTTAAATACAAGATTTCGTCGTTATTATTTGAGACGATTCTATAGAGTCATTAAGTATCGGTCATAATTAGATATTACGGTTTATTCTAAAGTAGGTAAAAAGATCTATAGCCTACATCTTTAAAGTACTACTCCTAAGTCCTTAAATCGCTAGTTTAAGCTTTTTAATGCTATCCTAGAGAAATATCGCGTTTCCTAGAATAATATCTATAATATAGATAAAATAGGCATTATATTCGGTGTTCATAGTAACTAAGTAGTAGTTAGTAAGATAACTACTACCTCATCGAATAAGGTAATACTGGAAAACCGTAAATAGATCTCTATTATCGAGATAATCTTAGTAATTAACCGTCGGCTATAATGTCTCGTTATATTTAGAGGAAAAGCGCTCTAAACGACCTAGTTTACTAACCCTAACACTCCTAACTACTCCTATACGGTTTTACCTAATAGATAGACCTTAAATAATATTAGATTAGCCTAGCTACGTTAAATATTCATCCTATAAACGGTAACGGACGACTATCGACTACTTCTACTCGATGGACATAAAAGTTATACGACGTACGAGTTTATATAGGAATATTATATAAATTAAATTACTCTAGTCTATTTAATACCTTATTTAAGTTATATTCTATAGCTACTTAATCTTATTTACTTTTCGCTCCTTACATATCGATATCGAGACGAAATCGCTAACCTAGCTAGGTATGACGACACCTCGGTCGTAAAGAAGAGTAAGTTTCTTAAATCCTATAAAAAAGTAAGTAATAAAGGCCTTTTATTATTTCGTATCCGCGCGGAATAGAATACGACTAGTATCTATCTATAGAACCCTTATAAAGTTATTCGATCTTATTAAGTTCTATAAAACCTTTAAAATAAGTAAATACTACTAACTACACCTCCGTTACGTAGGTAAGCTTAGTACGTATCGTATAATATTTATACGCTACTTACTCGATAGTAAGTACGACGAGAAATAGACTCGATTTCAGCCTAGGAGATACTTTCTCGTCTAGTGCGTCGACTACTTTAAAAAACGAGCAAGGCATTTAATCGACTATAATAGGATATTGCCCTAAAATCGTAGGAACTCACTATTTAGCGTATACAACTAAATAAGCTAACTACTATAAGGTAACGGCGAGTCGCAATCGACTATAATAAGGTCTTTGCGAGTATCGAGATAATTAGGTAGGCTAGGCAGGGTATGGAGGCTTTAGAGGCGACAGCGAGGTCTACCACGTAGGCAAATACTAGGAATTCTACGCGGAATAGATAGTTGAATGACATACTTACACTATTTATACATCAATTTAGTGTCAATGACTCTATAGAATGGACAATTCATAAAATGGCGGTTGGGGTGGCAATATCGAGGCGTGTCACATTACACGGGGTGTCTTATTACATGGGTGGCCGACTTGCGGCAAAGTTCAATGTGTCTGCATTGAGTTCAAGTCTAGGTCGAAGTTGAATTCCGCACCAGGAGAGTAGAAAAAGTCGTAATTCTCAAGAAACATCGCATCCGTCGGACTCAACCATTGGGCATCTGGGTCGAAGGAAACAGATGGGCCACCAGGAGCCACAGGCTGTGATGATATGTCTCCTTCAGGTATGGGAGGCCGCTGTGAGAAACACTCCAGAAGCTTCTGCATGCTGCTTGCAATGCTAGTCAACAAATGCCGAGGGTGCATGCTTGCTGTAATATTCTTTAGTACTTTTACCAAGCTATCCAGAGTCTCCATGATGGGTTCTTTGTCGATTCTAAGGCTCAATGGGTTCTTGATGGTGACTTTTAATAGGAAGATAAAAGCAAATGCAATCATAGTGTCGAAGTACGCAGGCAATCCTTGTATATAGGATTGTATCTCCTGATCTGCGACAATGACAGCTAGGATTGATGTTGCAGAATGAATGGCCATGTTCGCAAATTCTTCCAGGTCAGAGTCAAGTTGGACTTGTTCATCATTTGGTGAAGGTGCCCGTCGGAATACGTGGGAACATAGATATAGCTTTGCAAAATGGTAATGTAAGCCTACTCCTTTCCGTGGGTAGTTTCCGACACAAGAGTTGTACCCGAAGCGTTCCTGCCAGTCTGCTCTCCACGTGTCCAGGGCGATACTCAGTCGGCGAATGTGAGGGGTTAATTGCTCGGACAAATGAGCTTCTGGGTCAAGGCTAAATTGGTCAAAGACACGAGTGGTGATAGTCCAGACTTCGACCTGACTGACAAGTCGAGCGTCTTCCTCGGTGGCAAACTCGGATTTCAAAAATTCACTTGGCGGAGTGACTGAGCCGAAGTCGCGGGTCAGCGGTGGTCTCCCGTACGTAATTGAGAAATGATGATCGCAAACAAAGACGAGATAGTAAAGACGAGTGCGGAGGTAGCAAGCCTTTTTCTCATGCGGGGCTTTAGGTATGCATCGATGTAAGTTCAGTTCTCCAGCAAGACGGGCGGCTGTTTACGTGGTCGGATCAGTCAGTAAAAGTATAGCGCGAGGTCAGAAGCGGGTCGCCTACCTGTGCCAACCAATGTCCATGAAATATCACTTAGCCAGAAAGCGCCGATACAAAGAGCCCTCACATCGTCGTGATTGTTTCTCTTTGAGAACATTCTTGTCGACGCCAAATTGACAAAGTGTTGGTAGCATGCTTGATAGTGCGAAGAGGGTGTATGAAGGGCTCCGACGGCACAGATTGCGGCAGTCAGAAGAGGCGAGCTCTTCCTGACACTTGCCAATGAATCATGCTCGTCCAAGATTCTGTAGAGGAAGTGATCCAGGCGCTGATAATATAGCGTAAAGAAGGATTCGGCGTCGACCATGCTGATAACCCCGCAATCTATAATGTCGAATTCACCAGCCATTTGACTTCGGAAGACACTGGGCGAAGCGTCAGAAACCTCAGAGACAACCGATGCAGGCACGACACCGGGACCTCTGTTCAAGTCCATCACAACTTCCCAGCTTGACTCGTTTTGTTGCTTCTCCTGTCGATGCTGGTGCTGTGTCGGGGCGGGCATGACTCCCCCCGAAGCTCCCTGTATTTGAGCCGGAGTACTATTTTCCTGAGGACTAACGTATGTCGAACTATTTGATGCGGAAACATTGCATTGTTGGTTGAGTCTGCCGATATCATCCTCGAGTTGTCGTAGCTTCTGCTCAATGTTGGCCTTCCAGCTTTTGACACCAGTGTCAGTCAGGGTCGAATCATGCTTAGGTGTTTCACTTACGCCACGTCGCCCTCCAAGATCATCTGCAAACTTCGATTTACCACGCATGACAATCCCCTCTTCCTACATCGCGTGCATGGTGGTGTGCCGTCTGTCATGTGACATTTGATTTTCTGTTTCCGGCAGGCTACACAGGCAGTAATTTTTCGGCTGATGTCGATGGGTTTACGATCACCGAAAGACTCCCGCAAAGCCTGCGCGGCGGACGAGCCGGCCTCTATGTCGGCATCCATTGCGATCCGGGCAGACCTGGCTGTAAGAGCATGAGAAGGTGATCACAGCCATGTCTATGAACATGATGGCTCGGAGTTACTCATGGCGGCATCGTTTGATGTGATTATGTTGTCGTCGGACATTGGCCAATCACCAGCAAAAATTCCAGGCATCCACGTGCGAATGACCCGACGCCGATTGGCCCAACGGAACAATTATTCTCCCTGCTTCAAGGTATCAACGGCCACCAAGACTCTGTCCACCGTCTCTTTTTCGCCTGATCCATTTCCCTGCCTGGCCATCGCTCGACCTCCGATATGTAATATGGAGTCAAACGAGGCCTCCATGTCTGGGCTGCGGGCTTCATGCCGCAGAAAAAGAGGTTTCGATGTCTCACGTTCTACCTTCTATCATCTCATTGGTCTCCATCATTTGACAACTCTTGCACGTGTTGAGCCTCGGAAGCTCCATTCGTTTTGGTCTTCCATGCTCACATATCATTTTTCTTCCATCTCGATATCTCGTTATGCCGCGACGGGGCTTGGCCCGAGGTCGAACAAGGCTGAGTGAACCCCCTTGTATAACCAGGAATTGATATATCTAGAGCCAGTCGAGCCGGGGAAGTTGAACCTCGACAAGGCACTTCAGCAGAGTCAAGTCGAGTTCAGCCATTATCACAGACAATAGACAGTCCGCTACTTGACACAGTACACCTCAGATTACCAACAGAATGCCTTCCTCGTCGTACTTCTCCAAGCTGAAGTTCTTGATCGTTGCAGGAGTTGGCCTCTTCGGTGATGGGTACTTGAACATTTCCATTGGACTTGGTGAGAGTTTCATCATCCATATAGCAGGTCTTTTCTAACTCATCCCAGTCGTCCCAATAATCGGCTACCTCTACTTCGATGACGAGAAGAACAAAATTCCCACTATATCTGGGGATCTTATCAAGTCTGGCCTCGCTATTGGCATGGTGTGTGGTCAAGTCGGCTTTGGAGTCTTTGGTGATGCTCTCGGGCGCCACAGGATCTATGGGAAAGAACTCATGTTCACAATCTTCGGTACTTTGATGGTCATTCTCATGCCATGGGGCCACATTTCTCACGAAAGCGTACTTGCCTGGATGACTGTCTTCCGCATCGTGACTGGATTCGGTACTGGAGGAGGTAAGTTGATCATTGACGGAAAACCAAAAAGCAGCTGGCTGATGCGTTTCAGATTATCCAATGACTTCGTCCCTATCTGCTGAACACACTCCAATGGGATCCCGTGCGAAATTTGTGGCAACAATCTTTTCCTTCATTGGTCTTGGCAGTATGACTTCAAGCATCGTCTACCTGGTGCTTCTAGCCGCATTCAAGTCCTCGGTCAACAAGAATATCCACCACCTTCAATGGGTCTGGCGGTTGCTCTTTGGCATTGGCCTCATTCCTCCCACCTGCACCTTATACTTTCGCTTGACGATGCCTGAAAGCAAGCCCTATGAAAATTGTATGACAAAATCTGCGTGCCCATACTCAGTGCTGACCACCCTATAGATGTTGCAAAGGAGACGTCTCTGAAACACAATGGCCAGCGAGGCCTTCATCAGCAATGGCGAGATTTCAGAGAATACTTCTCCGAATGGAAACACGCCAAAGTACTGTTTGGTGTCAGTGCAGCCTGGTTCCTCTTGTGAGTTCCCTTGAAGAGTTTCTGATGCATTTGTGTTTTGGTCCACTGACTTCATGCTAGTGACATTGCATTCTACGGGATCAACCTGAACCAGTCTATCGTGCTATCGAAGATTGGCTACGGCAAAGCCGACACACCGTGGGGCACTCTGTGGAATACGGCCGTTGGTAACATCATCGTTTCTTCTGCTGTTAGTACCTAGTTACCAACTTCACAATCACCTCATCTACACTCAAGCTGATAAAATTGTGTCAGGGATACCTTCCTGGATTCTACATTGGTATCTTTCTGCCCGACCTTGTCGGAAGAGTCAGTCAACAATTCTGGTGCAGTGTTGGCGTCGTCATTCTCTATGCTATCTGGGCCAGCGTATCCAACCACACTTCTACTGGAGGACTCGTCACCATCTTCACTCTGTCTCAACTTGTCCTGAACATGGGGCCAAACGTTTCGACCTTCCTCTTACCTGTCGAGGTCTTTCCCACCCGTGTCCGAGGCACCGCTCATGGCATCGCCGCCGCTTCAGGGAAAGCCGGCGCTATCGTCACATCTTTTGCATTTGGCTCTTTGACTGACGCCATCGGCCTTCCAGGCGTTCTCGGATTTCTCGCGGGCATCATGGCCCTATGTGCCGCTGTGACTCTCCTGATCCCTGAGACAAAAGGTCGCACTATTGACGAGATTGAGCGTGGCGTTTTTTATGGGAAAGACAACAGCGTGCTGACTACGAGCGCTGAGTCTTCTCCTGAGCTGGAAGGCCGCGATCAGATCTTCCCCAAGTCAGCCGAAGTTTAAGAAGACGACCGATATGAACCAGTAACAAACCTTAGATCTATAGCGGGACCATGACGGAGCAGGTATAACGCCCTTTCTTATGAGCATGTCATTTATTTGCATACTAGTGGCGATAATCGGCTTGGACAGTCTACGTCCTATGGCCGTCTTTTTCCCCAAAAAGACCAACTCAAGAGTTCATTAAGAGCTCGTGGACGTATATTCCGAATTCTTCTCTCGGACATGCTAGCTTTATCCATACAATTATTAAACGACCTTTGAAATGAACGTAAATTTATTAAGATCTGAATGAATATTACAATAAAAGCGCCGTAATAAAGTAGTTGTGTCCCCAAACCAAAACGATAATATTATCTATAACCGGAAACCTATACCTAGTGTTATCTCTGTCCCGGAGCCATTTTCTTGGCCAGTGAATCACTCATCGCAAATTTCCTCGTACAATATTACGATCCCCTTCTAAATTCGAGTCTTTTACAAGATCTCAATAAGTCCAGGACCGGTAATGGTGACTTTAGCTACGTCTTCAGCACTAGTAAAGGGGCCGGAGCTATTCGTCAATGCGGCAATAGTCAACCCATTAAGAAGGTTCTCGTTGTACGGGAAGAAGGCGTCGAAGGTAGCCACGCCATTAACAACCTATGCGTTTTCGATCTTCTCGACAATCGGGATATTTTGGCTATTAATATACACGAGGCTTAAGTATTACGAACTAGGTCACTTGAAAGGTTACCAAGGGAATCAATGCACCTACCTAGGGAAGGAAGTTAGCCGATGGAGAACGAGGCTATATTACGTGACTAGGTAAGGCTAGATCTACTGAATCCCTTAGATCTTATGGATCTTAAGAGATCTAGGGAGAGCTATAAGATCTAGGGAGAGCTACTAGTAATATATATATATACGCTTACTATCTTCGTTAAGATAGAATATAGTTAACTTCGTTAGTAATCCTATACCTATATTTTAGGATATAGTCCGACGATTAAATATTCCCTTTATTATCCTAGTTAATACTCTTATATCTACTCTATTAAGGAACCCTACCTTAGTTAGAACTACTCGTAGCTCGGATTATAATAGATCTTAACTCTTAGAAAACGAAAGATCCCTAGCTATATCTCTTCTTCGTCGCCTTTCGCTTCCTCCTCCTTAGCCTCGTTACTTACGTAGCTAGTTTCTTACTCTAGTTATATAGTTATAGACCTTAGTCTAGTCTACTTACCGTCTATTTTAAGAAATAGATTTATTTCGTTCCGTATATAAAACCTCTTTACTCGATTAGCTAGGTACCTCGCTCTTATCTATAATTCGTTAAGCTCTAAGAGAGTATACGATCTATATTCTCTATTAATCGCCGTTACCTTATACGGTCCGAGCTAGCGAAACTATAGCTTAGCCTCTTTTAAGAACGTATTATAGATTAATACTAAGTAACTAACTTTAATTTCTTCTTTTCTTATCTATTTCCTCTAATTAAAACTCTCTTTTCCCTACTCTCTTACCCTCCTAAGACGAAGTTTAACCTCTTCTAGATCTTCTTCTCTTATTTATAACGCTCTTATACGAAAAGTAATTAACTCTTTACGACCTTTCACTACTTCCTAGTTTAAAATATTCTAAGTTATAATACCTAGCTTAATTAGAAGTATTAGTCTATTAAGAAACTCTACTTTATAGGAAGTAAGTCTAGTACTACTCCTTACTATTATACGGTCTACTTAAAGTACCGCGTATAAGTAAGATATCTAGTTAGATCTATTCTATTTTAATATCTTAGAAAGAGCCTTAACGATCGATTTATAGCCTACTTCTACTATTCTATTAGCTTACGAATAATATACTAAAATATTATAATCCGAGCTATAAGTAGTTCTAACTAAGATAGGGTTCCTTAATAGAATAGGTACTAGAGTATTAACTAGGATAATAAAGGGAATACTTATTCGTCGGACTATATCCTAAAATATAGGTATAGGATTACTAACGAAGTTAACTATAAACTATACTTATCTAGGTAAAGGAGCGTATATATATAATACTAGTCTAGACTATAGACTTACTTAGACTAGACTTATAGTCTATAGTCCTCTATAGTCTATCTCTTATTACGTAACGTAGCCTCGTTCTCTATCGACTAACTTTCTTATTTTATCTAAGTACGAGTAGCTTATTCTTAGCGACCCTTTTAGTAACCTAGTTCGTAATACTATTCCCCTCTCTTCCTATTCGTTACTCTTAACGTATATAAGGTAAGTATTATTCGCCCGAGGCGGTCTATCCTCCTTCTTCCTTTCTATAGCTAACTATACCTTCTAAAGCCTCTCTCTCTAAATCCGAGTAACTCCGACGTCTTACCGCTAAAATTAAACTTTCCGGTTTTAGCTTTAAAACTATAGTCCCTTATCCTTAATACGTTAAGGCGTATAAAATATATATTATTCGTAAGGGTTACTCCCGTTATTCCGTCTATATACGAAAAAATATTATATATAGTAGTACTTTCTTAAATACCGAATTCGATTACTTAGAGAATAAGAAACGCGAGCTACGAGAGAAGAACGAGAAACTATACTAGAAACTAGCTAGCCTAGTTCGTCGTATTATCGCTACCTAAACCGAATAGTTTAAAGTTAAAGTTCGCCTCGAGAAGATTACTAAGAAGTAGAGCGAGATAGTAGATCGGAAAGCGCGGATCCTTAGAGAGTTAGTTAACGACGGTCTCGGCGAGTTTAACTTCGTCGTAATAACTAATAATTTCCTAATAGAAGAGTCTTCTTAGCTAGACTACTCCGCTAGTAATATTAGGTAATAAGTTTCGAATTAAGGTTTATTTTCGGTTCCTAAGTATTTTCTTCTTCTAGATATCCTAACTATCTAATTAGGTATTTTATTTAGTTATTTTCTTATCTATACTAGAGTATAGTTTCTATATTATAATAGGGTTCTTAGGTTTCTTCGTCGATATATATCGGTCCTAGTCTAGCTTCGTCTAGAGCTTTTTCTAATAGTAATTTATAGAATACTAGATATATATTTAATCCTCCTAGTAGGTATAGCTTATAGAAGACTAGTTCTAGTATCTTTCTAATTCGATATAGACTAATTTTCGTATAATCTAGTTTCTTACTTAGTCTCTATATTTTTATATTTTTTATATTAACGTAAACTATTTCCTCCTCTCGGAAGTCTAGTTCCTTAGATCTTTTTCTATTTACTATTTTTATAGTTATTTTTAATATTTTATCTAATTTTATTTTTAGTAGAAAGTATAACTTATATAAGTCCTCGACTTTTATTCTTACCTTTTCCGCTATAGGTCTATCGCCTAACGGTTCTTTCTTAAAGTCTAGGTATCTCTCGTAATTCGTAAAGAACGGCGATATTTCGATTACTAATATATTATTATTAAAAGCGAATTAAGCTATTAGTAATAACTCGACCTAATTCCTTTATTAGTAATCTATATAGTATCGTAGGTATTATTCTATCGTCTAATTCGTTCTTTCCGTTTATTTATTCGTCTATAAATAATACGACGTTAATATTTTATACTTAATTCCTAGTAGGTCGGTTAACGACTACTAGAACTATAAATTAAATAGTTTATTTCTATCTATAATAATAACCTCTAGTATTCCGTATTATACGAATACTATCCTCGTAACTACGTATACTAGTTTCTCTACTATCGATACTTCCTTATATAGTAGTAGGTAAATATACTTTATTAGTATATCGTTTATTATAAGTATACTATTATATATTACGCCCGTTATAGATTCTCTCGATAGTAGTAGCTTAACTATAAAGTCTATTACTATCCTTAACTATACTTTATCTATATTTTCCGCTAATTATAGTAAGTCGTATAGTTTATATCTAGAATATTTAGCTTTATAGTATATATCGTAATTCTTAACGTATTCCTTAACGTCTTTTCTTATTCCCGTCTAGATAAAGTCTCGTATTACTAATTCGATTATTTTATTAATACCTAGGTATTCTACGCTTTTATTATTATACCTTATTTATATAATTTTTTACTTTTATTCTATTATTAGTTCTATTTCTAGCGTAGTAAGTATTTTTATTTCTATTTTTTTTTTATATATTAGGTAATCTTCTCTTTTTTCTAGGAGCGCTACTAGCTTCGGTTCTAGTCCTTCTATATAGTCTATTCTTCGACTAAGGGCGTCGGCTATAATATTCTCTATTTCCCGAATATATATAATTTTAAAATCGTAAGAGGCTAGAGTTTTAGCCTATCTAACTTATCTTCTATTAAGTTCTTTAGTTATTATCTAGTACGTTAGGTTCTTATAGTCGGAGTATATTCGTATTAAGTATTTAGCTCCCTCTAGATATACTCTCTATATTTTTAGGTATTCTACTACTACGAGTAGTTCGTTATCGTAGATATCGTAATTTACCTCGAGTCCGCTTAACTTTCTTAAATAGTATACTACTAGATAAAGCTTCTCTTATTCGTCTTTCTATTTAAGATAGCCTTCTATTACTTTATCTAAGGCGTCTATTTCTACGATTACTTCCTTTTCTAAATCGAAAATATATAAAATTAGTATAATTATTATCCTCCGCTTTAGCTCTTTAAAGGCGTTCTTATATTTTTCCCTAAAATTAAAGGTTATTTCTTTCTTAGTTAAGTTAGTAATTAGTACTACGATTTTCGAGAAGTTCCTTATAAACTTTCGATAATAATTAATTAATTCGTAGAACGCCTATACTTCCTTAACTATCGTTAGTTCTAGTTATTCGTCGATAGCTCGAACTTTTTCTTAGTTCGGTACGAGTCCTTTCGAAGATATAATATAGCCTAGAAATCTAATACTATTCTTATAGAATTCGTATTTAGATAGCTTAAGTAGAATTTTATTTTCCTTTAGCTTTTCTATTACTTTCTTTATATACTCTATATATTTCTCGTAAGTCCTTAAGAAGATTAGAATATCGTTAAGGTATATAATAACGAATATATC